TCGGCCACCTCGTCACATTCAGCGCTAGCAAAGGATAGAATTTAGAGTACCGACGAATTTGGTGACGACATTTACTGTTTCTGTCCGTTTCTCGATTTATCGTACCCCTGTTTTCAAAGAATAACATAAAAAGATGTCTGCCGCCAGAGTTCAGCACTCTTGCCGAAACCCGGGATCGAACCAGGGACCTTTAGATCTTCAGTCTAACGCTCTCCCAACTGAGCTATTTCGGCCGACAATAGATCACGAACGGCATGCTTCCTGGATCGGAACTCACAACTATCTCGAAAAACGTCTTACAAGCTATTTCAATTAAATCAAATGGCCCGACGATAGCTCAGTTGGTAGAGCGGAGGACTGTAGTCTGTCGTAGTATTGTAATCCTTAGGTCGATGGTTCAAATCCGTCTCGTCGGATATATTTTTTTTCTATGGGAGGTCTGTGGTAACTTATACGCGTGTTCATTGTTGACATTCGATAGTACAACCCAGCTATAAAAGAATAAACAGCCCCCAGGGAGGATCGAACTCCCGACCCCTGGTTTACAAGACCAGTGCTCTAGCCACTGAGCTATGGAGGCAGACACTGCCCGTGGACAATGAAATGCAATTGACGGGCCTCCGTGGTTCTAGAATAAAGGAGGGGGGGGGGAATCGAACAAAGCCATTATTAAGCGTTACGTTTTCATCATCGCCTGTGGCTGTAACGATCTTAAACACTTAAAAAATCTTGCCCCGAGTGAGGATCGAACTCACGACCTTCAGATAGCTCTCTTACTAATGTATGGATTATGAGACTGACGCGCTACCTACTGCGCTATCGAGGCATGCATATAATTCGTCAACCGGGTCTAAAGAGCGGACCGTTTACATTGAACCGGAGAAAGCGTTTCTGTGCCGAATAACCTATTTGTGTGTGCAGCGTCGGTGGTGTAGCGGTTAGCATGGTTGCCTTCCAAGCAGTCGATCCGGGTTCGACTCCCGGCCGACGCAGTTGGTTCTTTTTCACCCCCTACCCTCTTTTCCTTCCAGATGTAACGATTTCACAAAAAGATGCATTATTCTATTAAACAACGCTCCCACTCTCTGTCTACGACCTGATATTATGTTACAACTCTGAAATCTGCTTTTTGTAGATTTCTGTGATGCCCATGCCGCTGGAAATATAGTTCCCGTCGGCGGCATAACGTTTCTGAAACATAGGACCGCAATTTTCAAAATAGCAACCCTTTCGATGGCGACGACGCACCACACGCAACAAGCCTCAAGGGAGGTTCGAACTCCCGACCCCTGGTTTACGAGACCAGTGCTCTAACCACTGAGCTATTGAGGCACTATAAAACTATTCCACTGCATTGTGTTACAAACACCCGGGGTGCGGTATTGACTCCGAATGGCAAAAGTATGATGCGCCGCCCGGGAATCGAACCCGGGTCGCAAGAATGGGAATCTTGCATGATACCACTACACCAGCGGCGCAATATCCGACATATCCCTGGAGTAAATCGTTGATGCCCATTCCCCGGGACCTTGCAGACATCCAAGAAAAAAGGTTTTGTCAGAAGTGGGATTCGAACCCACGCCTACATTCGTAGACCAGAAACCTCGTATCACCGTATACTACGGCGAAGGTACATTCCACCTTGAGTCTGGCGCCTTAGACCGCTCGGCCATCCTGACATAAACGCACTGGTAGAAATTGGTATTTTGGAAATTGTCTGCAAACTATCCATGGCGGTTCCAGTCGAGACGGAATGCGAATCCAAATAATTCCGAAAAATAAATGTATTCAAATTTAATATATTAATATTATGCGATCCCCGTTCTTTCCCGTCTCTCTCCGTTTATTGGCATAAATAATTATTAATTTTTTTTTTTTTTTTTTTTTTTTTTTTAAAAGTCATAATTAGGTCAGAACATGTATAATTTCCTATGTAATCAACGTTACAAAACTAGGGTTGGGCCCCACACGTGGCAAATTTTTACTATAACCTTCATTGGGCCCTGTAAAATGGATAATTATTTTCAAATGTACACACTGTATCAAGTTGGAACGTGCGCTAGTATTACGTAGTATGCTATTTATATCGCGTATTTCTCTGCAGCTTTCTATTTGGCTGTGGTAAAGAGACGAAGTTATCAATGATTTCAGTTTTGACAAGACTGTTTATTATCTTAACGACGTTGCTGGCTTAGCCTCGCTTCTCCATTTTTAAATTAAATCATTAAATGTTATAATAAATACATTTTAGGCCGAAATAAAGACCTGCAATAGGCACAGGCACCTTTAGCTCTTAAATAAGGCCTCTTAAAAAGTTGGAATCTTTTTGAATATGAGACATATTTACTGTGGTTACATATGGAATACTCGGGGGTAAATTTTGTGTATATAAAGCTCATAGATGTAAACAGATGAACTGAGGGTGATTTGAATTTTTTTTTTAAATATCACAAGATAGCTTGCCTGGGGCAACAAAAAATATGCCCACAGCAGCTAATATGCAGGGCCATACCTCTGGAAGTAATTAAAAGAATTAATTAAGATCAAGGGTCATAACAGTGTTCTTAATCGGCTGTTTTTTGTCGGCTTTAGCCGATTGATGTTTAATCTAGCCGATTGGTAAAACAATGAACCGGCCACTATGGTATCACGAATTAATCTTCTATCGGCTAAATTACATCGGGTTAATTATTACATGTTAATTAAAGATACATTAGTTAAGAGTTTAATAAAGAGTTGGCCATTCTTGCTATAATAATTCAAAAATAGATGATAAAAAAAGAAAATATTGAAACTTTCATTCAAATTACTTCATTCTCAGCCAAGTTATCATTGTTTGTAGTTTTGACAAGATTTGTGCACAGAGGTAACCAAGGCACTGGTATAATCGGGACTTAGTCTGGCTTTCCCATTTTTAAATTAAATTTTTAAATGGCGAACCGTTTTCATCTAGTTAAAATCTCGAGTATCCGATGCCATCGAGAGACAATTATGGTCTAGTTTTGTTAATAAATGTCTAATTAATAGTTTATATAACATTTCGGGCCTAAAGAAAGACCTGCAATAGGCAGATTTAGTTCTTGCATAGTGTATGTTTAAGAAGTCAGTCAACTTGCTTGTCCGCTACAACAACAGCCATACATACCTTAGTGAGAATCGGCCATGTGGTTCATAATCTGAGTAGCCTAATTAGCACATTTAACGGTAATTTGGATAAAACATGCTTGCTGATTATTCATAACAGGTTCAGTAAGCTGCTTTTGTAAAAATAGCCCACGTGGCGAAAGAAGACGATCTCGGCCATGGTTTGCCAATCGAGCGTCTTCCACGCTCCTTACGAATTCCAGGTACCGGTAGATATTAAAATAATAACTGGATCATACATTGATGGATTCACTGACCAGTTGTTATGTAAATTTATATCTTCATTGAGTATAATCCCCTTATAGAACCCCTAATACGCCAAGAATCAGCCATTAATGATATATTTTTCCGATAGAATAATATGTCCAATGCTGAATTCCAATGACACGTGACATATCGCTTGGAATTAGGTCAATAAACCAGTTTTAAATAGCGTTTACCGTTATTTTTATATACACATTCCGACAAAGGCTTAATTTTAAAAATATTGTCGTTTTTACTATATCATAATTGAAAAATGCTAATATTTTTGATCATCGACTGGACTGATGAAACACGAACGTTTCACCGAATCAACGAAGATAGTAATTTATTTAGTATTACTGACGTGAACTTGAAAGCTGGTACGTGAATTAAATAGGGAAAATTTTCAAAAGGTGTACTTAATTGTCTTATTTTTGTGGTGATCACATACATCCAGGCGCGGATCCAGAGGGGGGGGGGCCAAACAATTTTTTTTTGTAAAACAACCTTTTTTATGAGAAAAGTGCCATAATTGTGCGACAGGATGGACACTCAAAGCGCAAGATAATGATATAGACATGTGATATCACAATTAATGTTTTGCATCAATAAAATTGAATCACAATATCATGGTATTAATTAATTCATAATAAAAATTGACGTCAAACAGGAGGTTGGATTTCCCAGTTTAAAAAGCTCAGTGTGTATGTATATACGCCAAAATAACGATAGAGACCATGTATTTATAAAAAAGTTTCAAGCCGAGGGGGGGGGGGGGGAGGGGATACATTTTCTCAGGAACCTGACAAACACCCTCCTGCAAAAATTCCTCATAACTCTATCGAAAATTGTTGAAAAACCATATCCCTGTTTGTCTCAACACCTTAAACACTGTATAAAACGATAATGAAAATTGAATATATTGAAAATTTCATTCAAATTACTTTATTCTGAGCAAAGATATTAGCCTTTGAAGGCATGACAAGATGTGTGCACTGATGCTCTTAGCCTCACTTCACCATTTTTAAATTAAATCATGGTCGAACTCGTCTAATGTGCTTCAAATCGAACTCATGCTTATGGTCCTGTATAATGCCTGTTTAACTTTAGACTCATTCATAAGATTTTTCAAAGTGATCAAGGGCCATAATGGAAATCTTTCAAAAATCAACAGGCTTCTCTGTCTCGCTGTGTATAAATTTAAAGTCAATCGGATATTAACTCTACCTTTTGAGCATCCACAAGATTTTTCAAAAGTTATCAAGGGTTATAACTCTGGCAGTAATTAATGGAAATTGTTGAAAATCAATACGCTGACAGATGGACAGACAGACCGACCGATGGAGAGACGGGGGCATCAAAAATATACAACCAAATCCCCCAGCCCATATTTCATCAGCTTAAATCAGTCCCATCAATTACATTTAGATCGTATAAAAAAATAAAGATGCCTTTGGGCTTTTATAATATCATGACTTCGTCCACCTTGTAACTGGTGGTAGATCATGGAATTTCCCTTCATCATATCTTTGTAAATTCAAACGAATTCCACCTGCAGAGAGTTAAAATAACAGTTGTAACCTAGATGACAGAAAACTAAAAATTATTGTTTTATAATTTACTTTATATAAAATCCGAATAATTTTCATTGTTGGTTTATATACAATAAATATACATGAAGCACTAACTACAATAATGTTTCTTAAACTTTTTTCTTTCTTTTACGTTTCATTTTAGGTTTTGATTTTTTAGTCTGACGACATCTTGGACAAAACCATTCTTCATCTTCAGGTGGTTCTTGTACTATATTTACACAAACCCTGGAAAACAACAGAGCACAGCATGGTATTCAGCAAATCTTTTTTTTTTTAAAAACTTGTTTTATTAGCAAGGAACTAAAAGTGCTCTTTTCTGTAATGTAATTAAATGTTGCTTGACACAGCCCCTTACAAGTATTGCAAGGTGATTTTTGTTTTGGTGAATATTCGTTATTTTGAATAGTTAAGAGAGAGAGAGAAATGGGGTTTAACGTCCACTCGATACAAACTAGGTCATTTCGGGACTAACATATGGTTTAAGTTTATTTACATAATTCGCTTGCGCGTAGGGGTCTTTAGCAGTGGGAGGAAACCGGAGACCCCGGAGAAAACCCACGAGGTTGGACAGGTGACCCTGCTCCTTGCCACGTACAACCGGGGATTCGAAACCACACCAGTCGACTCAATGACAGACTTTATGATACAGCGCGCGCACGCTAACCATTCAGCCATCCAACCCCCCCTGAATAGTTAAGACCAGGTTTTATAATTGAAATGAAGAAGCCAGAAGCCAGAGTCCAGAATTAGGAAGGAGGATATATAGTAATTCAGCTCCCATTCTCTTTAATAAAACCAGACATAACAAAAACAAATTGGTTGGTTGTAATGATTGGTTAATACCCTACCCAGTAAAATTTGTGAATTGTTTGAACTGGTTAAGAGAAGAATCTACATTAAAGTCAATCGAAAAATCTATGCTTTCTGGGATCAATCATCAACCAAAATTACATTAATTAAAGAGTCGCAAATCGGATCAAAAATTGCAATTACTCAAATTCAATCCCAATTGTTGTATACCCATCAGAATCATTATCCTAAGGTTTGAAAAAGATTCTTAAAAAATTGTGGCCTCCAGAGAGCAGAAAATCTTAAAAAATTGTGGCCTCCAGAGAGTGGAAAAAGATAAACAATATTGTGCTGAAATTCAATCAACTTTGAACAAGGGAGCCCACAAGCAAAAATATGCTAATTAAATAACAAAAAATGATTACACTCAAATTCCATCCCAACTGTCATCTAATGATAAAATCCATTATGCTAAAGTTTAAAAAACATTCGTCAAAAATTGTGGCCTCTAGAGAGTGGACGGAGCCTGTATACCTACCAATGATACCAATCTGGACAACCATCACAACCAATCATAGGACTTCCATCATCCTGCATTTTACAAGCTGGACAAATCCATATCTGGTTTCCAGCAGCATCCTAGAATAAATGGATGGCAATAATAATATAATAAAACTAGTACACAGTAACATATTTACCTATACCTATATCTATATCTATCATATATAAGCTTATCAAGAGGAAATCTTGACCTCTAGAGGCTCTAGGAGCTAAAAAGCAATTTTTCATGCAATGCCAGGCCTAAATCCAGGAAGTTACGGCCAATAAGGGAGGGAGGGAGGGAGAGAGAGAGAGAGAGAGAGAGAGAGAGAGAGAGAGAGAGAGAGAGTTTGACATTAACTTGACACAAACTAGGTCATTTCGGTTCAATTTTATTTCAATAATTCGCTTGCGCATTGGGGTCTTTAGCAGTGGGAGGAAACCGGATATTGTGGGAAGGGGTGCAACTCTTACTTGACTTGGCGAAAAACACTTGATAATCAACCACATAAAAAATCAAACTCCCGTTTGCGCATGGGCAATGGAACTTTTCATCAAATATTGACAACAGTCTCAGACCCTCTGGGTCACAAACACTAATACATTTCAAAACGAATAATACTCAATAAACTCATTTATTCCATCTCTCTACGACTGTCTGACCATGTGTGAACATTGCTACAACATATAAAAATCTCCCCATTGGTATTGTAACCATTAGTTCAACCTGGCAAGAGTATTCAGTTCCGAAGCATTTATGCTTACACTCTAAGTGCCCTCACCAGAATTGTGCACTGCGCGGGCAAAGGAATTTAAACTAAAATCTATTAAAATTGCATTTTAAGTTACAATCGATCTTCATGAAATGCATAAAACTTAAAATTAACATTTCATTTCATCAAATCAGTCCACTCTCGTAGAGTGCTCTGTGATTCATCCTACAGGAAGTCTTATGAGGCAACAATTATCTAGTCATAAATCTTAATTTAAGAGTACAATATGGCCGCGATCTAAAATTTGATAGGGTTTCTCCTTCGCCCCAAAAGAACAATACCACATAACCACTGAGAAATTAGAGCCGTATTTCATTCACAAGTTTTAAAGATGGGTTCACAGTAAAGTATTTATCTGGTGGTTATTTTCAATAAAAGTATGGCAATTTTGGTATGTATAGAAAGTAGAGATATCCAATCTTACTAGAAAAATACTGGATTCCCCGAAAAACATTCATGGAGCGTATACAGGACAAAAATGTAAGGGTTCCCCATATCAACAGCCCGATGATTAGGAACTTCTGCATGCGTGATGTCAAAGGTCACAAGCGAACATTGAGCGCTTGATGTACAAGTTGATAAACTTTATGAAGAGTTAGACGTATAATACTTTCTGAGATAAAAATGACGGGACAAGACGCAGGTAGTGGATAATCCGAGAATTTAATTAGGATTCGATATTTGTAATAAATAGTAAGCGATTAAAGACAACATTGTCTTATGTATGCAATGAATTCTCCTCTGACTTCCAAGACGTGACGTAAAACATGACCTGGGTTGATCGAATTTTAATAGCAGGGCATTCCTTTGCAATTACAATCTTTGAGAAGGATTTGAAGCATAATTATGACAAATTAATTAGTTTGAATATGTTTTTGGTCCATGTATACCATTAAATCACCCAGTTTGTACGCGGGAACCCATCTTTAAAAGTCAAAATATGGCCATAAAGATAAACTGGAAAAAGTGTGTTGCGTTAGGTATTTAGGATTCTTCCTTAAAACAATCCATATTGAACAATCTCACTGAATATCAAAATAAAAAAATAGATCATCTTTCCATTCGTATTTTGCCTTTTAAAAGTTTGTGAACACAATACAGAACATGGTTCTCTTCAGAATAGTTGCTAGTTACTCAGTAGGATTTGGTGAAATGATTTTAGCTAGTACTGACTAGCTAGTATTGTTCTCAAGGGTTTCTGCATTCTGCAAAATTTAAAGAGAAGTTTACTTACAACAAAAGTTCCTACAGTCTCAGCCACAACTCCACTGTCAATATCATCTGAACCTGGCGAGACAGGTGTTCCAGTTTTGGCACTATGGCCTGGAGATTCTGGAGACTTTGTGCGTGGTGAATATCTCCGAGGTGATGGTTTCAGAACTTTAGGAGAGTTTTTATTTTTAGGTGGACGACCTCTACCTCTGCTCGGCGTTTTGACTGGCGTTGTTGGTGATGTTTTTGGCAGAACTATGGGGGATGGACACAAAGATTTTGTTGGTGGTGATCTTACTGGTGATGAGGGAGGAGATCTACGAGAAGGTGAAGAATGACTTGATGATGCAGGAGACGCAGGAACTGTGGGAGGAGTTGGGGACCGAGATCGTGATCTTACTAGAGGATTGACAGCTTTTGGAGGTAGGGGTTCGGTCAGTTGTTTCTTTAGTAATTTTTTTGCAGCTTTGGCTATTTTTTTACTCTTCATTAAACTTTCTTTTTCTTTTCTTTGTTTCTCTCTTAATTCCTCTTCCTGTCTTTCCTTCTCTGCCTTTTTCCTCTGGAGTTCTAATTCAGCTTCTTTCTGAAGTTTCAATTCCAATTCTTTTTGTTTTTTTAACTCTAATTCTTTCAGTCTCTCAATTTCTTTTTGTTCTTCCTCTTTTTTCCTTTTCCTCTCACGTTCTAATTCAAGTTCTTTTTCTCGTTCACGCTCCCTTTCTTTCTCCTTTTCTCTTTCCCTTTCTATTTCCCGTTGTTTTTCCAATTCCTTTTCTTTTTCTTTTTCTTCTTTCAATTTCTGTTTTTCCTCTTTCATTTTCTGTTTTTCCTCTTTCAACTTCTGTTTCTCTTCCTTCAATTTTTGCTTCTCTTCTCTCTGTTTCTGTTCTTCAACTTGTTTTGCTAAGGGTTTGATAACCCTGAAAATATAGTAAGAGAAACCAAATTCAAAATGATGTATTATTACAAACTGATGTGGACCTCCCGATTGCATGCACTTATCAATTAAATTGGTTATTAATATGTTAAACACTATAAAAAGTAATTTACTTAAGGAATTAGTCCTTAAGACTTTTTTAAGGCTTTTATGATGATGCAAAGAGGAGAGGTCACAACTCCCTCCGACAAAAGTAAATTCTGCAACCCTACTCCTAAGTCACATACAAAGGCTGGATTCTTCTAACTTGGACAGATGGTAGATCTCATACCCTACCTATCCACCAAGCGAGGTAAGCACATGTAGTTCACAAGTCAGTTTGTGGATTTGTGCAGACACAAAGGTAAATGACTTGCTTGACCACAAAGGCTGTATATAGACTTGTATAGAATGAACATATTTTCTTTTCAAGTGTCTTAAGAAGTAACATTGAAAGACAAAATTATCTTTTTACAAAACCATGTTAACATAGCACCATCCCCATAGAAATGGATTTAGTTTTCAGATTATGTGATGCTAACAAAGTTGTTTATTATCAAATTTATTTGTTGCCAAATAACATTTGTGGCCATCAAATAGGTCTGTAGGCTGCCCTTATAGTTAAGGTAATAAGAATGAAACTTGCAGTTTAGGTATCTCAGGTCTAGATGGAGAACTTATAGAAGGTCTAGATGGAGTCCCTGGATCTAACTTTGGTGATGCAATAGATGTTTCTAAAGCAGAAGCTGATGGAGAATTTAGAACTGAAGTAGATGAAATTGGCGTTCCACCAAGTTTTATATTTAATTTTAACCGTGGGAAAGTAGGTGTTGATGGAGGTTCATCCTTAATTTCCTGGAATCAAAATAAAATAAAATTACAGGATGATACATACCGGTGGTATACCTATTCAACAATTTTAATGGCATAACAGATGTGGCATACAATCAAAATATCTTAATAAATCTCTTGAATTTGAGTTTCTCCCCCACTCCCACAAAATACAAATCATTGGATTTTTATATGTTAGGTCTTTAGTGGAATGATAATCTGTCTTCACTGAAAAGTTTGTGTTGAGATATAACCTATTTGTGTCCACTGTTGACATATGAAACCAAATATAAAATTAAATTAAGTAAACAAGTCAACTTTCATTTAATTCTTCAAAGCAAAAATCTATATTCAAGTCACATAGAGCTTGCCCCATCACTAATCAAACTAACACATCAATTTGATTCAATACTTTATTTTGACCTAAATCAGAAGGATCAAGCTCATTTGCCATAAGTATATAAATGGTTATGACAGTTCTTTTTAAAACAGTGATAACTTTGCCCAGAATAAATTAATTTGAATGAAATTTTCAATATATTCATTTTTATAATAAAACAAGATTTCATAAGTGGTTATCAACCATATATCAACATAAATAAATAATTACTAAATGTTACATTTTGCGTCAGTTTGTTTAAAGACCTTAAAGTTACATGTACCTTTGGCTTCTTCTCCTTATCATATTTAGATTTATCTTTCTTCTTTTCTTTTTTCTCATCTTTATCTCCAGACCTTTCTTTATCCTTGTCTCTGTCCTTCTCTCTATCCTTATCTTTCTTCTTTTTCTTCTTCTTGTCCTTATCTCTTTTATCTTTCTTGTCCTTTTTATGTTCTTTGCTCTGAAAACACAAAAACATTTTAATTTAGACATCATTCTCTCAGACAGTAGGTAGATAACAAGCCTTTTAAAAAAGAAAATTTCCAAAGAACAAGTCAACTAATACCGAGATAGCAAATCCTGTCAAAAAACCCTGATGTGCTCTGCAATTTGTGATCACAACATTTGGACTGCACTGTAGTATCATATTTAGTTGATGCCTGATTTGTTGCCTGAAATTCTTGTGTTTACTTAACTGCAGTCCTTCAAAGATTAAGGATATTCAGTTCTTGGACAATTAAACGAATATTCTCTGTGTAATTTATCATGATTTTCGGGGGGGGGGGGCACAGTGAACAGTAGTAATTAGTATAAATAATGACAAGCTATTTGACTATCAGCTACATGTATACAAATGTTTGACAACCAACAACCATGTATAAACAATATGAGAGTAAGTGGTACAGTATGTACTCTTAATGTATTATGTAAGTAGTGATGTGCCGATAATGCTGATATGGGTACTATCGGTTTTACCTATATTCGATGTGGACAGGAAGACATATTACAAATTCAAAAGCCCTAAATGTCATGATAATTGATATAGATACATGTCAGTGTTAGTTGGAAAACGCAGGGTACTATCTTATCTTATTTTTTGTTCTATGATTAATTAATTAATAAAGTATGATTGAGATTATGAGTTATTTAGATATTTATGTGGGTTAAGCAAAAGAGAATGATTTGTTCACAATTATATAGGTTTTTACCAAATCTTTTTGAACAGATATCAGCGACTCTATAGGAGAAATGCACAGTAGCGGTCGATATTGATAGGTCACTTATCGGTCAATTACATATGATGAAATGAAACCAATAATGAGCAATCAGTGTTAAAGATACATTATGGGAGATTAGATAAAGAGCTGGTAGTTAAAAACTAGATAATGTAAAGGGAATTTGCTGATAATTTTAGTCAAATTGATCCACCCTGAACTGAGTATTTAGCGATTGAATTTTAGGCCTAGCCTCGATCATCATTACTAAAGTCATTACAATAAAAAAAATTAGTCTTGATTATCCATTTTTTTGATTTAATCAGAAGCAGCAGACTGGGTTCTAACCCAGTAAATATCACAGGCTAGCGATGCCATCAAGAGTTGATTATGGTCTGGATAAGTTAATTAATGTCTAATTAATAATTTAGGTAACATTTTAGGCCTAAAGAAAGACCTGCAATTGGCAGATTTAGCTCTTGCGTAATGTATGTTTAATAAATATAATACATATTTCAAGAGTTCAAAGGTTGACTTTGTCACCTCTACCGTACCTTATGTTTTTCTTTATCTTTGGGTTTCTTTTCACTCTCAGCTTCAGTCTTTATAGATGCTGAGGCTTGTTCTGTTGAATCCTTTGATGTGGGAACAGAAGCATCTTCTCGAAGCTCTACCTTTGGTTTGGGGCTGTCAGGAACTGCTTCAGTCTTAACTTCAATAGGTACTACTGGAGTAGGAATGGGAGGTGGTGAAGGAGATGGGGGAGCAGAAGGTTCATTTACAATGGTATCTACAGGTTCTTGTTTTATTTCTGGTTCAGGGCGTTCTGGACTATCACTAAAAGCAAACACTTTCATTGCATCAGTTAAATATTTGTCAGGCAATTTTGGAATAACCTGTTTCTTTATTTCGGGCTTTTGAGATTTAGAGATGAGTTTCTTTTTCAGTTTTTCTCTGACTCCCTTATCTTTAGATTTTCCATTTTTCAGTTTACGTTTTTTCTTTAGTTTATCATGTTCTGCGGTTGGAGATTTTGGAGTAGCTGATGATGATTGTGGTTCTGAATCTAGTTCAAGTTTTATTTCTACTGATGATGTGTCATTATCTTCTGAAGTTTGTCTAATGACAGAATTTATAGTATCATCCATGTCAGCAAGATCATGTGATTTGGGTTTGTCAGGGTCACCTGTTGATGTCTCTTTATGGTCAGGTGAGGACTTGATTTCTTTGCTTTCAACTTCTACAACAGACTGACGAATAACTTCATCAATGCAATCATCTACAGTAGCCAATCGAGCAGATTTTTGTTTTTCTTTCATATCAGATTCGGATGCAATTACCAAACGTTCAGGAGAATCACCGCGTGAATTGGATGATTCTTCATCTGGATTAGGTAGTGAAAGAAGAAGTTCGTCAGTCAAAGCTTTTTCTGGTGGCAAAGGCATAGACTGCTTAATTGCTTCTTTAGTTTCCTTTTCAGTCTTGCTATCTTTCTTGAAATTTTTATTTTTATTGATTTTGATAGGTTTACCATCTGCACCATATACATTTCCCAACTTATCAATACTGATCACTTTCTTTTTCTTCTTTTTATCACTCAAGATCTTTTTACCATCCTTAGAGGAACTCTCACTAACTTTGCTTCCACTAACACTTTTCTTTCCATCATTTTTACTTAATTTAGGTTTCGATTTAAACTTTTTAGATTTTATTGAATCTTTTGATGAAGATTTTTTCTTTTTTTCTGATATGCTTGAATGATTATTTGATTTATTGTCAGATTCATATACAACATCTATGTCCGATTTTTCTTTCTCACTCTCTGAATATTTCTCTTTCACTTTATCTTTTAACTGGTCTTTAGGCGATGGCTGGGGGTCCCGGAACAAAGCCTGTTTAAATCCAGCTGGTGGTGTGCGATTATCTGGTAATTTTCCTTGTCTTTTAGGTGTTAGTTCCCCTTCTTGAGACATGGAAACACTCAGCATTTCATACTGGGATGGATCAGCTTCTGGTGGAAGTGATGCACTACTTATTCTGAAATATAAATTAGTATCATTTCAAAATTAGTTTTTCCATGGATAAAGTATGAAATAAAATGGGATTTAGGATCCTACTGATCTGCTCCGACCGGGCTAATAAATATGGGCATATGCCATACAGTGTGTTATGAGAGAACTTTTGCTCAGACACTACAGCCTATCCGAATTCCATCTATCACTGGTTCTTTTAGGTGCAGACCAATGTGTACATGACACCTTGGTTTTTCACCATATTCAAACAACTATACGTTGTCCCTTGCCAGGCCCTCCATCCTGCACCACTGACAAGGGGAAACCATGCCAGAAAGTCCTGATGAACTTTCACAGTCAACACAGGGATCACAGGGTCTCCAGGATAGTGAGCCAACATCTAACTCTTAATCACTGAGCCACTGTGGCTCCTAAGATAAATATGACATTCAAAATACAACCTATGACTGAGTATCTATAGCAAAGTACATTGTACAGGGACTTGTCATTTATCTTTTAAAACAACTCTATACAATACTGCACTGAAATAAAAAATAAACTCATTCATATCTCAGTAATAGGTTGACATACGTATCTGTCCCAATCTGATATGATCACATCGCACCTGATTCCACTGTATAGTCAAATCACATCAAAATGAAATCATTGCTTTGCAGATCATTGACAATCATCTGGGTGATATCATATTACCTCTTTAATAATACATTTCAAAGGGTGTTTATGCTTAAAGCTTTATATCATACCTTGGACGTTTATTAGGTGGACCTTCAGCTGATGTTGTAGTTGAACGACTTTCAGCAGCAGCTGGACTCACATCCATAGGTGATGCAAATTCTGGAGCGAGTCCAACCACCTCTGATGACAGAGGCTCATCAACATCATCTAAAATTGATCAAATAAAATACACAATTCAACTTCATTTATACTCTCAATATAAATCTGACAATATTCGTCACCACATAAGAATGTTCGAGAGACCCTCTGACATTGCTGCACTTGATACCTTTAGCACAATTCATGTTTGAGATTTGTACAAAAAGTAGTCAATGGATAACACAACAACAATCTGATTAAAATACGGATCCTATTTCGTTTCATTTTTTATACTTTCGATGGCCTACACTAAATGAAGATCTGACAGGTTATAGTGATAGGTTGCGTCAGAGGTCATACAAGCGGCTTTTGACCCAAGTGGTTTACCCACAGTTCAGCACACAGTACGCCGGAGCACTCGCCGTAACAGATCACTTCATTGGCTAATCCCTCACATTAACCAGAAAGTGGCTTATCTAACAACTCTTCCAGATCCTAGTGTAGCAAAGAGAGAGAGAGAGAAATGGGGTTTAATGTCCACTCGACTCAAACCAGGTCATTTCGGGACTAACACATGGTTCAATTTTATTTCCACAATTCGCTTGCGCGTAGGGGTCTTTAGCAGTGGGAGGAAACCGGAGGACCCGGAGAAAACCCACGAGGTTGGACAGGCGACCCTACTCCTTGTCACGTACATCGGGGAATCGAAACCCCACCAGTTGACTCAATGACAGACTTTATGATACAGCACGCACATGCTAACCATTCGGCCATCCAACCCCCCTTAGTGTAGTAAAGACAAGTAAAATGAAATTTTGTACAATAAAAAACGAAACGAAATAGGATCTGTGTTTGAATCAGATTGACACAACAAGGGCATTACAGTAAAATCTAGAATAAATGACAGCACAATCTCTATTAAAATTCCACCACTGGTGCAAATAAATATTATGTAAAATCTAAGACAGCACAATCTCTATTTAAATTTCACCACTGGTGTAAATAAATATTAGGTAAAATCTAAGAAAATGACTCCACAATTTCAATAAATATAAGGTAAATAATATAAACTGACAAACTGAAAGATGAAAACTAAAATCTCATTTACATATATACACACCTTTTCCACCAGGAAACATGTGAGGTAAATACGCAGGAATGTGTTCCTCGCGATGTTGTAATATTTCACGGCTCCTTGGGTTAGGAAACTGTAAATTACTTTTCTTTGGAACTGGAAAAGCCACAATTTCCTTGACAAAGGGAACTGGTTCAACATGACTAATATATTCAGTAAGTTCATCCAGTCGCACTCCCATCTGTTGAAATGCCAAACCAACATCATCGAGATTGACTTCTGTTCTACCAACTGAAACAAAATAAAACACATTATATAGTTATAAAAAATATAATAATTCCATAATGCAATCAAAAGGTACATGTAAAGGTTAAAGGAGCTAAATCGCTAATATTTGGGACCTAGAAATTGACCCAAATGGGTCGCAGCGCATATGATAATGTAATCTGATTGTATATAAACTGATTTACATTCAATTGTTTCCGTTTTGACTCTAATTTGAAATCAGTTATATCCCACGAAATACGGCATGAGTATCAACCAAAAGGTAATTTTAGCGTCTGGTTATTCCAGTCTATTGTGCATGCGCTCCAGATAAAATATGGCGTCAACGTTTGACATGAGTTGTGGAATATATCTAGCCTCGTTCTTTCTGGTCACTTGTTACAAATGACGCTGAAATGCACTATGGTACACGATTCGTGTACCAATGGTAAAATGTTTATTTTGTCTTAAATATTGGATATCAGAAGCCTACCCTTTCCCGGTAAGGTCACAACATCAATGTTGATTTGAATTGACAAATAATTCGTGTTTTCACTTTGGATGATATTGAGTTAGAGACTTAGCTACTTTAAGCATAAAAACAACAACAGATCATTTCACAGTTCCCCAACACTTATATTGTGAAATGTTGTAAAAACCAACCACAGTTGGGATTATTATTCATCGATGTCATATTTTCACATGACGCGAATGTTGCTACTATGCATTTGCAGCACCCAAACCACAAAATAACTTACTTGAAATCTGTTTGGCATCAATTTATTATTGAAGGAAAATGAAGCCTACATATTTTAACAGTATATTGAATGACCAGAGCTTTGTAGCTAATTCATTTTATAGCTGAGGTTACTGATAAGCTATAATAGACTGAATATTGAATAGAAGGAGTAATATTAAAGTAGTTGGAGTTTGTCAAAACAATCAGAATTTAATATCTAAAAACTCGCCTATTACTCAAAAAGACATATTGTTCATTATAATAGTCAAAACACTATTTAACAATGTAAAAACATTAAAGAGTAAACATACACTGTTCACTGTAGCGATGTGCAATATTTCCTAGTTCCAGAATATATCGTTCCATTACATCTGTCAGAAGTTCTAAGGGAGTGACTTGAGTTGAATTCCATCCTAAATTCTGACATATTTGAGCCACAGCTATTTTCAGTACACTTCGACTATATTCAGTAGCCATATTTCAATGCTGACTGAAATGAATAAAAAACATATAGACTGGACATGTTAAGTTCCATACTCAGCACAACAATTTAGGTACAATATAAGATGAATTCCTGTAAATTCTATCCAACCCAGGAAATTTTAAAGATTTTAGTACTCTGATCTGTCTCGCATTCACAAGCTTTCAAAGTCAAATCATAAACAATTGATGATAAAAAATGAAGAATTGACCATTTCTGTGCATCCCTATTAAGCTGCAATATGAATACATGTATACCGATCCACCACACCTCTGTTCTAAGCCTTTTATGGAGCCCTTAGCTTCTATTTTTTTCACCGTAATTCTTCTTTGGTTATCAAAAGGAATCATTTCTCGCCACACCTGTTACAAGTTTATGTAATAATCAAACGCTATTTTCAAGTAGCATTTTATTATTCAAAAATATAAACAAAATACATTTCATTTGATCTGCCATTATGAGACCCATTCCTGAACTTCGCAGCTTAATGCGGTCTTTTGTTTGTGTTTTTGAATCACAAAATTCTAATTGTTTGATTATTATAAATTTTTTGAGTCAGATGTAATGAGAAATGATTAGCTTTATCAATCAAAGAAGAATTACAGTGAAGAAAAATAGAAATAGAATGGTAACTCTAGTCTTAGAATGTTAGAGCAAATGTACTGTGGATGAAGTAGAGGCTAAAAGACTAATAGAGCAGTGTTTTCATATTGCCTATTACAGCTTAATTACTGTATTAAACTATAGCCTACTACTAGTAGACAGTAGGCCTACTAGTACTAGAGGCAGGATAGCTAGGTTAGAGGACATTGTCTGCGATACACTATTAATACAGACCATGGATTGAATAAGGAATTACATGTACTCATGTAGCGATTCACTAGCTACTAATATTAACTGGGGTCCTGTCCCATAAAAAATGAAACTGATATAATAGTGGTGGTGATACTTGATATAGTGATATATTGCGAATGAGATTGTGGCGTAAAGTGATTTAAAGTTAAAGATGCACTGTGACTGAGTAACTCAGTACGCTTGTATGTAAGTTGTAACGCTACAGAGAGAACATCTGTCGATTAGTTTCATCGTAAATTACCTTTTCATTTGCGCTTCTAGTGCATGTATCTATCGTTCGTCATCGAACCTACCATGCACATATATTGAACATCTTATTAGTTGCATAATTAGTTTAGCTATTACTTATTTAACATGAATGAAGAACGATAAAATCTTAGTACAAATTTTTTTATCGGAGTTATCGTTCTTGGCTGTAAAAAATTTGGAACAGGAAACGTATGCGAAAATGAAATTATATATCATTTGATCAGGATGGTATGTTTTTTCTATTATTGCTATATGAACAAACATTATTATAAAAAATCAATATAGAAAGACTAAACTGTGATATTTTGGCACTGGAACAATATTCTGCGTAAATTCAAAAACGAAAAACATTCTTTGTCTTTCTTGGTATCAAATTTTAATATTCTCACCTTGCGCATGCCCAGTATTAAATATTTTCTAAGAAGCCGGTGGATTAGTTTACGTGTTGTCAAGAATATTTCGATTTTATTAACAGCGAAAACAATACAGAAATGGATTGACTGAGCAAATGGTTAAAGACTTTAGGTATCCGTCCATTAATGTAGAAACAGGTTAGCAAATTTTATTAGTGCTTGTGAATTTATTTCAAGATTGAATAATAGTGATGTTAATCGGACTAGACCTAGAGGATAGTAATAATTTATAGTAATACTATCTATATTATAGGCCCTATTTACAATGTAGTACTAGTAGTAGTATATTTTGAAGGATTACAGATTGAAGTTGTGCAGGCAGACCTCCCTGATATTTTAATCATTGTCCTTACGTCGGACGTCCCTAGACCTACGCTTCTGTGTGATTAGGTCATGCCAAATATTTACCTTTCAGTTTTTAGCTGATATCTTATACGAATTACGATTTTTAGTACATGGCATTGTATGTATTCAGGTGCCTGGTAGTAGATTTAATTTATGTAAATTCGTACGCAGCTTTTAAAAAAATAAAAGAATATTTAATTTGCAGTTTCGGGTTATGAATAAAATTTCACATTGTAATCGTGTAACGTGTTGGAGTTGTAATGACAGAACATGTAGATCGCAACATATTGGATGGAAACTGCTGTGAGTGTGAGTAAGCTTATAATATCAGTAGAAATGGTTCCTGTACTGATGTCTTCCGTCTTGCTCCAGCCACAGTAGTGGATCGTCCTAAGGAATTCCTTTGAGCAAGTTTTGGCTACAAAAAAAGTTACTGGCCTATAACTCCCTTATTTTCAGTTACACTAACCCCAAACTGTACTTCACATAGCTTAACATATATTAACCCATTATTGAAATAAAGGTAAAACCTTAGCGCATAATTATGTGATTTGATTAAACCCAACTGCTATGCGAAATTTCTGTTTATTTTAAAATGGCCACCGATTTTACGTCACTTAAAAATACAGAAAAACTGTTCGGTAAGATAAGATTAAGATTTCAGTATTCCACTCTTCACTATTTGTAACATAATTACTTATTTCCATGCAAACTGTGATGATGTGTTGAAAATTTGCAACTGAACTTAATTTTACTTGCGCAAAGCCTGGAATCTGGAATAGTGTATCAATTGTAGCCGTGGGTACAATTTTGTAACTAGCTTATCAGGTGCAAGTCAAGTTGTCCACAATTAAAGTTGTCCACAGTTAAGGCGTGGTAAAAACACAAAAATAAAAAAGTCCTTGTAAATCAAAAAGTCGCCTTAAAACACACTTATAAAATTGCTGTCATGAGAAGAGAGGGTGGGTCATCTTCTCTCTTTGTCATAATGAAAACAAGTTAAAAAGCGGGAGGTCCAGCTGGCTGATGTTTGGCTTCATCAGTGCAGGTAGAAAAAAAAAACTTTGGGGAAAAAGAATCCACTTGCTTTATGTAAAAATTCAAAGTGCTCACAACAAAAACCACATAGCGGGACCCGTGGTTTATTTATTAAAAACTGTTCGTCCAATAAGTTCCACATAGTTAAAAGTTCTTTAACAACTTAAACAATGTATATCTACATCCGATACATGGCAATAGTCTGTCAATTGACGTAAATTAAATAATACTAATATCAACACCGTGAAAACCAGTGGGAAATGATGATAAAGCAGAACTCGACACAAAAAAAATATACTAATTAAGAATACTTTCTGTGTCCTGAAAGTAAACTATGTCGTGTGGACGACTCCACCAATGGGCGACATAACCAGATTTTTCGTGTGGACGACTTTGTTTATTTACGACTTTGTTTATGGACGACTTGACTGGCATTCAGCTTATCAAGTCAACAAGTAAAAACATAGTCATAGCTTATGCAATTATTCCAGTAAGTATTCACAGCTTATGCAATTATACTAGTAAGTATTCACTAGTTCACAACTAATGTAATGTTTTTTTTGTTCATTACAGAATATAACAAGGAAAATCTTAATAGTTGGAACCAGTTAAATCCACACGTAATTCTGTCAATTTGCCAAAGGAGATGGGTTTGTTTGATATTTTAGCAAGATGGTTGGGAGTGAAGAAAAAAGAAGCCAATGTTTTAGTTGTTGGTTTAGATAACAGCGGAAAGACAACGATTTTAAATCAACTGAAACCTGATGACACAAAAGCTCATGATATAGTTCCTACTGTAGGATTTAATGTGGAGAAATTTGCCACAAAATCATTAAGTTTTACAGCATTTGATATGTCAGGGCAAGGTCGATATCGAAATCTCTGGGAACATTATTATAGAGAGTGTCATGGTGTTATATTTGTGGTGGACAGTAGCGATAAATTAAGAATGGTCGTCGCTAAAGATGAACTCGATCAGCTTCTACAACATCCTGATGTTAAAAACCGTAGAATACCAATTCTATTTTTTGCTAATAAAATGGATATGAGAGAAGCCGTATCTAGTGTGAAATGTTCTAGTTTAATGGGATTAGAGTTAATACGGGATAAGCCATGGCATATCTGTGCTAGTAATGCGATGACTGGTGAAGGTTTACATGAAGGTGTCGAATGGCTGACAGATCAAATTAAAGATCTGGTTGACAAAAAAAAATAATGTTTAATTAAAATTAGATGATTTTTTTTAATATTCACATTTATATTGTAACTAGACGTATTTAACTAAATTTTGTAAATGTGTAAATAGCTTTATTGTAGCTTACTTATGTATCTCCGTCCTGTTTTTCATTAAATATAGCAGAATATATTACATACATTCCAAAATCTCAATATCTGATCCATCCGTATAGCATAATATACAAGTTGATGTCAAATTTTCGGCTTAGCTTTATTTTTGGTAATGTTACATTTTGTTTTTTTCTAAATTACATATTGTTATGTAAATTGTACATAATGTTGTATGTAATTATTATTTTATGAAGACACAATATTTTGTTAAGATCTGAATAAATATATACATGAATAAACACTAATTATATTCATTGTTAATGACTTTTGTTTTGCCTTATTAATTTATTTTTGATCTAACAATCTGACTGTTAACAGGGCTATATTAGATTTATAATATTGTTACATATACCCATAAGTCATCTGAGCAGTCTATGTGGATCTTTGTAGGTGATTATTTACAAGCCACTAAAAGATGACTAAGGGCAACAATCCTGAAGTAATTATCAGAAATCCACCGTCTTTTATACTATTAATCTGAACAGTGCATCTGATTTCATGTATCAAGGAAATCAAGATGATGACTTGAGCCTCCTGGGTGTCCACAAGGTTTTTCAAATCAATAAAGAACAGTAAAGTTGAAATTAACGAAGATGTTGATGGATTTATTTGCAATATTCTGTAAATTACTTTGGAAGGGATCAATATGTATGGCAAACTGACCAAAACACAATAAGGGCCGAGGAATACGGTATGCTTTATTCTGGTTCAGACCACTAGAAGCTACTTAAATTTGTCTTTCAGATTGTTTCTCATCCTGTGCTGCAGAGGCTAGTAAAAGGGTTATGACAAGTCTAAATTTATGATCATTTCATTTCTCAGAATGTGATAAAAGTTCTGTTGTCAGTAGAATAGAGGGAGTAATACTATTCAAAGATGTCTGTATGGCAGCATGTGTTCCACAAACTATAGTAAGTGAATGCCATTATAAATTCAATTTATAACAAAATCAAGATAATGGAAAAGGAATTGCATAAGTTTATTTGGCGAATAAAATATATAACACTGTACAAGCATAAACAAGAACAAGTTAAAACATGACAAGGATAATTACAAGATAATGGTAGGTTATCCTATTGTTAGTCAATATTAAAATATATTAATTACAAACTTGTGCGACTTTGTTACTATCAGACTGTGAGAAAACAAAATTATAGGAAGTACAAGCTCTGATTAAAATATGGATGTCTGGTTCTCTGAATAAGGCTTTTTATTACATTTTTTCTTCTCAAATTTAAAATGAAAATTGATTATTATAAAATGACATGATTAGTATTGTTAGAAAGATCATTGAACATCGAATGGTTTGATACAAATCATTACTGCATATCCACATTAGTTTTTAAACTATTGGATATGAAAGACCGAAACTGTTTTCTTTCTTTCAGCAAATACGCAGGATTTGGGTCTATTTTGACAGCAACACACAAATTGAAACATCAAATAATTGAAGTGGTCACAATTTATATCGCGCCAATCCCCATTAAAAAAAAAAAACATTTTACCTAGAAAGGAGAATGAGATAATTGGAAGGAGCTTCTACTCCCTTCATTGTCCTTTCCCGCTATCAGATAATTGATAAGAGCAAGTCAAAAACTATCCAATTAACAGTACAGGTACTAATCATTAGTATGTCAACCACAATAGCCTAGATTTAAATTACATTATGAGCATTCATTCAGCAGTTTATAATTATATATATACAAATTGTGTGCAGTTAAAACATATCATTGACAAGATAACAATCTGATTAAAATACAGATCTATATTTCGTTTCGTTTTTTTTTTAATACTTTTTTTACACATGAAGATCTGACCATTTGCATTGGTAGCGGCTTTTGATCCTATGACATGTTGACATTTCTAGTGGTTTGCCCACAGTTCTGTGCATTGCACGCCAAGAAGTTCCCGTAACAGATCATTTCATTGGCTTATCCCTCACACTATTCAGAATGCAGGTTATATAACAACTCTTCCAGATCCTAGTGTAGTACAAACAAATAAAAAACTATAAAAAACAAAACGAAGTAGTATCTGTGTTTTAATCAGATTGACAAGATAACAAAGCTAACATGAAATTTAAACAACCTGTTGATATACACACTTCAAAAATAGTAACATAAATTTATTTTTATAAACTCAGATCCCCTGCTGTGTAAATTCACAACATCCAAGATCAACCAGACAATTTTTTTTAGTTTTTAGTCTAAAAACCAATAATTATATTAGTCTGTCCATCCCCTAGGCCTGAACAAGGCAATGAGCACAATGTCTTGGTTAGCAAAATAAAACTTTAACCAAATACTTGACTAGTCTGGTATTTTTTTTAGAAAGTGTCATGGGGTAAGAGAAACCAAAGTTAAGCATGTATACTAATAGCTTGTAAAACTTGTCTCTCTGCTTCATTGTTATGTACGCTGAACATTGAATAACATGGTTGCTGAGATAACTGCTGTAAAAATTCTGTTAAATATATCTGAAATACACAAAATATTAACTTGTATTTAGAACTGTATTTATCTGTAGGCAGAATGGCATGCAACATATTATATTGTTATAAAGGCATCTTTCCAAAAGCTAAGCAACACAGACTAACACTGACTTCATTTCAAGATGTGCATTATCTTGATCAAAGAGCCTGTGCCTATCACAGACACGCCCATTCTTCGGGAACTACACTGGCTCTCAATTGAGAAGCGGATTCATTTCAAACTGTCATGTATAATTTTCAAGTTAATACGCCATAGCGAGTCAGCGCCTTGCTACCTCACTAATATCATTAGTATTCAAGTTCCATCCTATCGGACTAGAAGCAGTGATGAGGTGAAGTTGCGACCCTTTTCCCACAAAACACATGGAAAACAAACCAGTGAGTTGTATGGCGATCGCGCCTTCAGTCGTGCCGCGCCTACTCTCTGGAATGGGCTGCCACTAAGACTTAGATCACTCACCAAATTCAGCCTGTTTAAATCCAACCTCAAAACATATTTATTCAATTAGGCAATAACTACTAGTCAATCTAATGTTTTTATAGGCATACATTTGTATATCTTTAATTGAGATTTTTTTATGAGTTATTGATAGTGTTTATTCATTTATTATTATGTATATACTATGTGTAGTACGCCCATGTAACGACGGTTGAGACAATTTGTGTGTAACGGTCTATAAACAATATATATTATTATTATTATTATTATTTAATTTATCCAATGAAATAATACATGCTATCATACACCATTGGACTTTTTAAAATTAAGACATCAAGTTTAAACATTCTACCACAAAAAACATCAGGGTAATCATGTTCCAAAGTCTTGACCAATCAAACTGCTTATAGCTACTTAGCCTAAGCAGAAAATTTTCATCATCGAATTTATATGGTATAATAATGAATTTATAGTATGAGTTTCATCACTCTCATCTAAGTTAAACCAAAGTTATTGTGTTCCAAAGTCTCAAACAATCAAATTAGTGGAAAATGTGCATGATTGAACACAGTCAACATCTACATCTAAACATCTACACAAAGTTTGAACATTCTACCTCCATTAGGAGAGTTATTGTGTTCTAATGTCTCGACCAATCAGATTGATGTATCTACTTAGCCTAAGCATAAAATGCTCATCATAATTTTAGTAAAAGTATTGATGTAATGAAACCATACACTTAGTTTCACCACTCTCACTCAATTAGGATCAGTTATTGAGCTACAAAGTCTCAACCAATTAAATTACTTATCACTGTGCTTACCCTGAGCATAAAATGCTCATTACAAAAACTTAAGTCATAAAATGCTCATTACAAAAACTTAGTCAAGATATTGATAATCAAACTATACACAGGGGACAAAAATATCAATGAGAATTAGGCTGTGATTTAGCAAATAAAACCAAATTGATAATCATTAATTTGGCAGGGTAAAATTGCATATAAGTATTAATAGGAACCTGTCATAGGATGTTGGAAGAAGAGGGGGAGGAGCTTCTTGTAATGCATTTTAAACAAATTAATTATTGATTGGTCAAAATATGTTCTTTAGTTTAATACACATAAATTCAACAAAATATCTACCCTCAGATCGACTTGGTTTATTGGGTCAGCCATTGTATCGGGATCTTCATCTTCCTCATCACCTAAATTCAAACCTGTAAAAATAAATTACTATTAGTTACAAACAAGCCAACAGTGAGGCTGATGTACTACGTCGAAATCCCGAAATAAATAGATGACACATATTAATTAATTGCACGTTTATCTTTTTCAAAAGTATCGAGCAATCAAACTGAGTATCAACTATACACTAAGTTTCATCAGTCTATCAGATAGAATCAAAGTCAAATAAATTGTATAGCTCTGCTTAGCTTTAGCGGGAAATGTTAATCATTGAACTCAGTCACGGCATTCATCTAATGAATGCCTTCACCAAGTTTGAACATTCTACCTCAATTGCTTATCGCTCTGCTTACCCTCAGCAGAAAATGTTCATTATCGAACTTAGTGAAGGTATTGATGTGATGAAACTATACACCAAGTTTCATCACTTTCACTTAATTAGAAATAAAGTTATTGTATCCCAAAGCATCAATCAATCAAATAAATTGCTTATCTCTTAAGTTATCGTGTCCCAAAGCATCAACCAATCAAATTGCTTAACTCTGCTTACCCTAAGCATAAAATGCTCATTTTCGAACTCCATCAAGGCATTGACCTAATAAACACCTACACCAAGTTTGAACATTGTAGCTCAATTAGAAGGAGAGTTATTGTGTCCCAAAAAGTGTGACGGACGGACAGACAGATGGATGAACCCATTTTAATAGTCCCTTATCTTTCTGTTTTTCATTGTCAGTATCCAGGTTTGACCAAAAATAAAAGATGCAGGTGATAATAATGCTAATACTACAAACACAAAACTATACTGAATTTATGTCGTAAAATTTTCATGTTTTACAGAACCCAAATAGAGAAATGTCAAATGCATTCATGCAATTATTTCTAGCTGAATTTATCATGTTTTTTCGGATAGCCATTTACACTGCCAGTATTATCTATAACCTTTTCCAATTGAATTCTGAAAGCAGACACTTTCCCGACAGAATATAAATCATCTATAAATCCAGTTGTACCTTGATAATTAGCATCAAAATCACTGAGTAAGTCTGCTAAACTTCGACCTGATGCTATATTAAAATCTCCATCATCATCATCACCTCCTTCATCTTCATCTTCCCAACCATTCTCTTGCTGTAATCATAAACATATTTTATGATTTAACGAAAAATTATAGAGATACAAAATAGTGTAATATTAAAATGTCACGTGGAAAGATATTGGAAAGACTAGAATTGAAACAGGAGACAATTTTGTTAAAAATTCTTAGTTTTACAAAATGTGTTTATTATCAACATTTGTTTATCAACATTTGGATAAATCAGAACAGCCTAAAGAATATCCAGACGATATTTTTAATGTGAATTTAAAGTTTTTGTAATCATAATAGTTAGTCTGCATGTCATAATGGCTTGTTTAAGTAAGGCCACACAAAAAAAAATATTCTGGTTCTCAGACAATCCTTTTAAAAATAAAATTGATGCGGAAGGGTGGTGATTTAAATCGAAATCTCAGCCCCCAATCTCCTCCTGGAGAATATTTTCGGTCATCTCTCTCAGAGTGCCGTTAGTGATTGTCAATAGTGTTTCTCATGGCTACGTACTTGAAAGTCGAGTTTAGTGTTCATTTCCTCAAGAAATGCTCAATAGAGTTACTTCCCTTGATCTCAGGAAATATGAACAAAGAGAAATTAATGACCGTTTTTATTTTTGATGACATGGCCATATCTGAAAACCAGAATATTTTTTTTGTGTGGTCTAATGTTGTCATGATTATGTCAAGAATCATAATGATTGTCATTCCTGTAAGAAGAGAAATATTTTCTTTCAATCAAATATATGATTTAATCAAACAACTACATGTATATATCGGAATGTTTAAGCCAGTTTTCAAGTTCTGGGAAACTTCTTTTGTAATAGTCAATAGCTTTTTAATATATATAGGACACATCTTACACTATCATCTTCATCTTCTTCATCACCGGGTCCAGCTTTTGACATGGCTGTTTCTATCTGATTAGATAGTTCATTAATAAGTAGTTTATACATCTTTACTAATATAGGGATCGTCGTCCATTCATCAGGATCTAAAATGGAAACCGGTTAAAAAATTTGATCTTGGTATTAGTCCATTATCAACATATGCCAATTAATCACACATTTATCTTTTTTGAAAAATATCATGTAATCAAACTTAGTCCAAGTAGAAAATGTTCACAATCGAACATAGTCAAGGTTTTGGAGTACCTGGTAGTGAAACTATACACTAAGTTTCATCACGACACTCTGCATCAGTTTGCCTGTATACATTAGCTTAGTAGAAGCAGTACAGTAGGACATTAACCCTCATTTCATTTCATTTCTTTTCCATCAGTTAGAATCATCTGCACCAAGTTTAAACATTAAACGACAATTAAAAGCAGAGTTGTTATGTTCTGAAGTCTTGACCAATTAAACTGCTTATCGCTACTTAGCCTAAGCAGAAAATGCTCATCAAGGCATTCACCTAACTCACACCTTCACCCAGTTTGAACATTCTAACTCAATTAGAAGAGTTATTGTGTTCCAAAAAGTGTTACAGACGGACGAATGGATCGGTGGAGTGTGGACCGACCGGCACCCGGTGGGGGATAATAATAATATTCGGAATGCATTTAGTTAGAATACAATAAGTGAACATTGGCAAGTGGCATGTACCATAACAAATACCACAAAGCATGTACCATGGCGAATTTTAACAAGGGTCTTAATGTCTCATTGAACAATCCCATATAGTTTTCAAATTTGTGAAAATACTATCCAGAACTTTATTTGCCTTAAAATTAGTTGGGATCTTATACTCCTTTTACTCCTAAGTTATGCCACAAACCTCCGCTCTCACACACATTGCAGCACAGGGCTCATACTGGCTTTCAATTTTTTTTCAACAAAATGGATAATAACCTTTATATAAAAAAAAAGTTCATATGTTTTTCCCGCCAACTGGAATATTTGATCTGTCAAAAATGTGTGATAAAAAAAAAACAACATGTGACAATTTTCTATAAATTTATGTTTTGCATGTACAATAGGCCTATTGTTATTTTCAGGTACGGTAAAAGTATCAGAATCTGAATCCCTGATAGAATTTCAATATTATGTTTGTAAGAGATGCTTACAATTATAATCGTTCACTTTTAGAGCATTTTGGCAACAGAAATATGATACAAATTGCAAATTGTTTTCTCGCTCAAGAATCGTCCCTATTCAACACGTTATGTTTCCACTCAGTGGTGTTAATATAATTTGAACCAATAATATCCGATAGGTATGACTGTATATTTTACATGCCGTATGAAGCCACAGTAAACGGTATTCAACCATCAAAATATTTAGTTCTTTTCAAAAAGAATTGTTAGACATTTTGATTAACAGGTATTACCATTTTTTTTTAAAGACGAAATGAACCATGGATTAATCATTAGGAGTAATGACTTGAGATAAGCTTTATATATCTATCATTGGTAATTATCAATCAATTAATCATTAATCCAAGACAACTGATTAGTATTACTCATTGATGCAATTCGGACTATTAATTTATAGCATTTCACCAGGTGATTGACACACAATATAATGGTTAATCCACGATACATGATTCGAATTTTAAGATTTTTTTCTGCTAGTTCTCAAAAAGAATCGCCAGTACCGCAAAACATTATCGCCGAAACCAAATTTTAATTGCAACTTTCATATTTTTATCGCAAATTGCGAGTTTGGCAAACGACTGCATGAACCCTGTTGCAGCTCCATGCAAAAAAGTCCATTTTTAAAAGATCAATATATCATAATTACCTGAGGATGTTTTAGCACGTGTTCGTATTCCTGGTCTCTGTATCTGTTCCCCTTGAACTGTTATTTCCTGTAATCGTCTGTCATTTGTCTGAATTGTGTGTAGTAACAGTTTACATAATGCTATAGAACTAAAAGTAAAAAAATTATCACAACTCTATAAAATAGTTCTGTTTGAGTGATAGATAACAATTCATGCAATATTAATAATATAATAACTAATCATGTAAATTTACAAGTAAATCTTCTTAGTCTATAATATCATTGATTCCTTGCGTATACTTTTTAAATTTTCACCTGTATGTAAAAGTGTAACATAGCTGAAATACTGAGATGTTTACGTTTCTTTTTAACCACATCACTCATTTCTCTCTAAGTATGTTATCTTTTAGAGGATTCATATTCTAGTGTTTTTAACATGATACAAAACAAAACAATGATGAAGACAAAAGAGAGAAAATGGGTCTTAACATACATTCAACACAAAACTAGGGCATTTTGTAACTAATATATGCTTCAATTTTATTTCAATAATTCACTTGCGCATACGTCTTTAGCAGTGGGATGAAACCGGAGGTCCCGGAGCAAACCAAAGCAGTTGAATAGGCGACACTACTTCTTGTCACATACACGTGGGGAATCAAAACCACACCACCTGACTCAATGACAGTCTTTATGATCTACCAAACACCACCTGAAGACACAAGACTAACCTGACTTTTCTTTCATAAGAACCATAAAAGAGATGTTGTCTTGCACACCATTCTGTTAATACAAATCCTAGGGCTGGTTGACCTGTAGGACTCGGAACGTTAGTCAGGAAATCTAACACAGCCTCTAACTGTGTGTGAATTAAATGTGCAAACACCATGACTAGAGACTGAAATACAAGGAAATACAGTCTCAGAATTAGACAGTCTGTTATGATTTTTGAGATGGACAGTGTGAGAATCAAATACAAGCGTCAATTGTTGACACATGTACATGTCAATATTGTCTACATATACCCATCTAATCACTGTTAGGGCTGCACAAGTTTACAACAAGATGTTTAGTTTACATGGTTACCAAGCACCTATCATCTATTTAACCCTTCCTGACCTAACCACTTTATAGCCATACAGGGCTATGAAAATATTGAGTAAAAATCAAGCTTTAGACCCTGTTGTGAAAAACCATTCATACCTTGAATATGAATGTGACTACAACTGTAAAATTGCAAATGTATATCCATTATATATGACTTGGGATTTTTGCATATTTTTAGTTTAGATTTTATGGTTACTATGGTTACCAGTGGGTTTCAAAATGGCTGCCATATTATTGTCATAAATGAAATATTGGATATTTTCTTGTCATTAAAAAATTCAAGATGGTCAGGAATAAAGCTATATGGATTATTACCATGATAGATATCTCTTTTGTAAGAATAGTATAGGTTTTTGGGAAAAAGTCAATAAATTGTGATAATAATGGTTTTTTTTCTAAAAATAATAAAATGTAAACGAGCAGTATTGACAATTTTGCGGTAGACAACACAGATATAAAATCATCAGTAACAAGTTTTTATTAACAATAAAATAAAAATAAATTAAATATTTGGAAAATAACAATAATATATACAGAAATATTCACATTAGTGTTGCCATGGTAACCAATTTGACCATATCGTATACGTTTATATTGGCAGCGATCTATGTGCGCGACTGTATAAAAGCAAACGAATAATTTCCTCCTGAGAAGTCTTCCTTTTTTGTGTCTTTACTTTGTGACAAACCTCTGAATTTTCATCAAAAGAAGAGTCCCCAATAATAGTATAGTCACTACCCGAATCCAATATAGACATGACGTAATCGGCATCGGGACTCACGGCTAAATTCAGCCGAAGTCTTTTTGTTGTGAAGGACGCCATTCCTCGGCTGTTCTGACTATTGATGATTGTTCCGTCAATAGAGGAGACCCCCCTGTAATAAAAAATCGTGTTATACACCATCTAAGGTTAAAACCATGCTTTTACAGCAGAGTAAACCAAATTAAATAAATTTCCCGACTATCGTCGGGTGCCACTCTGACAAGACTATAAAATTATCCCGACGATCTTACAGATTCAAACTATCAATAAAAGAAAATATATATTATCATATATTTTTTTTCCACACACTATTTCTTATAATAAATATTCCTGCTTCCAATATTTAGGTACATTATTTCTTTCACAATACATTTGAGATATCAATCAGTTTATCTATTGCAGTAGAGAGAGAGAGAGAGAGAGAGAGAGAGAAATTGAGTTTTATGTCCACGCAACAGAAACTAGGTCATTTTGGTACTAACATATGGTTCTATTTTATTTCAATAATTTGCTTGCGTCTAGGGTTTCTTTTAGTGGTGGGAGGAAACCGGAGGCCTGGAGAAAACCCACAAGGTTGGACAGGCGACCCTACTCCTTGTCACAAACAACCAGGGAATCGAAACCATACCAGTTGACTCAATGCCGGACCTTATGATACAGCATGCATGTGCCAACCATTCGGCCATCCAACACCCCTCTATTGCAACAGTAACATTTTAAACTAATGGTGACTGCCTATAAGTTTCGTTCAAAAACACATGAAAGAAATTCAATTAATTTTTCTAACTTACTTGTATGACACTGAGAGTTTCTGCTTGTAATAATTTACTTAAAACAGCTCTTAACATCAAATCTAGATTATCTCCTAACTGTTTTCCTACACGACTTATCACCACAGATACCAAACGACCAACAAATGATGCTGTATGTTCAGAAGTCTTGGGGTCAAGAAGTTTTGACACCACTTGAACGATATAGAATAAACCAGTTTTACCTGTAAATAGAACATAAAGGACATTTTATAAAGTTTGTATTGGCACGCATCTTAACATTATAAAGATGTACAATATATGACCTAGTCATATAGGACAGTTTAGATAGTTTGTATTGGCGTGCATCTTAAAGGAGCCAAGTCGCTAAAATTTGGGACCTTGAAATTGACACAGATGGGTCGTAACGCACATAATGAATGTATATAAACTGATTTACATTCAATTGTTTCTGTTTTTACTCTAATTTCTGATCAGTATAGTATATGTTCGGCGAAATACGCCCGAAGTCCCAATCGAATGGCAATCTCTCGCGTCTAGTTATTCCAGTCCACACAGATAGTATTTATTGCGCGTCACCGTTTAATATTACTTGTGGGATAGCCTTGTTCTTCAAGTCCCTTGTTACTAATACAGATGGCGCTGGAATGCATTATGGTACACGATTCGTGTACCAATGGTAAAATGTTTATTTTGTCTTAAATATTAGATATCAGGAACCCATCTTTTCCCGGTAAGATCACAAGATCAATGTTGATTTAAACTGGCAAATAATTCGTGTTTTGAATGTTGAAGATTTTGGATGATATTGAGTTAGAGACTTAGCTACTTCAACATTGTAAAAATACAACAATATATGACTCGGTGATATAGCTGACTGTGTACTACAGATTCCCTGGTTTTCAATAATTTGAGTATTTATAGATACTATCTGAGTCTGTTTTGATTCTTAAATCATAAAGGAAAAAATCATCTCTTTCAAAGCAAACTTATGCTATGTAATCGTATTTTCAGACAAATGTTTTCCTGCTGTGACAGTATTGACAAGATTGGGAACTTATAATAATGATGCTTCAAGCTTAGTATGTCGGTACTCAAAATGAATTAAAGTTTCTGCAGACCCTTCCACCCCAAAGATGTGACTAAAATAAAGCAGAACCTTTTGAAATATTGTCACAACACATATTTTAAGCAATAAATTGCTCACAATCACAATGTAAGTCAATAAATAGTCCTTCATGGGACTTATAAATGAAAGGAAAGAAACTAATTCTTACCTGTTTCATCTTTCCATTCCATAACTTGATCTAAATCAACTGATGCAAAAGCTCGCAAACATTCGCCTCCACTCTGCAACAATAAGCATCAATTTAATTAATTTCTTTGTTTCCAAGTTCCAAATGGAAAAATAAACTACACAACTGAATCAATAAACAAGACAAGCATATTAATTATGAAAGATATAATCTAACTAAAACTAGATATTATTTTTGTTGTTACTTTGGTTGCCAATCCATTAACATCTAAGGCATGTTTCAGGAAAAGCTTGTTTTGGCATGGCATAGTTATGATTGTGCAGCCAATCAAATATGTTGATAGTCAATGCCTTTAAAAATGTTTCCGGAATTTACTTAACACAGATATTTATTGGTGGGTTGATTTCGGGTCAACCAATCATAATTTAAACATATTTGGGCAGAAAAATAAGACAGTTAACACCATTTCATTTCATTTGCTGAAAACTTCCTATAAAGAAATGTCTTTAGACCAAGACAAACTTAACTGAACAACCAAAAAATAAAACAAAATGTCGGTATGTCACATTGGATCCACTAAAAACAAATGGCAATGAAAAATCTATCAGACTGTGTAGCTGACCATACAGTTTGTCACATGCAGTCACAGAAATCCATGTCAGAGTTGACGGCCGAGATAAACTGTACTTAAACCACTGTCCATCCAATGTGTTTCGTGTTACTAACCTGTAGTGAGCTATTATCATCCGTTTTCATTATACATTCTATACAAGAAGGAAAAGCTGTGTTCATTATTGCACATGATAAAGGTTTCTGTCCACTCCGTACCAGTGTTGTCAATATATCTAAAGCAGTCTGAAAATGAAAAGTAACAATTATATAATATAAACTTTTGACACTTTCATCACACAAAAAACATAAGTGTAAGAATTTATTACATTATACATGTAAATCAATGCTTTTAATAGGGCATTCTAGAATAGTTTCTTACAGATATAACTATTTAAGTCTACTCTACCCAGTAGAACAAATTCTGGACAATTTATTGTAAAAAAAGTGTCTTAAAGTCCGAAAGTCACACAATGACTTGCTTTTTTGCATATATTTCTTCAGTGCAACTTTTTGACATTTCTTAACCCTTTCAATGCTAGACGTAAATCCACTGCCTGTGCTAGACCCTTTTTTGAGGAAAAAAGGGAGGTTGGAACTGAATGCCAAGCAGTACTTATGGAAGCTTTTATGAAAAATCTTTTTGTCTGTTGGGATGGGCATGAGGTTGGGCTAAGAGGAAAAAATAGAATTTTGGGAATTTGCATAATAATGTAGTCACGTGACGTCATGGCGGCCATTTTGGATTTCTCATTTCACACTAAAGCTAACACGAAAACGAATTTTTCTCCATGAAATACTTAAAAGATATTGTTTTTTTTACTGGATTTTGATAAAGATATATAAAATGAACAAAAATATCAATAGCAGCCATGAGCAATGCCGCCGCGAACACGCGCATCACGTCTCCCGCTGCCATGACCACGTGCGGATTGCAATACCTTGTTTTTACTTTCACTTTCATCCCCAAGTCCCATATCATTATCAATATAGTCAGTCAATAGATCTACACGTTCGGGAATCAGGAATTACCTACGTATTTTACGATCCAGCAGGCCAGCATTATTATCAACATCAGAATTATTGTCAGAATCTACTGCAGACACAGGGCTATCGTGTTCACATTGGGCTTGTTCATCATGCACGGCAGACATAGCTAGCCATGGGCGGAACGTCGCGCAACAAATCACACACTTCATAATACCAATCACTGTCCTGACTACTATCATTATCAAGTAACTGGAAACGAATTATGTGTATCACCCGCCTCGAAATTGTCCACATGTTGGTCAGCAAGACGTCATTCACGACTTCGTCGAGAGTGCATCGTCTACGTTGTCACAATGCACTCCGCCATTTTACGGTTTGCTGCTTTGAAACACGTGGAAATATGTTCTAGTGTATAGAAAATACAATAGATGGCACTTGCAGTTACGGTACTAATTTTAGCGAGGGCTTTACTGAGTACACGGTAATACCGGGTACGGGCATTTTACCGACATTTTATAATACCCGGTACTACCGGGTATACGCAGTGAAAGGGTTAATGTATCTTTTTTATATTTCATTTCATCACACACTATAAGAAAATAATTTGATTTTCATTATAAATAGAAACTAGAAAATATTTCCTTGTATCACTTGTACAATAAAATAACATACTGTCAAAAGAACGAAAAAACATAATAATAATAAATTGATGAGTTCGGAAACATGGAATATAATGTTGACCAATAACTTAAAATGTATCCCCATTTAGTTTGAAATATTTTTCCAAATCTCAGCAAGATTGAAATTGTCAATCAATACAAGCAAGTCTATCTACAATCCCAAGAAGTTTGAAATAAAACAATCCCAAGATGTTTAAACTAAAACAATCCGAACATGTTTGACTTTCAACACGGTTCATCCTTATGGCTAGCTAAACAGTTCTAGTAAATTTGGAAAAGAAAATATTAAAAATCTGGACCTGCAAATCAATTACACAGTTTCAAATGCAGGGGCAATAACTCAGCAAACAAGCCAACAGTGAGGCTGATGTCCCCCGCCGAAATTGCAAAATAAATAGATGACACATATTAATTAATCGCACATTTATTTTTTTCACTAAGTTTCATCACTCTCTATCAGATAGAATCAAGATTATCTTGTCCCAAACCATCGACAAATGAAATCGATTAGCTCTGCTTAGCTTCAGCTCGAAATGTTAATTATTGAACTCAGTCAAGACATTCACCTAATGAACATCTACATATACATCAAGTTTAAACATTCACCTAATAGACACCTATGCCAAGTTTGAACATTCTACCTCAATTAGAAGGAGAGTTATTGTGTTCCAAAGTTTCTACCAATCAAATTGCTTATCACTCTGCTTACCCTCAGCAAAAAATGTTCATTATCGAACTTAGTTAAGGTATTCATATAATAAATCTATACACCAAGTTTCATCAATCTCACTTAATTAGAACTAAAGTTATCGTGTCCCAAAGCATCAACCAATCAAATTGCTTATCTCTGCTTACCCTAAGCGGAAAATGCTCATCTTCGAACTCCATCAAGGCATTGACCTAATCAACACATACACCAAGTTTGAACATTCTAGCTCAATTAGGAAGAGAGTTATCGTGCCCCAAAGTATCAACCAATCAAATTGCTTATCTCTGCTTACCCTAAGCGGAAAATGCTCATCTTCGAACTCCATCAAGGCATTGACCTAATAAACACATACACCAAGTTTGAACATTCTAGCTCAATTAAAAGTTATCGTGTCCCAAAGCATCAACCAATCAAATTGCTTATATCTGCTTACCCTAAGCAGAAAATGCTCATCTTCGAACTCCATCAAGGCATTGACCTAATCAACACATACACCAAGTTTGAACATTCTAGCCCAATTAGGAAGAGAGTTATCGTGTCCCAAAGCATCAACCAATCAAATTGCTTATCTCTGCTTACCCTAAGCGGAAAATGCTCATCTTCGAACTCCATCAAGGCATTGACCTAATAAACACATACACCAAGTTTGAACATTCTAGCTCAATTAGGAAGAGAGTTATTGTGTCCCAAAAAGTGTGACGGACAGACAGACGGACGGACAGACAGACGGACAGACAGACGGACAGACAGACAGACGGACAGACAGACAGACGGACGAACCCATTTTAATAGTCCCCTGCTTTCTTCGAAAGGCGGGGGACAATAATTGATGCAATGGTGTTAATATCGACAGGATTCATGTTTATGAGTTGCAGAATATGCCAAGCAAGTTTTGGGAAAAAGTATGGTTATGACAGTGCTTGTCATGAATGCACGTAATAATTGAATACTGATCATCTTTACCACAATTGTTGAAAATTTCATGAAATTTGGTTTGAGAAGTGGGTGTGAGTAAAGTAATATTTTGATCAGCAGTCAATCAGTCTTGCTGAAACTGGATATCTTTTGATGAAAATGATTACAAGAACATGTGGATAGACAGAGAAACAAACAGAGATTACATCAATGTGGTTGTATTAAAAGCAACGAAACCAAAACAATCAACAATAAAAACAATCAACAATTAAAACAGAAGTTACAGATGTAAACTGGGTGGTGGGTTCAAAATGTTCCATGCTCTTTCTTCTATAATGAGTGTTTGGTTCCTAAAATCATATCTTTATAATCAATACTCAATCAAAATAAAAGGGATAGTTTTATTCTTAGCTGGTCATCATGTATTAGGTTCAGATAATGCAAGATGACCGTTTAAACGGGCATTATGGGAGATTAGATAAAGATCTGACAACTCTCGCTATGATAGATAAAAGAATAGTTAGATAACATAAAGAGAATATGCTGAAAATTTCAGTCATATTGCTCTACTCTGAATCAAGATATTAGCGATTGAATTTTAGGCCTACCCTCAATCATCTTTACTAAAGTCACTACGATAAAAAAAACAAAGTCTCGATTATCCATTTTGACGTTAAATCATCCATCACAAAATGTATTCAAATCCAGTTAATATCGCAGGCTAGCGATGGCATCGAGAGTTGATTATGGTCTGGATATGTTAATTAACGTCTAATTAATAATTTAGATAACATTTCAGACCTAGAAAAAGGCCTGCAACAGGCAGATTTAGCTCTTGCATAATGTATGTTTAACAGTTTTATTTAATTTAGATATTTTCTTAGTCTAAGAAGATAATATTGTTTACTGATTCTTAGACCTGTTGAAAAACATAATAGACAGGTGCTTTCATGATAACATTGAGGATCATTTGACGTCAGTGTCAGTTTGATTGACTCAATTATTTTAATAACTAGTTTGTGCCCACAACAATGAAGTCACCAACCATTCAAGTTACCGATCAACCAAAACATTTTTCAAAATTGGTCTTTTTAAGCATTTAAAAGGATTCACTGAGAGGGCAGTACATATGTGATAAATCTTTGTGAGACTCTGAATTTTGACAGTTATATGTTGTATAACTTACTGAATTTAAGCCTGGCATCTTGTCCATGGGTGATCGAAGTATTGATGATAATGTTGGTACTAACCGTTCTTCGAACTTTCTACTACAACCAGGATTTTCTGCTATTTCTTTTATTAAATCTTGAACAAGTGACACTATAAATGGATCTAACAAAATGTAAGAAATATTTTAATACAGATTGCAATTAATTAAAGTAAATCATATATTTACACAAAATGAAATGGGTTTAACGTCCTACTGTTCTTCTCCAAACTGGGCTAATGAAGACAGGCCTACGCCATACAGTGTGCTATGAGGGATTTTGCCTGGACAGCGGCACTACGGTCTACTCTTTTATATCGAATTCCAACTGACAAGGTATCTTTTACATGCACGCCAATGTGTATACGGAACCTTGGTTTTTCTCCCCATCCAAATGACTAGACAGCTGTCCTTGTCAGGCCCTCTGTCCTGCATCACTGACAAGAGGGAACCACGCTGGAAAATCCGAATGAACTTTCTCGGCCAATGCAGGGATCGATCACCTGACCTCCAGGCTAGCGAGCCAGCATTTAACCCACTTTGCCACCGTGACCCCCTATTTACAGAAAATAATATGTCTTATATGCTAAAAATATAAAAAGAACTTTGGGTAAGTCCATATTTTGACATAATTTTACATGCAGATATTAAATGATCAAGTATTTTTGTACAAGTAGAGCACATAAGCAATTTCAATAGTTCCCCTGCTCCCGTACAATGGGGATCAAACATGATGCAACATCCTACCTGAGCAATGTTTGAGATATACAGCTATTGCAAATGGTGATATCTTCTCTTCTATAGATGTTGTTAACTGTTTATCAACCTAAAATGGAAACGAAATTAAGTGTGAACATTTCTTTAAGCTAAGACAAATATAAACATCCACAGCTAGAGAAGCTATCAAACTTTTATTTCTTGTTTAAGGTTGAGATCAGTAGACTGGACTTCAGTCTATGGTAATACTAGCCATCTCAAGGATACTGTACTAGCCATCTCAAGGATACTGTACTAGCCATCTCAAGGATACTGTACTAATTTGATTTGTTTATGTCTTTTTTTATATAAAATGGAGTGAGAGACCACAGATCGTAATTTTGATCCAAATTTCGAGAGGAAGTCTCACCAGGTGGAATATTGATATACTTTAACAAATGCTATGCAAGTAGAATTGTGACATCATGAAAAGACAATGGCAGACCCAATAACAGACAGTTGAATTGTCACCTAATGAAATGCAGCGGCAATGGTATTTGGTGGAGGTAATTTTTTTTTTCATTTGGTACATGCAAATTCCAATGTCTACTCCTCTGAGAGAATTCAACTGGACGACACTCCATGAAAGTTCCCCATTTCAACTTACCGATATAATAAGTGTCAATGCTTCTATGACTAAACCTAACACATCTGCTGAAAACTGTGTTCCCATGGTAATTAAACCATCAACAATGTTCAAAACAAACGGCACCAAAATTTGTGTGTTATTGTTATTCTTTAAATGTTCACAATAATTATACAGAGCTCGAATAGCTGATATTCTAACACTAGGTGCCTGTGACATGTGAAGTCCTCCCACTGATGCTTGAATACATCTACAAAATCAAAACATATGAATATTAACAAGGATGCAACAAGGCATTAATCCAACCTAATAAATTGGGGGTCACGGTGGCTAAGTGAGTAAGACGCTGGCTCGCTAGCCTGGAGGTCGGATGGTCGATCCCTGCATTGGTTGAGAAAGTTCATACAGATTTTCCAGCGTGGTTCCCCCTTGTCAGTGATGCAGGACGGAGGGCCTGACAAGGACAGCTGTCTAGTCGTTCAGATGGGACGAAAGCAAGGTCCTGTGATCACATTGGCATGTACGTAAAAGATCCCTTGACAGTTGGAATTCAATAGTGTCGCTGTCCCGGCAAAATTTCCCTAATAGCACACTGTATGGCGTATGCCAGTCTTCATTAGCCCAGTAGGAGCAAAACAGTAGGACGTTAAACCACATTTCATTTCATTTCCAAACTAATAAATCAAAGTACTGGATTCACCTCGTCGGATTCACATCTAATATTTGTTACCATTTTCAATAAAATTATTACAAAATACAAACTAAACTGTTCAGACTAATTTTACAAAATCCTGACACAATTTTTGTCTCCACAACAAAGATATGTATTAATATCATTTTTTACCCTAATATATTACATAATATAAAAGATAAATAATAAAAACTTACTTTTCCAGTAAATCTGGCTTCATGATTTCAGCAAACCTACTGGCTGTCCACAGACAGCGACCTATTAAAAATGGTGAAGCTGAAAATGAAAAGAATAATATAAACAGAATCTTTATTTTTTACAAACTGAAATTAAAGAAAAAATCAATCAACTAGTAGATGATAAAAAGAAACTAAACAACAAAACAGGCATAATACCAACCAGGGCCCTGTTTCTCGAAATCTTAACTAAAGATAAAATCCAAATTTTAGTCGATACTTCAATTTTGATTGGCTAAGCACTACAATCAGTCTAATATTATCCAATCAAATTACTAAAATTTGGATTTTATATTAGTTAAAATTTCGTGAAATAGACCCCAGATCTTTGAGGAACTAACATAAGGTTTAGTGATATTTAAACATGTTTATTCATGTATCAATTTTTAGCATCTTAGCAGCATGGGGGGTGGGGGGTGGGGGACAAGAAGTAGAGAGAAAGTTTAACATTATTTGGTGAATAACATACAATTCCTTTTAATTTCAGTAACGTTTGTTTTTTTAGCAGTATGAGGAAACAAGAGGACCGAAATCATGCCAATTGACTCACTAACAGACCGAATGATCTAAAGCGTACACATTAAATCGCTTGGACTTTCAAAACCCCCAGACCAGAGAAAACCACAAGGTTAGACAGGCAACCCTACTCCTTGCCACTAACTCATAATTTTGCATACGTTAAACTACTTTACTACACTGTCACTTACAATATTCAATTACCTGCTATATTTAAATCTGCTAAAACAACTGACTGGAGAAAGGAGTCTATATCAAACTGAACCTTGGATTCTTGAATGGACTGGATGATCATAGATTTAACACTGCCAATTGCCAACATGCATGACTCGTGCAATTTCCACCTGAAAAACATTCTAAGACATTATATAATCAAACATGCTAGCTAAGCAATCATGGAAATGGTTCAATCGAGTCATTGTGCATATTTCACTGCTCTAGACAAAAGAAATGAGCTCTAATAAGATAAGTTATTTAAGATGTAAGATCGTAAATATAGTTCCAAGTGTAAAGAGTCTTACCAGTTGTGATTTCCTGCATTTTTACCAATTTCTGCTTCATGAAGATGTCTAGATATGGCTTCACACAAAGCTGGTGCACTACTTGTAGGAAATTCACTGGATATTGACTGAACAAAAACAATTTTACAGTTAAAAAAAAAAGTTGAAACTAAATAAAAATAGTTAACACTGTAACCCAGGTATCGTTTAATCTTGTGTATCTAGCATTAATTTCTTTCACATTCGTTAAATATCAAATCTTTGTTTAAAATTTGTAAAAACTGTTTAAAATCACCATAAATCGTTTAATTTGTACTTTTGTCCAGTTTAAAGCTGACCATTCAATTTTGATAATGAGTGTCCAATTTACAAGTGTTTAATTTCTCAATCATTGTTAAAAAATAAACAACCCAATTGATTAATGATGTATAATGATTAATATTTGAACAGTGATCAGGAAATTAAATACTTGTAAATTGGACACTCATTATCAAAATTAATCAGTCAGCTTTAAACTGGACACATGTACAAATTAAACGATTTATGGTGATTTGATATTAAACGAATGTGAAAGAAATTAGTGCTAGATAAATGTACACAAGATTAAACAATACCTGGGTTACAGTGTAAACAGTTGTAATTTTTTAAATAATGTGCCAATATCATTTTTGTTTAGTGCAGGATACAATGTCTTCATCCGCAATCAAGAGCTCATACTCTAGGTGTTGACATATACAGCAATCTAAAAGCATGAATCTAGCAAACTATATGGCAACTAGAAGTGGGCAAGGAAACAGAGTAGTAGCTCACAATCAAATGTACATATTCACCGCCACAGGGGGTATTTACAGCTAGACCCCAGATTCTTTCATCGGATCTGATATATATATTTGTTGTTTTAGGTGTCTGTATATATTGTGTCCTGTTCAAAGGTTGTCTTGTGTACAAGCAATCTAATTAAAACACAGATCCTATTTCGTTTCATTTTTTATAGTTTCAAATTTTGTTTTACTTGTCTTTACTACACCAGCAGGGCTAGAAATTCGTCATTTTTTGCAAGAATCTAAGAGGATTCTCATATATGCAATCTGCGCGAAACCTCCGAATCTTTATTAATAATAATGTCTAAAAAAAATAATGTGTTTTTTTGTGTTAATCTAAAACATCAAAATACAACAACAATGATAAAAATAAAACAAGCAGATGGAATTTTTGGTAAACACTTAAAATAAAACCATGTACGAACAATCCAAACCATTAGCCAAAACTCGAAGTCCTAAAAAACGGTTTACAAAGTAGGCCCTAATATCCAGATAATGCCGTAGCCAAAATAAAACGATAAGGCACCATGTCATTTCTTCATAACACAATTTGTAGTCTTTTGTCCATCACGTAACTAGTCACCGTCACTTGCAATTTTTTTTATTCATTTGTGGATGATAGACAAACGGTAGAATGATCACATGACAATCGAAATGAAATTGCAATAAAATAAAATTCAGTACGACTAGGATATATCCTTCAATAATATTTTTTAAGATTTAGCATCTGTCAGCATGTGTATAGTATACCAGCGGCTGCCAGGATAGAGAACAAGCTAAAAAGAAAGTGATTTTTCCTACAATCAAGGGCCATAATTCAGGAAATTACAATTCGATATGCGCAAATATCGAAGAAACCGAAATCTTTGGGTTATAAACTTATATTTCAAGTTTCAACAAAATCGGATAAAAATTGTGACCTCTTTAGGCCGATTTTCACGAAATTCGAAATCAGTCGTCCTTATGGTGTAACGATGATATAATAGTATGGGTTTTTAAATCGGATAAAAATTATGACCTCTATAGGGTCCACAAGCTAAAAACGCGATTTTTCGTACTATCAGGGGCCATAATTCAGGAAGTTACGGTCCGATATGCGCGAATATCGAAAGGAACCTAGATCTTTGGGTTATAAACTTACATTTCAAGATTCAACAAAATTGGATAAAAATTGTGACCTCTATAGGGTCCACAAGCCAAAAACGTGATTTTTCGTACAAACAGGGGCCATAATCCATGAAGTTTCGATCCGATACATGCCAATATCGAAAGCAGCCAAGATCTTTTGGAGATACACCTATATTTCAAGTTTCGTTAAAATCGGATAAGAATTGTGACCTGTAGAGTGTCCACAAACAAATTGTGGACGGACGGACGGACGGACGGACGGACGTCCGTCCGGACGGGGGCGACGGCATAATACGTCCACATGAAAATGTGGGCGTATAAAAATAAAATAATCATAACGGTACACGCAAATTTTGACCTAATTCCAACCAAGATGTCACGTGTTATTGGAATTCGACATTGAGATTCCGTCGAGAAAATATCCACTGTTTCTCTCTCCGTGTATTCGGTGTTCTATCAGGGGATTATATTCAATGAAGATTTAAATTTACCTAACAACTGGTCAAGGAATTCATCAATGTATGATCCAGTTATATTTTTTTTAAATTATATCCAGAATTCACACGGATGGACGGACGGAGCGTGGAATACGCACGATTCGCAAACCATGCCAAGGTCGTGGCTTATTAATTATTTTACTGAACATATTTAATATTATGAATAATTACTGTATATATACAGCTTTAATTTTGCTTCCAGAAGCCATGTCATTGTCCTAAAAAAGTTTGATAAATACGTTGTCCGCACAAACGGCAGTGGACGAAAAAAAACACGTGGCCGACCTTGACAGTGACAAAATAGAATTGGAATGACCCAATTTAAGCCCTGTGGGGAATCAAATCGCCGTCCGAAAGGATAAAATTGTGGAACCCAAACTATTTCGTTTCAAGGTTGGCATGCTAAATATTTTTTAAGAAGGATTAAAATAAATAATTAGGAAACAAATAAATTTTTATCGTAACTGAAATATGCATAAATACTCTACTTCTAAAAGCAGTCGCTGTGTCATGATCAGAGAATTTTCCACAAAATTTATTACATAACAAAAAGACAACGGCCAGCCAGAAACTCGTCAAACTTATAAGTTAGAAGTAAACAGTAAAACAAAAACACAACAATTATTTTATTTTATTATACATGTAGTATGCTATAAAGTAAGTCATACAAATTGACTGACTGACATTCAACAGTCGGTCGGACTCGACAATTCTCCCGAGATTTTTTTTTTTATACAAAAGTTTTACACGAATCCTTATAGATTCGCATCATAACCTCTTGCGAGAACCCCAGCACGAATTAGATTCGGAGATTCGCGTCAATTTCTAGCCCTGACCAGGATCTGGAAGAGTCGTTATATAACCCGCTTTCTGGCTGATGTGAAGGATTGTCAGTTGCAGCGAGTTCTTGACGTGTGATGCACGGAACTGTGTGTTTCCCACTAGAAACATAAATGCTGATTGGTTAATCAAATGTCTGACATAATAGGGTCAAAAGTCACTCGGATAACCCCTGATGCGGGTCAGATCTTCGTGTAGTGGAGGCCATCGAAAGTAAAAAAAAAACAAGGAAAAATAGATCTGTATTTTGATCAGATTGGTGTACAAGTTTTATTGTGTTACTTACTAAGAGTAAATCTTGAGCTGATATTCTAACAGAGTAGGAAAAACTATCATCATCTTCATCTTCTACAAACTGATCAGGATTATTCGACCATAATCTTATCTGTAATTATAACAAATTGAAAAACAACTAAATAATCAAAAGTTTTTTTTATTTACTATCACTGAAATATATGATGGGAATGGAATTGAATGTCAAACCAACATAGTACTTTGTTATTCTGAGACTAACATATACATTTTTTTTTTTATCTACACCTGGATAGTGACATTTCCATGTACTGTTCTTCCCCTTCCAGATGTGAAGGGAGCCACGGTGGCTCATTGAGTAAGATGTTATCTTGCTAACCTGGAGGTTACGTGTTCGATCAATGCATTGGCCGAGACAGTTTATGAGGATTTTTCGGCGTAGTTTCCCCTTGTCAGTGGTGCAGGAAAGAGGATCTGGCCTGGAAAGGGACAACATATAGTCGTTCAGATATGATGAAAAACTGAGGTACCGTGTACACATTGGCGTACATGTTAAAGATCCCTTGGCAGTTGAAAAGGAATATAACAGTAGGCTGTAGAACTGCTGCTGTCCAGGCAAAATTTCCCCCATAGCACACTGTATCGCATATGCCCATCTTCAGTAGCGCAGTTGGAGCAAAACAGTAGGCCATTAAACCCCATTTCATTTTTAGATTTGGAGGGTTCTCTTAAATACACTCCAATGCGTACACTGGCTGATTTTGGCTGACTTTAATTTGATGAAGAGCACCAATGTCCATGGAAAATTTCCCTCATAGCACATTGTGTGTGCCTGCAAAAAAATAAAACTTTACACCCCAATTTCTTTTCCATATTTCAAATATCATACTAAATATACTAACCTGATCTTCCGACATCTGCATATATATAACAATATAATATATAATATCATTAACTGTTTTCTTCACAGTACTACGAAACTTTGATGTCTCTATTAGCCCATGTACAAACTCAAAAATACTGTAAACTAAATTCTCAAATCCCAGAATTTCACCTGTAAAAAACAAAGAAAGAAAAAATTAAATTTAAAAATATTCTATTAGTAGAATCGATAGAACTCAGTTGTACCATTCAATCAAAATAAAATGAAGCTTAACAAGCTTCTGATCTGCTCCAACTGCGACAATAAAAAGAGATAGAGAAATGGGGTTTAACGTCAACTCAACACAAACTAGGTCATTTCGGGACTAACATATGGTTCAATTTTATTTCAACAATTTGCTTACGTGTAGGGGTCTTTAGCAGTAGGCGGAAACGGGAGGACCCAGAGAAAACCCCTGAGGTTGGACAGGCGACCCTACTCCTTGTCACGTACAAAACTGGGGAATTGAAACCACGTCAGTTGACTCAATGACAGACATTATAATGCAGCGTGCACACGCTTACCATTCCGCCATCCAAACCCCCCACCCCCCGCAACTAGGACAATAAGACGAGCATACACCATACACTGAAGGGCCACAGAGCAGTCAGATTGACTGAATGTTCAGTGCTATAGAAAATGATTATTATTTATTATAATTACGAGGAAATTTTTGCCCAGACAGCTATGACAAAACCTATTTTTATATCGAATTCCAACTGCTGAGAGATCTTTTACAAGCACATCAATGTGTACATGAGATATTGTTTTTCCATCCCATCCAAACAATTATACATTTTTCCTTGTCAGACCCTCTGTCCTGGCCATTCAATCAACTAGAAATAATAATGTAACCCAATGAGTTGACTATCACTAAATAATAACAAAGGGAAAATTTCATAAATCTATTTCTCAGACAAACAGTATTCAACTCACCTTCTGAATCTACAACTTCATCTAAATCCTCTAACTTATTTACAACTGTACGCACATAACTATAATTTTGTCAAGGTAATTCATCTAGAGGCTTGTATAAAATCACATTTTATAGTCTGCACACCGCGCATTATAAATTGCAATTTTGTGCAAATTCTCAACTTACCAAACCGCCAAAATGAAATGAAATGGGGTTCAACATCCTACTGTTTTGTTCTTAACTAGGCTAATGAAGACGGGCATATGCCCTACAGTGTGCTATGAGGGAAATTTTGCCTGAACAGCGCCACTACGGCCTACTCTTATATTGAATTCCAATTGTCAATGGATCTTTTACATGCACGCCAATGTGTACACTGGACCTTGGTTTTTTGTCCCATCCGAACGACTAGACAGCTGTTCTTGTTAGACCCTCCATCCTGCATCACTGACAAGGGGGACCCATGCCCAAACAGACAATATATATTCATGTATTAAGTTTTGTATGAATATTTATTTTCCCAATCCACCATCTTAAATTTTTACGAAATCATTTGAAAGGTTTTGATTAGATTTCTCATCAAGGCAGAATGTATTCTTGTGTTGGCACTTTCCTTTAACTTTAATATCTCTTCAGTTCAGAAGTTAATGGAGTGACTACCCAGAAAAAGGAAATAAAATAACAACTAATTTTACATGTAATTAAAATGTTTTACAATAGATTACATTTTAACAAATATTTTATGCAATAAATAAACAATTGTAGTTTTTTAGTAAGCTTTAGATATAGTTTTTAGTCTAACTGGTTAACAAAGGATACAATTCAGCACTTTGTGTAAAGATTGTCCAGACTGTTGGTAACATCTGTGGTAACCATTGTGCCATAGTTTTAGGGAAACTTTTTACTAATGTGGTTATAGCCTGAAAAATGATTAAATTGACAATTTCACAAAATATCAAGCATGAGTATAGATTGGTTCATCAAATAATAAACAATACTTTTTTCCGATGGCTTTCCCAACAAAGTACCTTTCACTGGAAAACATGACAATTTCCGTTTGAAGCATATTTTTTTCCTTATCTAATTAAATGTATTTTAATGTTGATTCAAAAAAGTATAACTGAAAGAACATTGAATTAGTACCTTCACTATTTCTGTTTTTAAACCACTATCAGAAGTATGACTATCTGGTAATTGTAGAGCTAAAACTAAAGCTTCTGTAAACTGGGGTAGAATAGGAAATAACAGCTGTTTAGCTACACCCTGAAATAAATAATCTCCATTTTATTCAGTTAGAATTAATAAAAATCTGAAGTTATCATTTCCTATTTAAAAAGATCTGCAGATCACAAAGTAAATAAATTTGAAAAATGTCAGTAAGGGTTAACTAATTGATAATTTGGATAGAGAGAGAGAGAGAAATGGGGTTTAAGTCCACTCGACACAAACTAGGTCATTTCGGGACTAACATATGGTTTAATTTTATTTCAATAATTTGCTTGCGTGTAGGGGTCTTTAGCAGTTGGAGGAAACCGGAGGACCCAGAGAAAACCCATGAGTTTGGACAGGCGACCCTACTTCTTGTCACGTAAAACCGGGGATTCGAAACCACGCCAGTCGACTCAATGACAGACTTTATGATACAGCACGCGCACACTAACCATTCATCCATACAAACCCCCGATAATTTGGATAGAGAGGAGTAACAGGGGCAGATGAATGAATGAAATTTTGTTTAATGGCACGTCAGCACCAACTGGGTTATATTGCACCAACAGGGGTGAATGTATTTAATCTGTAAACATACAGCCTGAGTGAGATCGTATTCCAGATTGACATTTAAATATTAATAGATCTATATCTCTCTCTCACCTTCTGTAATTCATTCATAGTTGAAATCATTCCTATACAAACATTGAAAATATGTACAGCTCTTCCTCTTGTCCGCACTCCATAAACCTTAAAAATTTAAAGATTGGTTTTATATGCTATATTCTACAGATTATAAAAAAGACCAGTTTTATATTCAGTATTATAGGGACAGGTAGCTTTTCTTCATACCTGTCGCTTCAGTAACCAACCTGTCACTCTAAATTATCAAAGACCAATCACGTCACATAATATTATCAATAGGTACACAAATCTAATTATTTGATTTTGTTAAATTTTCTTGTAAATTATTCATAGCCTGTATGGAAATTGTTTTAAACATTTTAAATGATTAAATACACCAAACAACGAGCTGTGTGCATCTCCATTCCAGTCACCACTATATTTACTGTGGTGTCGTTATTGTAGAATTAGGTGAGATGACTTTGGGATGCATTTTAATTTATTTAGATATAATACTTCATAATACTACTGAGTTATTGTGTCCCAAAATATGTGACGGACAGACATATCAAATAATAGTTCACTGTCAATGGGCCTACATATTTTCTGTGAATAGGGTATTTTACAACTTGAAAAGCTGAATTCATCATTATTTCAATAAGTGAAATGAAATGAAATGAAATGAAATGGGGTTTAACGTCCTACTGTTCTGCTCCTAACCTGGGCTAATGAAGACGGGCATACGCCATACAGTGTGCTATGAGGGAAATTTTGCCCGGACAGCGGCACTACGGCCTACTCTTATATCGAATTCCAACTGCCAAGGGATCTTTTACGTGCACGCCAATGTGTACACGGGACCTCGGTTTTTCGTCCCATCCGAACGACTAGACAGCTTTCCTTGTCAGCCCCTCCGTCCTGCATCACTGACAAGGGAGAACCACGCCGGAAAATCTGGATGAACTTTCTCGGCCAATGCAGGGATCGAACACCCGACCTCCAGGCTAGCGAGCTAGCGTCTTACCCACGTGATCCCCCTATTTCAATAAGTAAAGACCACTACAATACATGTATTGTAATAATATGCCATACCTCTGCCTGTAAAAATATATTATATAATTCTGGTAGAATAACTGGAGCTACATGAGCCATCTGGGTATCTGTCACATCCTGGGAAAATTCTTCAATATAAAAAAAAAAAAAGTATGATAAACATCAACTGACCAAAATAATTCAACAATTGGTTTTATTTTGACAAAATTTTACACCAGTAATTAATTTTCCTATTAGGTGATGGAAGGATTTTATTCAAAGTGGCATCTTATGTCATGAAAGAGTCTAACACAAAAGTAAAAATGAAATGAAATTGGGTCCTACTTTTCTGCTCGGACTGGGCTAATGAAGGTGGCAAAAGTAGAAAAAAAGTTATTGGCTATGTGAACCTCGAAATACACAAAAAGTTGAGCCTAGCACTCTCTCAATCAGCATTTCAAACAGTAAAACTGTGCAAAAGTGTTAGAATTAGTAATGACAAGATTAAAGAATATACTCTGTTTATTCCCTACTTGCCGGAAATGAAATGTGGTTTATAATGTCCTACTTTTTAACACTGACTGGGCTAATGAAGACAAGCATACATAATGTTGTGTGCTGCATCGTACTCTTATTTCAAATTCTAATTGTCTAGTGTTCTGTTACGTGCACGCCAATGTAGTACACAGGGCCTCTGTCTTTAATAACATCTGAACGTCAAGCCATCAGTCCTACACCATTGACAAGGGGAAACCATGTCAGAAAATCCAGAGGAATTTTCTTGAATGTACAGCGTGAATCTGAACACATTCTTTTTAAAGCTGGCGCTATATAAATGATTTTATATAATAATAATAATAATGAGTGAACTAGTGCAGTAAAGTGAAATGTTCAAACTGTGTAAGTCTTACATGTGTTTTGAGAAATGTAACAATGGTCTACAGATAAATGGAGAAAATTTATACTAACCTGTTAAAACTCTCATTGCTCCATGAACAGCATTAGGATCCCCACTAGTCAACTCTCGCATCATAATATCAAATAAATTTGGCCACGTTTCTGGCCAATCCCAGTGTGCTATAGCAGATATTGCATATGCTATACTTGTTCGAACTTTACTGATTGATTCCCGTAAACCAGAGGGCAGCAATTCCCTAATTCTGTGCTTGGCCTGAAGATTTAAAGAGATTAGTTAGATTCATGGAAGGCAATTATTCATCAAATAATTTAATTTCTGTAATTACTCCAGGGTATTACCTTTTAATGTCTCAAAAATTGAAATTTGTGGATGATTAATTGCTAGTGTCAAAAACAAGAAAATCGCATGCACTGCTCGACTGATAATCCTTAGAGTGTCAAAAAGATAATCGTTAAAAGTGATGTCCAATAAACAGGTCAGAAAAAGTTAATAAACAAAGATGGGTACTTTACACAATACCGAAACAATATGTCCTACATATCATTCGTAATTGGTAATAACCTCTTTAGACTCCTGGGATACGATAATAGTCTCTATCATCCAGAAAAATATTATACGAATATCAGCTAGATTATTAGGTCTTTTATATTATCATAGACAAAGTCTAAGGGAGGTAACTAGTCCTAAAACAAGATGTTGACACCCATGAAATTAATTTAAGAATGCTGTTTCAAAAAATCCATTTGATTGCATTGCCAGTTCAATATCTAACATTCTTAACTTATTTTATTGTAAAATTTCTCTCTTCATGGGCCATATATGTTTTTTTAAATTATTCCTAATTCGTCATCACGATTCATGCTTGTTTATATTAATGCAAGAATTATGGGATTCATTGCGGGAAGGGTCACAACTCTTACTTGATTTGGCCAAAGATACTGGATAATCAACCACCTTAAAAACCAAACTCCCGGTTAAACATGGGCAATGGACATATTGACAACTGTCCCAGACCCTCCATACGTTGAAGACTAGGAGGTTCTGGGTGACCGAGACTAGTACTCTAATTGAAGTTTGGAGTAAAGAAAGGGATGAAAATTTTTCTCCAGCAACATGTTATAAATACTGACCATATCGCCAGTAACTGGTGGTCGGAATTTATCAGAGTGTTGTGACCAATGTGCTTCCACATACTGTTTTAATAAAACTGATGCTAGCTGTCTGACTGCTAATGGTCCATTTGTTTCTATTGTTACTTCTGCTAAATGTACTCCAAATTCTGAAAATAAATATTGTTACGTGTTAGTAAATTTTTCAACTCTATCTGCCAATCTAATTAAAATTAGATCTTTTATTACATCAATTCTCTATTCTCATTAAAAGTGAAGGTCCAGATTTCATAGGATGCCATAGAAAAGTGGTTTAAGTATAAAATAAACCACAAAATGTGACTGTATAGACTACCAGTATTTATCTTGTCTGAAATCTTTATAAATCAATGTATTATTAAGCTTCTGAGAAAGTTATCCAAGCACTTGTACATGAAAAAAGGAATTTGGGGACGTTTGGGCAACTTAACATGGAAAATCTAAGTTAGTTTTCATTTCTTTGATTCACAGCTAGCTTCCGACTGCTTCCATATTTCAGACACACTGCAATTTTGAATCTTTGAAAAATTGGGAATCGTCAGTCATTTATTGCTTTGCCTAGCCCAATAACAATTAAATTCTTTTAAAATTAAAGGTTCCAATTTTGTTTCCCCAAAACTAAAAAACTTTTGACAAGGAGTCAATAGGCAGGTTACTCACATCCACGGCATTACTTCAACTCAAATAACAATAATTTATATTAATATTTATGCCAAATTGTCATTTTTAATTTAAAATTGTAGCGTTTTTGTGTCATATTCCCCTGGATGATGTCACCAAAGAACATAACTCGTGTATTACACGTATGTAACGTAATCGTTTGCTACAAATTAAAATCAAACATTTTTGGTATAAAAAACCCTGGTAAAAATTATAAACAAAAATCGCTTTAATTTTATGATAAGAGTTGAAATAATGGCTGTTTTATGTAAATCGTGCTACCGGGATAATCCTGCCACTGGGTACATTGACAGTTCAACAAGTTGGGATGTTGGAATTGGATCCTCAGTGACTGACAATCACAGTGCCTCACTGCCCTCAGTCAATGACTCAATTGCAACTCAGGATTAATTAGCACTGTAGGTTTATCATGGTGTACTGTTATGGTGTTACCTTCAGTAACTTCCAGTGCTTTAATCTGGTTCTCGCCGTCAGTTCTAGTACCATGATCAGGCGATAAAATGGCAGATAAACTATCCACAAGTATTTCTTTTAGCGATCGCGTGCGATCAACAACTCCCGCCATGATGGAATAAAATGGAGTATCGTTAGAAAGTGATTGAAACGAAACGTCGGGATTCAAAAACTAATGCTAACAAAGATAAACACATTTTGTAAGGTTTTTTTTATGTATGATGATTAAATAACTACTTAGAAATAATCTGTTCCAGAATTTATAAGTTTTTTATTAACATTACTATATTTCGTTTCATGTTATATTTTTAATTATCGTTTTGGGAAATTTACACTATTAACCAATCATAGTACAGTTCTCTATGATCCAATGACGTATTATCCATATCGCGACAATAAAATAAATAAATGTAGGTTACCCTTGGTTGGCCATATACCTTGGCAAAGAAATACGAAATGCAATAGGCCTACAATCGTGGATGACAATACGTAGACCCACAATAAGAAATGGAAAGGTATTATCAAATAGTAATACGTTCTTCACATATAAGTCATAGACCAAGATGAACCAAGTTTTTCGGGTTACTTTACTGTACACTGTAAATGAAAATTGCTAACCTAGATTTCAAAATATGCTTATAAATTTCCCTTCTCCGAATTCAATTAATTATTTATTGTCCTTCTACAATTTTATATTGATTAATTGTTTGGTCTTAGTTTTTGGTTTTTCTTCATTATTCATGTCAGGATGGCCGAGCGGTCTAAGGCGCCAGACTCAAGGTTGATACCTTCACCTTCAGTGGTGACATGAGGATTCTGGTCTACGAATGTAGGCGTGGGTTCGAATCCCACTTCTGACAAATACTTTTGCTAAATCGATTTTTGGGCTAGTTTGGTGTGCAATGCGATATTGAATATGTTACATATTTTAACGACAGGTGTTCGATAGCGCCGCTGGTGTAGTGGTATCATGCAAGATTCCCATTCTTGCGACCCGGGTTCGATTCCCGGGCGGCGCATGTTTTTTTTGGTTTTTTTACTAGTACTGTATGCATTTAGTTTTACCGATACTAATTCTGTACCGAAAAAAATAATACAATTACTGTATGAACAATGTATTTTCCCAAAATAACGGTTTAACTTTAATTTATAAGGGACTTAACAAATATGAAACGCCCCTGAAACCTTTATTTTGGCGGGAAATTTGAACGTTGTTATAATGCTAGTGCAAGATTAAAATTTAAATAGACGCAGGGGCCTGCAGGTGGGGATTATTTGGGGATGATATCAGGGCAAAGATTACCCTTACCTTGGACTTGCTTTGGAAATGCACGCTCCCTTTCAGGTCAAAAAAGCGAAATTGGAACGTTGAATTGAAAACGAAAGATAAGATATGGAAAATCAGAGTTATTGTTTCAAAAAAATCAACTTTCCATTTCAGGGGCATTAGTAGCTGTGGCGCATGAGTATTGCTACACAGTACACACCACACTGATCCGCAGTGAATATTTGCTTGGCCGCGACAATCACCGATAAGGATGACATTGATGCGGCTTAATGAGCTAGAAATATTAATTCTTTTTCTGCGACAAATTAAATTCTAAAACATTTTTTGTATATATTGGAAAAATAAATAAAGGCGTTTGACGTATTTGTAGTTAAAAATTATTTCCGATTTTTAGTGTAAATGGGTATTAAAATGACTAAAATGCAGCATTCTCTCCGAAGCAGTTATGTCTTATGTAAACAATGCACGCGCCATTCAGCCAATGATTCACACCGCGTGCTGTGACAGCACGTGTTAAGGCAGTCATCTATGACAGAGATATTATACGAGACTCGTAATTCTCTGTGAAACAGATTGAGTACACACATAACCATTCGTCCTATATCACTCCTGTTCACTGATAGGAATAGGAGGTCCTGGCGTAGCCTACTTAAGTAAATGTCTCCCTGATATTAACCCCCGCTTAGATTTATTTATTTGCTAATCATATTTATTCAAAAAGTTATTTCTTTTCAAAATACGGGAAGAATTTTTCATCCGAATCTCAATCGGGTTATGCCTTTTAAATATATAAAAACAAAAAGTCTCTAGGACTAGTCTGTTTTATTTATAACATAACAAAAATTTGTGGAGAATATTAACAGATAAATCGCATCGGTCGTTTTTTGTTTTTTTTTCAGAGAAAATTCTGTAACCATTATTCAATCAAATGGTTAATTTATACTTATATTGACCCAATGAAATTCATGATACTTGTGGTAATTGTTTTATCCCCCAAATCTTTAGACCTGTAAATAACGCCATATTTAACTATTGGCAGGCCAAGGTGTATAATATTTTTGACACTGTGATAAGCCTTTGTAACACGCACTGTAGTATCTCCTATTATGCTCAACTGTGTTTAAAACAAACTGTCATCTTCCTTCAAGGAGCCAAGTCGCTAATATTTGGGACCAAGAAATTGACACAAATGGGTCGCAACGCATACAATAATGTAATATGAATGTATATAAATTGAGTTAGGTTCGGCGAAATACGCCAGTATTCTCAATCGAATTTCAATCTCTAGCGCCTGGTTATTCCAGTCTACGCTGATAGTATTTATTGGACATGCTCTCCAGAGCGCTGAAACGCATTATGGTACACGATTTGTGTACCAATTGTAAAATGTTTATTTTGTCTTTAAATATTGGATATCAATGTTGATTTAAACCGACAAATAAATCGTGTTTTCAATGTCGAAGATTTTGGATGATATTGAGTTAGAGACTTAGCTACTTTAAGTTGTGCAGACGAGGGATTGGTAGGGGTCTCATAAGTGGAGGAGCCTAGGGAATCTCTGCAAAAAATTCGGGCAATGCCTGTTAATAAAATGCTTCCAATTTTAAGCACCTCCTGCACCAAAAAATGACAAAACCCACACCTGGTTGACTCAAGACCAATTATGGATGATGTTTTCCACTAATGAGGCTCTCCAATGCATTTCCATCTGGGTCTGACAAAGGTGATTCTTGGCCCACAAACTATTTCACAGACTAATCAATCTTATTTCCTGTCATGTCATATGAATTAACAGAACAGACAGAGTGTTTAGAATTATTATAATTTTCATAATAAACATCTGCATAAATAGAATAAATACGGTCATGTGTCAGAAATAAACATTTTTATTTGTTTCTAAAGGCATAGTGTCAAGATTATAGTTCATGAGTTTGTAAGTACATAGATACAGATGATTATATCACATGCTCTATATTTTATGAAATATTATAAATAAAAGCACTGATACAGTACTTTACTTTACAAAAAGGAATCTTGCCATTTGAATGATCTACTTTGAGTAGTGAATGATTGGTTTGGACCTAAACTTGAGTCTGAGACTCCATAATACTAAATTTATATAGGCATCCAATCAATTAAAACCATTATACCCATGCACAATATTGAACAAGGATATGTTAATTTTTCATTTCACAATCTAATAATCCTAATCCAGATCAGCCATTTAAGATAATGCATGCACCCTGGGGTGGAAAAAAGAAAATCTGGATGAGGTGTCAGGATACCCCCTCCCCCACTCAAATAATCCATGCCTGTGCACCCCAGTGAAAGCTGCAGTGAAAGTAACATCATATCAAACTTAGCCATTATCTTGTCATTATCATAACTTGAAGTGGAGATCAGTCATGTGTTGTCTTATACAGGGCGTTAAGAGAATTATTGTCTGCAATTTTTATATTTCAAAATTTGAATTGAGGTCACAATATACAGAATAACATCATACCTGGGAAGGTATCATAATAATAATTTAGTACATTGTGAATCCTAATTCCTTAAGGGCTATGAGATACAAAAATCTAACAGACATAAAGAAAGATCACAGTATTCTATACAAAATTCTTATCTTCAACAAAGAACAAGTAGTTGTGTGCTCATACGAAAACAAGATACTCAAAATAACAACCAATAATGATCAGTGCATGAGGTAATATGATGTCTTAATATGTAACTAGCTAGAATACAATTGTATTATACTAGTAAGTGCAGGGGGACTGCCAATGTACATATAGCCCAAATACTAATTTATAAAGATTTGTAAAAAAAAAAAAACAACCTTTGGCAGAATGTTTATAAAAAAGATGTCACCATCCTTTTTGAGATACTATATTCAAATATTATTATTCAATCAAGATAGATAAAGGAATGAATATATTAATTTGCAAATACATAATCAGACATACTTGTGCAATTCTTACATAATTTATTTTCTACAAGCATAAACTGTATAACAAATTAAAGAGATCACCGAATTCCATTACATATATAAGTAGCACTAAACAATCTCCTCTTTCATAATCACATTACAGATCATTACAGATATATATACATAATAAATACTATATTAAGAATAAACAAGATAGTTCTGTTGGATTAATATCTATAACAAATTAAAATATATACTACTAGCAGTAACTGTAAATTTTCTAACATATGTCCAGCATTAAAGATCAATTGTACCCAAATAATGATACTCATCAGAAGATATGAACAGGCAAAATAGGCATAAAGTGTAACAAGAATAGTTCCATTTGATAATCCCAATGTCATTTGTCAGTCATTTAAATGCAAAAATTGTGCTAAGAAACTTTTCCAAGGAATATATCTTTAAGCTGTTAAGGTACAAATGTATATGTTATTTACATGTATCATAATTTGAAATTTCACAATCAAGGGTCCTGTTTCACAAGGCACACATAAGACTTGTGTGCACATAAATCGAAAATTTCACTATTTAACTCTGTTCATGATTTTTAATTACACTTTGTCTATTACACTTCGGGAAATGAGTCTCTAAATTATTAAATAGTCTATCACAGATTGGTTTGGATGTCTAATATACGACCAACTTCATGTTCAGGTAATACTTCCTTCCAATTCTTCTGAAGTAGTTGTAAAAATTTGTTCTTTTCGTTGCTACTTTGAACTAGAAGTGTCAGTCGAAATTCTGGAAGTGGTTCTCGGTTTTTTGTCTCCTTTGCGAAACTAAAATGATCCATGTTCACGTCCACTACAATTTCTTCTCTTTCATCAGCAAATACAAGCTGCACCAATTGAGGTATACATTTGGACAAAACGACTCGTTTCAGGTTAATAATTTTTCGTATTTCGATGATTTCCTGCCTTGGTGTTTCTGGTAGTCCACGAACAAAATCTGGTAATGGGTAGGTGACAATGTCCTCTGTTGCCAGACAGATATGGGTGTTTGTTAGGATGAGGGTTCTGGGAATCCCTTTATCCAAGATATCTTGTTCAACATCATCACATGTTATGTAGGCCAGCATGTACATCCATAAAACTTGATCTTTCCCAGAACCAGATTTGGGAATTGCTCGTGGAACTTTACTGAGTTGATCTCGAATTAAGTATAGAATATCTTCAATGGAGTCTTCTCCAGGATAACAGAACCTGACCTGACTAGGATGAATATACTCCAGCCCTTCCACAGTTGATTTGGTCCTACGTGCAAAAGCTTTGTAGAAATCTTGCTCCAGATCATTGTCTGATTTATCTGCAACAGGTGAAGTAACCATTAACGATAACATGGATTTAAACTCTTCCAGTAGGATCTCTGTTAATATTCCATCTCTTGTAACGAGTGTAAAAACTGAATTCTCATCCTGTCCTGTCAATCGGATACACTGATCAAACAATCCAACATTAACTTGCTGCAACTCAAGAAACTTAATAATAAATAATGGTTTGATGAAGCCACGCTTTCTGGAAGCACTCTTGTCACTGCTGCCTGAACTCTTCCATGCAAAAGCTGAATCCGATTTATGTCTGTTATGATTCATCCAGGGAGGCCTGGACGTTCCACCACCTGCAGAACCTTTATCAGCCAGCACGTACAGAGCACTAGTACTAATAAGAACCAAAGAAACAATTTCTTCTTTTGGATCACTGTAAGTCACAACTGTTGTCCAGAATACTCTTCGAAGTTCCTCACCTTTTTCAAATTTTGCAATGTTAGCATGAAAGAAGGCAGCTAAATCTTTACCATCCATCAAGGCAAATGGTTTCAGTTTTGTTGGTATGTTTTTACAAAGATTATAGTTTCTGAGAGTTTGCTTAAGACGGTCCTCTAAAGATCGAGTTAGGTAGTTAATGGGGGAAGCTGAGCAAGCAGACAAAAGACCAAAACTATCGCCATTACGGGAATCACTGTGATCTGAATCAGTTTCGGATCTACAGGGAGAGCCTTCATCAACAGTTGAAGGTATTTCTAGCTTAATATCTGGAATATTTTTCTTGGTTTCTTCAACAACATGAGGTAGTATATCCTGAACATAATATTTATTCAAATCAAAACTAGAGGGTAGTGAATACACATTCCCAGATTTATGAGAGGTGTGTTTTTTATCAGGACATGATATCGGATCATTGCTTCCTTCGGGTTCTTCACGGAATGTAGGTGACAGGCGATGAGCAAATTCTGCACGTAAATTCGTCAAGCGTTCTAAGAAAAAGTCTCTGGTAGCCATGGAAGGGAAAAGAATATCCAAGTTTTGTGATAGTGCTTCATGAAACATCATTGATAAACCAAATGCTGAAAATCTAACCAGATTGGTCTTCGAGGATTTCAACTTTGGCTCTGAGTCTTGGTACATTCTTATATCACTGATTCTTGCCATGATGTCAAACTCTTGTAGCACTTCCAGTCTTGGAGATTGATAATTTCCTGAGTCAAAAGTTGGCCACGGCCACTGACAAGAAGACACTGGCAGTAAATAAACACGACACTCAGACAAGAATAACAAACAGTTTTTTGAGGTTGTTTTCTGTATCACACAGACTGATAAAACAATTCTATCAGATGAAAGGCCAGCTGCCTCTTCACGAGCAAATATTAACTGGGCAATGTCTGAATCTTGGGATAAATCTAAAATGTCGGGAGAACTTTTTGATGGGTAACAATTGGCCTTGAACACTTCCAAAAAAGATTTCACCATTTTATTGTCCAATCCAATAAGTGTAAAAGTACCCATGTGTTTCACAAACGCTTCTTCAAATCGTAAATAACTATGGGATAATCCTATAATAAGTTGTTTAATATTACATGTTGGCAAAACATAAACTGGTTTGATATCCGGAACATCATCAAAACTAGATTCCACGCAAGCTAAAGTTTCGATAAAAAGTTTATTTCTAGTAAGCACACAACAACAGGACTGTAATACATCAGGCTTGGAAAACTGTATCACCTTACACCATAGAATATCTAATATTTTATCACTGTCACTTCTCTCCCTTGTTTCTAGCTCTTCTGGAGTGAGGAGTTGCTGTGACAACCAATCAATGAAATCGGTATTATTCAAGCTAGGTAAATCTGCTGTATTAACAAGGGACATTCTTTTTCTGTAATAGAAATATTTAGAATTAATAATTAAAAAAATATTTTTAAAATTTTCCACTTTGACAATACTGTAGAAGACTACATAACTGATTTTTAGTCTTTAAATTTAAAAACTCAAAATGTAACCTAGCATTACAGTTGTTCAACTTATCAAAACTTATTTTTAGTTCAAACCATTATTAAAACATGGCAATTAATGTACCTTTTCTTTTTCACTGAGTCAATGTTTGGTAACAGCACATTTCTTTCACTTCGTGACATTGTAATTTCTGATAATCTATCATGTCTATTTATTTTATTTTCCTATAACAAATGAAATATAACTTTCAAACACCAATTATATCTTTCACTTTGTTATGGTATTTGTGATAACCCAATATGCCTATTTGAATAAAGGCACAATCAGTCAAATCATGTATATACAGGTATGTAAAACATAATCGGTTAAGACATATAAAGTTGGTAGTCACAAGGAAATCGATAGAAACTGATGTAAACTTTAACTAACCATCACTTGAAAAGAATTGCGGGAGGAAACTGGAGAACCTATAGGAAACCAACAAGGTTAGGTGTGCAACCCTACTCCTTGGTACATCCAATAAGAATGCAGTCTATGATACAGCCATGCAAAAATGTATAGAGCCAATAGCTTGTGACCTAAAAGTTAAAATGATAGTTGTGTGCTTCTTCAATCAAAAAAAGGAATTAAAATTACCTGGTTTGATTTGACAGACAATAATGTATCTTGGTTGGATGCGTTATCAATGCCTATTGCTAGTTGATCTAATTTTGTTATTGGTTGTAAGGTTTTGCCAGTTACATCCTGTGATTGTGTGCTTTCCTTCTCCAGTGCTAATGATTGACCTAAATTTAGAACAGCAGTAAAGAATAATACAGGATGATAGTTGAATTTAAATAAATCAGCAATTATGTAAATGTGAAAGGAAGTAATTTAAGGGGCAAGTCCAATAGTTTAGGAACAACGCATGACATCCAGATTCTGTCACTGACATAAGTAAATATCTCAAACAGATGTCAAGTGTTAAGCAATCTTTGGGTAAACAGCCAACGTAATGTAAAGTTGGTCTCGATCACATTAGCCTAAATTGTCTCTTCATCGACTACAACAAATATAAGATTGGAAGAAATATCATCATTTGTTTATATGGTATTTGGTTATATGATGAATTATGGGAATTGTTATCTCAATCCACGAGTTAAAAACCTATTTAGCGTATTTCAAACACATGATGCATGAATTATTCTCTCAACCAATCCTAAGACATACACGAATCTATGTATGACCTTTGACACTTTACACATTTGACACCATTTTACATACTATTCATTATAATCGAATTTGAGACAATTATGCTGCAGTTACAAGACTACACATATCTGCACAGTCGAATGTTTCTTTGGAACAATCACACCTTCATCAATAAATCTGATCAGATTGGTCAAACTATAGTCAAGTCCATAAACTTGATTTGATATAAGCGAAAGAATTAACAGAATTAACAGGATTTAGACTCTCCTTGAATATTCTACTTACAAATATTCTGCCAAATGTCTTTGGCTAAAAATATGACAACTCTTATTGCTTCAGGATATAAAACGAATTTCACAAGTTGTTTTTCTTTATTTTGTTAATGTAGAATGGTAATGAACTGCTCTTTTCATTTTCTTTGTTTTATTTGTTTCGTTTGAATTTGGTTTATCTGTTTAGTTTTTGATTGTTTAATTTTTGTTAATGAAGTTGATTCTTTTAAACTTCGTGTTTTATTTTTGAACTCTACTTGGTGTAGGTGTTCATCAGGTAAAACCTCGACTGAGTTCAATATAGAGTTTAGCCGGTTGATTTGTTGGATATAAACCTTTGAATAATAGCGCCTAACAGGCAGCTGTGTTTAATTGTGTTTAATTATGTTCTCCTGATTTTGATTGTTTCTGTGTGTTTGAAGTATATGTTTGTGATATGCGCTTAGAAACACTTCACGTGTAATGAAGCGCTATATAAATCGAACAATAATAATTGTTTTACTATAAATTTAATAATATTTATTATCTAAACTATCTCCAGCTATAGATTCCTAATCTGCATCCTTTGATGTAAGCATGGTAATGGGATTGGTAAGAAAAGCATTGACTGTTTACATTATTAGGCAAAAGATCTAAACTGAATAAAGACTATGAAATAAAGCTTTCATGTCGTGCAAGCAATATAATTAAGCCAAGACTTTATTATTGCCAATCTAGAGAAAACAAGAACCTCTAAACCTACTTTAACAAAAGGTTTAAAATATGAAATGTAATTCATGAGGATACATACTTGATTACCTGAGAAATGGGTGGGGTTATGTAGAGGATGGGTAGAGCTGGTGGGTGGGGCAGATCTCGATAAATTGGCTGGGTCACCTGTTAGTTTGGGTGGGGTACAACTAGATGCTACATCACTCAATTCACCGCTCTTAAAGAAAAATAAGATAAAGATAAAAAGATTTACAAAAATCTGAAATGAGATTATATTTAAGGGAAGAATAAAGATAAAAAAAACAATTTGTGTTATTTGTAACCTAGGAAACTAGTTTTTGTTCCATGAGATTATATTTAAGGGAATATTAAAGATAAAACACAATTTGTGTTATTCGTAGCCTAGGAAACTAAATTTTGCTCCACATAGCAGGGATCTTGTAAACAAGAATATACATTTGCCTGATATAGTTCTTAATACCGGAAACCTTAATTCTTTAAAAATATAACATTTCTCTTAAAATGTTGGTATATAAAGAATACACATAAGTTTCCATGAAGTACAAGTGTGGTGACTGTTCAACCCGCTAACCTTATTTTCATCTAAATTCTAAACACATGAAACTTGTAAAGACAAGGAAAAATCAAAATACAGATATAAATTGCCAAATAATTCACAAAATATTAAAATAAGTTAATAATCACGGAGTGTCAACCACTGAGTCCGACATTCTTAATTGGCTTTGTTAATATTTGAAAATTGTTTATAAACAGTTTTCCTTCAAGCCTCTGATGCTTTTTGTAACAATTATATCTTTCCTGGTAGTTTGGATTTGTTTTCCAATCAATTATGTATTTTAAGATCTCTTAGCATGTTAGTATTCAAGAAAATAGGTAATCAACTGGTCAATTTTAATTGTGTAACGCAAGTTGAAATATAAATGCTTGGGTGAATCATTTATTTTCCAAAATACTGCTATGTGGAGCAAAAAATAGGTTCCAAAGTCATAAATATAAGAAACTGGGCCTTTTGCCTTGACTCTCCTCCTTAACCTAGCCCTATATTGGACATTGATAATGTATAAGTTGAGGATATGTAAACCACATGCTCAAAGCTTCCTTCAAATTATGCCATGTCTATGAGCAATAAGCTTATGCATGAATTAGTTAGCGAAAAGACAGTAAATTCTACAAGTTTAAGATTCAATAAACATATAGCCTTTTCACCTGATTATTATTGGTAATTAATTAAACATGCAAAAACCGTGAAATAAATTCTACCAAGAATGCTAAAATGTCTTAAAGAAAAGGTCAAACAAGAAGTACATATTCAACCGATAATCCATATTTGCCGAAAAGCATTAGTTGTGTGTTTCATGCTCTATAATAAGTAAAAATACCAAATATTTCTCACCTTTCTGTTAGATATTTGTTTTGCCCTTTCCCTTGTATCTTTAGCTTTTTGTAAGGCTTGTAAAACAGCAACTGTATCTTGTTCTTTTTGATTGGCTTTTTCATTGTCTAAACTCACCTGAATATAAAACAAATTGTTGTACTTGTAATATACTTTTAGAGAGAATAAAACCAAGTTCAGATGTCTGGCCTTTGGGGATTCTTTCTTTAACTGGTCCGAGTAAATTCTGCCGAAAAGCACAGCTCTTATTGGAATCACTGATACCACTTCCCATTGGTAGTCATTGCCCCAAGGATACTATTTACAAATGAAATGAAATGGGGTTTAACGTCCTACTGTTTTGCTCTGACTGGGCTAATGAAGACAGGCATATGCCATACATTGTGCTATGAGTGAAATTTTGCCCGGGTAGTAACACTAGGGCCTACTCTTATATCGAATTCCAACTGCCAAGGGATCCTTAACGTGCACGCCAATGTATACATGGGACCTTGTTTTTTTGTCCCATCTGAACGACTAGACAGCTGTACTTGTCAGGCCCACCGTCCTGCACCACTGACAAGGGGAAACCACATGAACTTTCTCGGCCGATGCAGAGATCGAACACCCGAACTCCAGGCTAGCAAGCCAGACTATTTACAAAGTCTTTCGAAATTTGTTTACTCTGTTTAGTAGAACACCCCATACCCCTTCTCATTTGAGAATTCAAATGATAGATAACAAGTTTCATTTTTCTTTGGTACAAGGAGCTGACAAAACATGTAATTTAATTTAAAAAGTTCAAGACTCTCTGTGTCATTTAGAGATCTAGCAATCCGTTGCATCATACAATATTGTGAAAGTTTAATCTCTATAGAAATATCCCAAAAATGGTTCCATTCAATATATACAAAGTTATGATGAATTGTAGTTTCATCGATCTATGCTTTTCGAGAGTAATAAGGTGCCGCCATCTTTTATTAGTAGGGAAGAAACATGATGGGCCTTAGTTTATCCAGCATTGGTATTTTGATTTTTTTTCTTAATTAAATGTTAAATAATCAATGTGAGAAATTTTTTAGCATTAATTAAAGGGGCATTATGGGAGATTAGATAAAGAGTTGACAGTTCTCGCTATAATAGTTAAAAAATAGATAACGTAAATAGAATACATGTATGCTGAAAATTTCAGTCAAATTGCCCAACTCTGAACTGAGATATTAGCTTTTAAATTTTAGGCTAGCCTCGATCATCATTATTAAAGTTACATTCAATTATTTAAAAAAAAAATGTATTCCAATCCGCTAAATATCACAGACTAGCGATGGCATCAAAAGTTGATTAACGTCTGAATAAGTTAATTAATGTCTTATTAATAATTTAGATAACATTTCAGGCCTAAAGAAAGACCTGCAATAGGTAGATTCAGCTCTTGCATAATGTATGTTTAAGCCATGAGAAATTTGATATTTTGGCAAATAATAGTTACAAAATTACCTCCATCACCCGATCAGCAAAGAGTTCTAAAACTTTAGTTCTGTAATCTAATACCATGGTAACAGCATTTCCCATTAATAACAAACTCTCCAAACATGGTAGACCACTTGCAGGTCGGACATCATTGATCTGATTGATAAAAAATAACATGTAAATCAATGAAACCCATTCGTTAAACCTCATTTCATTTGGGGTTTTTTTTTTCATCTCTAACAAATGCAACTGACTATGAGGTATTTCACTTTAGTTGCACTATGTGTAATTATTGAGATCCACGGATCTATTTCTGAAAACTTAAACTTAAATAGAATACTGATTTTTCATTGGCTGAGTACTAAATTCAGGCCTGAAATTTCGTTTTTAGCCAATTAAAGTTATTATTGCTCATAGTTCATAATGTAAAACTATTTCCAAATAACTTTAGAAAATATAATTTTTGGGATCTTTGTACAAGACAGAAATTTTACAATTTTTCAACTTAAAAAAACTGAGACTAACCAATGAGATTTCGTTGTGACTAACATCTAAGACTTCCAATGAAAACAATTTAGAAAAAGCTGAAAATAGAAGATATGGAATTAGTTTATTTTTCAGTTCAAGAAGAATAAAACTGTACCCACTAACAGATATTTCTCCTACAAGGTATAACCCTATGGAAAACTCTTCCTTGTTTATTGAAGAGAGTGAGATGGGGTTTAACTCCACTCAACACAAACTAGGTCATTTCTGGACTAACATATGGTTTTATTTTAATTCAATAATTCGCTTGTGCGCAGGGGTCTTTTAGCAGTGGGAGGAAACCGGGGAACCCAGAGAAAGCCCATGATGTTGGACAGACGACCCTACTCCTTGTCAGGTACAACCAGGGAATCAAAACCACGCCAGTTGACTCAATGACAGACCTTATGCGCTAACCACTTGGCCATCCAACCCCCCTTATCAATAAAGAACTCAAAGCACTTGGAATCTTTTAAGTCACAATTAAATGACATATCTACATGCACATATGGAGGGTTGACAACTGAATCATGAGCATACACTGAACTGAATACATGCAGTTATCATTAACAAGCCTTCCTTATATATTGCATATCTCACTCACTGTCAGGTTGCTCTGCTTCTGAAATTATTGAATAACTGTGATTTCTGTGGATAGCAAGTTGTTGTACGGTGTTCATGATTCAGAAAAAATAGAAAATGTTTTGGGGGGTCTGTTACGCTCTATTTAAAATGTGTGGTTATTTTGCTTCAAATAAGGTAATGTATATTAATCCTTTCAGTTTGCTGTCCAAATACAAATTAACATTATTTGTACAGGAAAAATTTCACCTGGTAAATTTTTCAGTTTATTTCCAGAAAATTTCAACATAGAATGAAGAACCTCACCTGTTAAATCTTTCAGTTTATTTCCAGCCAATTTCAAAGTCTTTAGGTTGCCTAGTTTAGTGTGGAGAGATACAAGATTCGATATTTGATTATAGGAAAGATCAAGATATGTCAGCTGACTCAACAACTGTAAATATTTCAGGTCGGTAATTTGATTATGACTTAAATCCAATTTCTCAACATGTGGCATCATTTGCTGAAATAATATTTAAAAAATTTAATGTATCTTTTAGCTGAAGAAGTATATCAGAACATAAACATGTCCAGAGAACAATGCTTTCAAATTTATTTTACCCTGTACTTTGTAAGTATCAACTTTGGTGAATCACATAATACTACTAGTTTAGGGGTATATATTCTTTCAAAATTTACTCTTTTTCCTGGATGCTTTCTTATCTTATACTGTTTTTTCCTGGATGCTTTCTTATCTTATACTGTTTTTTTCTAAGCTATATTTTTGTGCTTTTTCCCTTTCCCTTATTTCTTGAATTAAGGTTCAGGAAGAAAAGGTATTAAAATAATTATAGGTGTAGGTAGGAGGAAAATGAAGACCATTGGTTTTAGGGCCTACCTATTAGTTTCTAAGATGGTTTCATAATGAAGTTATCATATACTTTTTCTTATTTTGGATAAATATATACATGTGTACTAGTTAAGAAGACTTAGTACAGATGTAGATATTTGGAACAGGCATTGTGAACATGAGAAGTATTAAAAGAGAAGTCTCAGATAAATTATAGTAAACAAAATTGGTTGATTCTGACGAGAAAAGATTATTAGAAACCTGTATCCTAGTCATGCACAGGAAATAACAACAGAATCTCTTATTAATCTACACATCAGGCAAGATCAAATATTATATAGCTATTTTGGTCTTTTTTTAATGCATGTCTGACATAATGTATTTTATCCACAAGGATTGTACTTAAAGCGTGATATAACTACTATCCTAGTCTCAAGGATACAGGTTAAGACTGATTACCTCCCTTGCCCTTCAACTCCTTGGATATCCGATATTTCAATGATTACCTAATGTACAATGTTTTGGTACAGAGTGATTGTAAACAACAAACTTACAATACAGTCATCAATTTGTGTTATGGAATTATGAGCCATATCAACTACTTCCAGACCATCCCAGTATGATACAACTAATGTACCATCTTCTGCTTTCCAATGACGAGCATCTGGTAACAATATCTCCTGAAATTAACGAACACATATCTTTCTCATCAATGCAAATATATGGTCATTCCTGATATTAATTTAGACATATAAAGATCTTAATTGATATTTGATTGTATAAACTTTCTATAATATTGGACCTACCCTTATGTCCGTCAGTGTGTTATGAACATAAATAGATTGCAATGTCTGTTTAACTGTCTCTAATCCTTTCATAGCTGTTGGACTGCAATTAATAATCTGAAAATAATGAGAGAAAAACATTCTGTTAGGGACCCCCACACGCTCATTAATACCTTAGCCATGATACTACATATTATGTCAAATACAAGAAAAAACATATTCACTGGCAGGGCTCGACACTGCCGTCAGTGAATTTTAGAATTTGGCCGCAGATTTGTGGCCGATAATCGGCATTGAAATGTTGATTGGTAGTATCAAAACAATCTTATTTTCACGGTCGTAATGAAGACTGGATTACGTGTTTTAAAGTCAAATCCATACGATGTTGCGATAGATGTTTTTTGTTCGTCTAATTAATAATAAACTGTCTCATATTACTTATAAATTGTTCTTTATCTTTAAATAATGTAGCCTTGGTTCTGAATGACGAAATACCGTTGATAGGCCTATGTATGTGGAGGAACCAAAATAAAATGAGCACAAGTCGATTCAAAACATTGCGTACGTGGCCTTGGATTTTCAATTTTTGGTCTTGGATCACGGTTGCACTTTGGCCTATCATAGGCCAAAGTTGGCCTTGGATCAAAAAAACGAATTTCGAGCCCTGTTCACTGGCATATGTTTCTTTTAATTTTTACTTACCTCTATATACTGAAGGGATTTAAATAACGTGAGATCAAAGGTCAATTTGTTCATATTAATATTGCTGGTTCCAACATATTCATCACTACCATACACCTTTAAAATAGATGAGATTAAAAAATAAGCCATAAAACAATATATGTGACCCCCCACAGCATACTGAGTCACAATGAGGAATTTTGAAAATTGAGTTATTGTTATTTTCACATTCTCAAACTCATTACCTACAATTTGATGTATAGTTTGTTTGAATTGGGCAAAAATTGACTGAGCTGTGTCCATTAGAAGCTTCCCAACTCACAAAAGTAAGTTTTGAGAAAAAGCAAGTTAAAGATTTGGTACGTTCCAAAACAAAATCCCATAGCAACAAGGCCATTTATCTGCTGTTTTGTCGTTGAATATATCTTTCCATGGGTTTTCAGGGCTGCTGAAGACGAAAATCGTAGTAAAAATTTGATCTGATTATTTCTGCAATTTATTTGCTATATTTTGTCGTTTAATATGTTTTTTATTTAGGATTTCAAGGGTGCTGACGACGAAAATCTTAATAAATGCACTCCTTTCGTATGAAACATCCACAACACATACGGCATAATATTCACATGATAGTGTTAACTGAAAAACAATCTATACATTAGTAGTCTGTTGTGTATAATATAACTTTAGTGAAATTAACTCAGTTAATCTCATCAATTAATTAGCACCTTAGTGCCAGCTAGTGGTCAGGAGATTAAGATTGTTGATTGGATAATCATCAAAGAAGCCGCAACAGCTGTACGCGTGTTCATTTAAAACGTGAATTAAAATAAGATTTTGCGTGTACGATAGGTCTATCATTATTTTCAGGTTCCATGACGTTATCAAAATATGAGTCCCTATAGAAATGTTAATTTTATAGTCAATGTTTACGTTCACTTTCGTGCATTTTGGCTTTGATGTAAATATCAACATTATTCAGAGGATACTCAATGGCAGACTCGAGAATCGTCGCATTTCGGCTCGTTGGTCGTTCTCATTTTTTCGACCCATTGTGATAAGAGAATTTTAAACAATAATATCCCAAATGCATTCCTTACTTTGCATGCCGTATGAAGAAGCGACGTTAAACGGAATTCAGCTATCAATAAAATTCTCTTCGAAAAGAACATTATTGGCCATTTTGTTTATTTCCATTTAAGGCCTATAGATTATTTTTTTAAAGATGATATGAGATATCAAACAATCACCACTTGGATTAATTATTCAGAGTAAATAATGAGTTGTCGACGTCTTTATCATTGACCTGTGACAGTTGATTAGTAATAGTATTACTCAATGACACAACCCCGCATTGTCGATTAATTTACATCATCAGCCACGTGGTTTCGATTAACACTCAACGGCAATCTATACAATCAGAATTAATTTTTTTTTCTGCCACTTATCAGAGTGAATCGCATGTAGGTACCCAAAACATTGCCAAAACCAAATATTTATCGATAATGTCTTTTCCGCGGTGTCCGGGCCAATCAGCAAAGGAGTTGTGTGGACAGCATGGCAACAGGCGGAGTTTATTTATATTTTTGGAGGGTTTTAAAACTCGATTGTATCTGTTCAAAATCAATTCATCGACAATATTTTGATCATATTTATAAACTAGAGATGCTCCGCTTTACAACGATGCCAATTGTTATGCAAGAGGAATGACCGGTCGTCCCACTGCGAGCGAAGAAAATTAGCTAATTTCGCCGAGAATTTGGAGAAATAGGACAGATTTAAGAATACGGTACTCTTACAAACGTTCAAATACAGGTGTTTTAAAATGTTTTATTGCTATTTTGATCTTCTGTGTCGATAGATAGTATATTTAGACTCATTTTTGTGAAATTCTCAATTTCGTTCAAAATCAATATTTTCACTTATTTTGTCTTTATCTCATTATTGATTCTCCCGCATTCCGACTCATTTAGATGCGGCCGGTCACATATTTTATACTAAACACCACCAGGTTACAATATAAACACTGGAGTTAATTGGCCATTCCTTGGGATGTCACCACCAGGGTACAATAAAAACCTAATATATAAACAGTAAGTTACTGGGTCATACCTTGGAATGTCACCACCATGGTGTGATATAAACCTAATGTAAACAATGAGTTGAGTTACTGGGCCATACCTTGGGATGTCACCACCAGGGTGCGATATAAACCAAATGTAAACAGTGGAGTTACGGGGCCATACCTTTGGATGTCACCACCAGGGTACGATATAAATCTAATGTAAACAGTGAGTTACTGGGCTATACCTTGGGATGTCACCACAGGTGTGCGATATAAACCTAATAAATAAACAGTGAAGTTACTGAGCCATACCATGGGATGTCCACCACTCCCCCACCCTCCTTGCCCAAAATGTTTTTCACAAACACATCCATCTTCTTACCCAACATCAGTATATAATAGGATTTTTCATATTTAAACAACCAAACTAATGTCCCCTTTCCCTCGTCTCAACATTAAAGACATTTTTGAATTTCGGAATCCCTACATGAATGTACATTTCTTGAGTGGACTACCTTGAGACAGTTTTCCACAAAATTCCTTCAGGCAGCTGTATAATTTTATTGATTTGATATAAAGCTCATGTTTTGATGAAGGAACTTCACAAAATCCAATCTGGCTTCTGCTCAATCAGCTTGAGTTTGAACACTGAGGAGGATAACTGGGCTGATATCTGGCATAAAGTCAATTTCTTACCAAACAGATTTTTGCAGGCATCAATAATTTAAAGCTCTGATGTTCATAAAAAATTGAATGCCTACCTTGAGATATTTTAATCTAGTAATAAAATCCAATATATGACCTAAATCTTTTTTAACATCACCACTATCTGAAATATATACACAATGAAAATTCATACATTTCCTATATTATGGGCTAATGAACACGTGCATACAGCATTCAGAGTGCTATGAGGGAAATTTTGCCAGGACAGCAACTGAATTCCAACTGTCAAGGTTTTCTTTATGTGTATGCTAAGCTGTACCCTGTAACCTCAGTTTTCCGTCCCATCCAAATGACTAGACACTGTTTCTTGCCAGCTTATTGAGGATAGGATCAATCATAATATACCATGCAGCAGGGATGTTTCACAAATGTTCACAGGACATATTTCTTTTCCGTAGGATTTATAAAGCATTTCATCTTAAATTCTGCTTGCAAATAAGGTCATGGAGCTGGAAAAAATGACATTATAGAAAAGGGAGAGATTTTCCTTAGTTTTCTACTTACCACAGGTTGGTTCTGGCAGTTTTAATCTTTCTGTCAGAGCATAAAGTTGTAGAGCAGAAATAGTATAAGTATCTCGCAGATGTAAAATACTTTCACCTAAACAAAGACAATGAAAGTATCTATGTGAGATATATAATTCATTCTCCCACAATAAATCTCATAAGACAGTTATTAATTTTTAAAACGTGATCATATCTAGCCCTGATATCCTATAGTGGCTTGTGATTTCTACATAGTGTTAGGAACAAATTAATACAAACTATAGAGATAACCCTCTTTATACGTGAAAAATCAACTAACTCAAGAAGAACAGATTCTGTGTAGATAAGACGTCTTTTTAATCATACAATGTTTCGATCTTCTTTCACCTTCCTCAGATACATATGAATTATATATAAAGAAAACATGTGGCTTTTTATAGATGTTATTCCCAACTTTTTTTTCTTGAGTTGCTTCCCTTATTGTTAGTTTGTTTTTTTTATTTTGAGTGAAGCTTGCATCACTACAGGCTGGGTCTGTACAGCGCTGTGGACGCTTATGGCTATAAAGAAAACATGGGGCTTTTTATAGATGTTATTCCCAACTTTTTTTTCTTGAGTTGCTTCCCTTATTGCTAGTTTGTTTTTAATGAAGTCTGTATCACTACAGGCTGGGGACTGTACAGCACTGTGGTCGCTTATGGCTATCTCCCCGGATCCATTCACTTGATCCAATATATGCAGTTTTTGTTTGTGTTGTTTGTATATTGTGTCCTGTCCCTAGGTCTGTCTTGTGCAATTGATTGTGTGTGGTGCAGTCCCTCTGCACTTACTATTACAGATGACGTCAAGTGATCATGTTTTGGATTAATTTTCTATAGACACATACTTTGAAAGATCCTACATATTTAGGTGAATAAGATTAACAATTTTGATATTTAAGGCTACTCCAAAACCTTGTTACTCAGAGATCACTACCAAATCCAAACTATATTAAGTAAAATTTTTAGGATGTTGAAGGGTTAATTTATTAGGATTTTATGCCTACCCCTGTTGTACAGCTCTTCAGCTAAGGCCTGGGTTATACCATGAATTTCCTGGAATACAAAAACGACAATAAAATGTTATTGTTGAATGTTAAACACAAAGGTCAATCCTTTCCGAACTTTACAGAACCTACTTGGTATTAGCACAATTTTGAAAACATTCCCTTGTATCTCGGGAAGGACAAGATGTTAGAGAGGCTATTGTTATTACTATTTTCCTTTTCCCAAGCTCTTCTGTTGATAAAAATACATGTATGACTACAAAAACAAGCCAACAGTGAGGCTGATGTATGACTACAAAAACAAGCCAACAGTGAGGCTGATGTCCCCAGCCGAAATCCGAAAATAAATAGATGACACATATTCATTAATCGTACATTTATTTTTTTCAAAAGTATCAAGCATTCAAACAAATTATCACCTATACACTAAGTTTGTTCACTCTCTATCATATAGAATCAAAGTTATCTTGTCACAAAGCATCGACCAATGAAATTGCTTAGCTCTGCTTAGCTTTAGTTCGAAATGTTAATCATTGATTGTTGAACTCAGTCAAGACATTCACCTAATGAACATCTACATCAAGTTTAAACATTCTACCTCAATCAAAAGCAGAGTTGTTATGTTCAAAAGTCTTGACCAATCAAATTGCTTATTGATCCTTAGCCTAAGCAGAAAATTCTCATCAACAAACTTAGTCAAGGTAATAATATAATGAATCTACACTCAGAGTTTCATCACTCTCACTTAATTAAAACCAAAGTTATCGTGAACCAAAAGATCAACCAATCAGATTGTTTATCTCTGCTGACCGTAAGCAGACAATGTTTATCATCGAACTCCATCAAGGCATTCACCTAATGAACGACCAATCAAATTGCTTATCGCTCTGCTTACCCATAAGCATAAAATGCTCATTTATGGAACTTACTCAAGGTATTGATGAGATAAAACTATAAACCAAGTGTCCCCACTCTCACTTAATTAGAACTAAAGTTATCGTGTCCCAAAGCATCAACCAATTAAATTGCTTATCTCTGCTTACCCTAAGCAGAAAATGCTCATCTTCGAACTCTATCCAGGCATTCACCTAATAAACACCTATGCCAAGTGTGAACATTATAGCTCAATTAGAATGAGAGTTATTGTGTTCCAAAGTCTCAACCAATCAAATTGTTTATCGCTCTGCTTACCCTGAGCAGAAAATGCTCATTATCAAACTTAATCAAGGTATTGTTGTAATAAAACTATACACCAAATTTCATCACTCTCACTTAATTAGAACTAAAGTTATCGTGTCTCAAAGCATCAACCAATCAAATTGCTTATCTTTGCTTACCCTAAGCGGAAAATGCTCATCTAAGCACTCTATCCAGGCATTCACCTAATAAACACCTACACCAAGTTTAAACATTCTAGCTCAATTAGAAGGAGAGTTAATGTGTTCCAAAGTCTCAGCCAATCAAATTGCTTATCGCTCTGCTTACCCTGAGCAGAAAATGCTCATTATCGAACTTAGTCAAGGTATTGATGTAATGAAACTATACACCAAGTTTCGTCACTCTCACTTAATAAGAACTCAAGTTATCGTGTCCCAAAGCATCAACCAATCAAATTGCGTATCTCTGCTTACCCTAAGCAGAAAATGTTCATCCTCGAACTCCATCAAGGCATTGACCTAATAAACACCTACACCAAGTTTGAACATTCTAGCTCAATTAGAAAGAGAGTTATGTTATTGTGTCCCAAAAAGTGTGACGGACGGACGGACGGACGGACTCACTGAGATATACATGTGTTATTTTTGACTTATGGGGTGTTGGTAAGTACAAACATAATTTTTGAGTAGCACCTTCAGCGTCCATTTTTTGCTTAAAGTGCGACATACGTCGTTTGCAGTGAGGTGCGACAGGTATTAGATTAGCATAAACCCCCAATAAACGTATAAAAGGTTTATAATATTTGACGCTATAAACCTATGAGGAGGAGATGCTAGTTTTACTTTTGAATTTCGAAATATACATGTATGCACTTATAAGGTGCTAAAGACAAACTTTTAAGGTGTGAAACATAATATTTGTAAGGTGCGACATACATTATACTTGTAACGTGCAAGGTGCGACAGACTTAATACTTGTAACGTGCGATTGACCTCTACCAGCAAGGTGTGACAGATTCAATACTTGTAACGTTTGGCAGATTTGTACACGAGATACTTTTAAGTCAACAGTTTTTATCAGTTGTCCTGTGCAAACTTCAGTTGATTACCTACATTGCTACATAATATAACACCCCCAGATAATATAACAGAGCTCTGACTTAGCGTGCCCGGAGGAATTGCAAAATGCCACCTGTAGGGGAAATGTCCCCGGTAGTTGAAAATCTGTTTTGATCTTTGATATAGAAAATGAAATGAGGTTTAACATTTTGCCCCAGCAGCAGCGCTACAGCCCTATTTTTCTGTCCCATTCAAATGACTATACATTGTCCCTTACAAGGCCCTCTTACAAGAAGGAACCGTGCCAGAAAATCCTGATAAACACTCTCGGCAAGCACAGGGATCGAACAAAGGACCCCCAGGTTAGCGAGTCAATGTCTTATTCACTGAGACTTGATAAAGAATAGTAAGGGGTTGTCGGGTGTGTGTGTGTGGGGGGGGGGGGGGGGATGGCGGAATGGTTAATGTGCGTATTGGATCAAAAGGTCTGTCATTTAGTCGAGTGTCGTGGTTCGATTCCCCGCTTGTAAGGAATATGGAAGTCTGTCCAGTCTCACAGGTTTCTTCGGGTCATCCCACTGCTAATGCCCCTACGCACAAGCAAATTATTGAAATAAAATTGAACCATGTTCTTCCCGAAATGACCTAGTTTGTGTTGAGTGGATGTTAAACCCCATTTCCCTTACTCTTGTTATTAGACATTTAACCATCGTGCCATCTTGGAAATAACACAAACACAAAAACATTTTTTGCAAAATAATCATTATTTATTAAACTACATACTGCCTCTGGATATATGTGCTTACATGTACATACGAAGTTTAATTTATTTACTACAATCTATAATGCCACTCAATGGATTATTTTGCATAGCCATACAGATTATACAGAGGTGGGAACAAGTACCGAGTCTAAGAAGAGAGTCAATCGACTATCAAGTTCGATCATATTGACTGTGTCGAAATCAATTAACCGCAGTCTAGACTGCAATGTATTTATACTGAATTTCTCGTAATTATATTGCTGGCACCTTGACTGGCAGTTGAATCGCATCTCAAGTTTGTCCTACATGTATGGAGGTATTAAAATAAAACTTTTTATAGATATCATTTTACTTCCACAAATCAGTTTATATTTTGAAGTCGAAAACAATTGAGTAATGCCTAGTTCGTAATTATGTCATTTAAAATTCAGATTCACAAGGTACAAAATATTAAGTGTACATGTAGCTTAATTATGCCACAGTCAAATTCTAAAAAGATAAAAGTAGCTTATAAGATAAATGGTTTTTAAAAATGTCAACACAGTTAATATTTATAAAGTTATTTTATCATTTTAACAAATTAATACCCTTTAGTATACCAGGTAGCAAATGTCTCTGGATAGCAAATTGTACAATGCACGAACTAGTGTTCTGATGCATTTACTCCTATACTATAGGAGCTGACAGTTTATAGTATCATCCAAATTACAATATAATGTTAAAAGGGGAAATCATTCTTGATAGACGACCATGTGACCGTTTTCAACTAGATAACTACGGACCTTGTCCACACTGTCTGACATGGGTCAAAAGAGTTTACTGTGGAAACATAGTCGATCTTGCATTATCTGGGTTAAATTTTACTTCTGCAGAGCTACGAACTCAGTCAGACACAATGTCAATGCAGATTCAGCCTGTTGCTACTAAAAAGGTTAATCAAAGATGTTTTTAGCAAGATGAATAATGATTAAGTTGGACAAGTTGCTAAGTCTGATACTTTAATAGTCCTTTTGGGTAACCTTTGGATGCTAAAGAATATAGGAAATACCCTGAATTGCGGAAAGTACACATCCTGCTGAATATAATGTGGTAGATGAAGAAGATGTTGATAAACCTAGTGTCTTGATTAAATTGGGTTTTCATCTGCAAATAATTTCACTTCATCTTCAGTTTTGTGTTTCCTCAAAAGGTGTTACGAAAAGTTAGAAAATTCCCTCTTGCAAATATCACAATTTTGGTACTGATTATTAACTCGTGAATATTTTTTTATCTTTCCAGTCTTACTTGTCTCTGATTTTGAAATTCTTTTTATATATTAGTATCTCCACTATCATCATTTCTTGGTATATATTTCAATTATTTATCTCCAACATTGTCAGTATATTCCAGTCTTCATCAGTTTTTGGTACATCTCTATTATCTGTATCGTAAAACTGTTGCAATCTGTGTTCATTGCTCTGAAAATAGATTTTTTATAATATGTAGAATACACAATTTTTTAAACTAAAGACCTGGCTGATCACCCATGTGTACATTTGTAAGTTAATGTAGAAAATGTCAGGTACACTTTATCCAACTACAAGGAACATTAATATTGACAAAATAGGTGAAACCCATATACCTTACCAATATGTAAACACAAATAGAACCAATCAAACAGTTGTGATTAAAATCAAATTGCACACACAATGTCACATAAGTACTTGTGAGCTATTCTAAGAAGTAATTTGTGATTTATTTTGGACAAATTTATAAACTGCAGTTCAGTGTGGTATAAAAATTATTTAACTATCAGTTTAGAAGTAACTTCCTGGCATTGAGGACAAATTGTGTCCCCTTAGGCCACGAAAAGATTTTTTTCTTTTGTGTGTATGTATACATGTACTTCGGCCTCAGACTTGTGGACTGCAGAGTCTTATGACCAGTATTTCACACAAATGAACAAGACCTAACATAGAAGAATGAAATGTTGTTTACCTCAGCCAAGGTAAAGTCATTTAAAAACAAAGCAAGACTGTTTTTCTTCTTCTTCAACTGACCTGAAAAGTAAAATAAATTGCTGTATGTACTGCTGTATTTGAATCAATTAATTGCATAACCAAGAAATTTGAATCACTAGATCTGATATACCCCGACAGAATAAATTTTAGAAAGGCAGTAAATGACATTTCTGATGTTTTAAAGTAAAGGAAGCCTACACTGGTAAAATTACATAACACAAATTAAGTAGGCATGGGCGGTACCAGGAATTTTCAGTTTCAAAAAATTGAAATGGCTAGTAGGTGTCTACTAATTTCTTTGTTACGGTGCTATAGTCTAGGCCTCCATCAGATTCATCTAAAATCCTCGAAAATCATAAAATCAAAATTAGCATTTTAATTTATTTTTGGGATTTTTAATTATGAAAATAAGGTCAACTAATAAAGTAGATCCTTCTCAAACAGCAAACATGAAAGTGCTATAGTCTAGGCCTCCATCAGATTCATCTAAAATCCTCGAAAATCATAAAATCAAAATTAGCATTTTAATTTATTTTTGTGATTTTTAATTATGAAAATAAGGTCAACTAATAAAGTAGATCCTTCTCAAACAGCAAACATGAAAGGCCAGAAAAAGAATGAGATATTGAAAATTAGACCACAGTTGATACTTAATAATATCAATTTCATTATCAAGGTATTTTGACGATACTTGAAAATATTGGCTCTCATTTATTATCACATTACTGGTACGATATTACATTTAGTACCAGTATTTTCTGAATTACTGTAGTATCACAAAACTGCATCTAAATCATAAATGGACCAAAACACACAATTTTATTTAACTATAGTGTACTTTGTATTCTAAGGTTTCAAATTTTTTAAAAATTTTCTGAACCTGGCTTTAGAAGATGACCGAATCAGTGCCAGCAGACTTTTAAAAGTTGTCTCTAACATCCAATATGATCTGCTTTGTGTTCATAAGTAGCTGTTTTTATGGCAATAGGGTCTAAGGTCCTTTTTAAAAATAACTTGATTATCAGCTTACATGGTTTTAATTTTATTACATTTATTGGATTCCACATAATAGTGATAAGCTTGTTCTAGCAAAGTAATTACATATAAGTCCGCAGTAATATGGTTTTAAATAAATATAATAAAATACTAATTAAATTAAAATCAAACATTTAATCCGGACACTGCCGGTTTCCAATATGGTATAAAAATAAGAGACAAAACTACAAAAAAAAAGATACATGTATGCCGACATTTTACAAGAGATGGATGCAAAACAAGCTAAAAAACAAAACACGATTTTTCGTAAAATCAGAGGCCATAATCCAGGAAGTTATGGTCTGAAATGTGCAAATATCAAAAAGGAACTGAGATCTTAGGAATAAAATGATGTACAGGTATCTTAAGATTCATAAAATCAGATAAAAATGGTGACCTCTTCTTAAAGAGTGTCCACAAGCGTAAAACAATCAGGGCATAATCCATGAAGTTATGGTCCAATACATGCCAATATCCAATATCGAAAGGAACCGAGATCTTTTGGAGATAAGCCTATATTTCAAATTTCCGACAAAAATTCTTAAATATGGGTTCCCAGAAAAGTATTTATCGGGTGGTTATTTCCAAATCCAATAAAAGTATGGCAATTTTGGTATATATGGAAAGTAGAGTTATCCAATCTTACTAGAAAAATACTGGATTCCCCGAAAAACATTCATGGAGCATATACAGGACAAAAATGTATGGGTTCCCCTAACCAACAGCCCGACGATTAGGAATTTCTGCACGCGAGATGTCAAAGGTCACACACGAACATTGAGCGCTTGATGTACAAGTTGATAAACTTTATGAAGAGTTAGATGTACAACACTTTCTGAGATAAAAAGTCGCTGGCAGTGGATAATCTGAGAATTTAATCGAATGTTTATAGCAGGGCATTCCTTGGCAAATACAATGTTTGAGAAGGATTTGAAGCAAAATTATGACAAATTAATTAGCTTGAATATGTTTTTAGTCCATTTATACCATTAAATCACCCAGTTTGTACGCAGGAATGTAACTTTAAGGTATTTTGCTCATATCGTACTGTGAAACAAACTTGTAAAATTGGACTATTTTTACATTTTAATTATTAATCATTTATTGATAAAATAAGCGTAAAACCTGAAACAAATGCTAATAAAAGAAATACTCTATCCCCTTACCTTTGTCACACCAACGCTCACAGTGAATTTTTCTATTTACTATCATTGCTACAAAAAAAAATCAATTAAGCTTACATAAATCAAAATGTTCTAGTATAATCTAAATAATAAAAACGTCAGAGGCCCAAGGCGGCCAAGTTTAGCAGTATCCATCTCAAGGGATATGAATATGTCTGCAAATTTCTTCCCACCCATCAGAACTATAAAAATTAGGTGGGAATGGTCTTAATTTGGTTTAGTGCTAGCTCAATTAAGCCTTTTCGACTAGGCCTACATGTATATGTTAGGGCTTAGACGCAATCTTCACCCCTCGCGCAGTCGCGCATATATATGTAGTACCGGTGAATATGTGATAGTATTTCAGAAACGTACCCTCGCTCCGGTTTATATTTGGTTAGTATATATATTTTATTTCAGACTTAGTCAATGGCACAGACCACATTAATTTTACAAAATTAAAAAATGCCTGGCCTTACAACTTACTACAAAATTCTCTAATATTAATATACTATTTACTTATGCTGTGTGACAACAATTTGAATTTAATTCTTAGCAGGGTCAGGAGCCCTAGTGAAAATTCTGTTCACCGCAGGCATACTGGTACATGTACCTGCATGACTACCAATACCATTTCATTTATAATCTTATAAATATTTTTTTTTCTGAATCAATCTGAGATTGTAAGTTATTTTTATTTATTCAATTATTGATGATAGTGACCATCATAATGCATAATTAATGATTGCCTTACCGCTTACCAATTACCGTCCTTCATGCTATTCCAAAGCATTAATTTAAATAACAGTGCCACAGAAAACTACGAAAATCAGGAAAAGTAACATCAAAATAGGAACAAAGAGAACAACAGTACGGCTAAACAATTTATTAATTTTAAATGGTAAGACATCTTGCCAAAACATATCGCATTTTACACGTCAACATATATTGTGGATGAAATCGTCGACTTCGCGATGACCTACTTTCTTGCACTGTAGTTGTAGACCCTTACTCGACCCACTCCCGGTCAAAAAATACATCTTATAGACATTGTTAGCCGCCAAAATGCGTTGTCTCAACGACATATAAGTAAATAAAATTAAGCATGATTTAAAATGTTGAATGCAATTAATACTTACAATTCCTTTCGCTTGTCAGGAATTTCCGTCCGAAACACACTCCTACCCATCAATCATTGCGCGATATTTTCACGTATTTTCATTGGCTGAGAATGACCACCTGGTTATATGCTCGATTATAATTGGCCAGATTGTGGATATAAACAGGACTGGACAATGTGACTACAGCTAGGGGGTATAACTCGAAATAACGAGTTACAAACACGGCACCCTTCCGTCCGAAATGCCCGTCCGAGAGTTTCGGACGTTTTGTCACTCGTCCGGAAAAATTATGGGGTGAATTTCCCATGTTTAATCCTGCAGCTCACAAATGACGAATTCAAACATTTAAAAGACTTGACTTGTACACTGCACTTTACGAGTGACCAAAAACCCCACTAGTGACATTCATACTTGCAAAACACTGCACAAGTATATCTAGGGAAGAGCGGACGGACGGACAGACAGACCCCTTTTTAATAGTCCCCTGCTTTCTTCAAAAGGCGGGGGGCAAAAGAATTAATCAGTGTACTAAGTAAGGCTGTGCAAAAATATCGATATAATCGATAATCGGTAGAAGTTATTTAGCGATACGATAATCGATATTGAAATTCAAATATCGATTATCGGTATATTTACCTTCTGACGGCAAGTTACGGTCACTTTCACATGACTGAACTTGCCGTAGTCTGGCATGCAGACGAATGAACGAATACACAACGTCAACACAACAACTATTTTCCCCCTCTGCTTACAAACTGGCACATTTTAAATATATATTATTGTAAAAAAAAACTAAACTTTAAGATTAAATACATTATTTTAATATTTTCGTTGTTTTTGTTGTTATTACTAGTTGAAACTAAAATAGGTCATGCACTTTGTGAACAATGACGATCGCACGTGATATAGTAAAATTAGAATTATCTCCCTTCTTTGCTCTTGATTGATTTGTAGAGAAATTGTCTGCTTTCACGATAAAACTAATTGTATTATTAATGATCAACTCAGCTTTTATTACTAAATCATGTCAGATACAGCCCATACAAAACAAGTTTTTGACTTCCCGGGAAAATATCTATATCTCATGTAATTTCTTGGAAGAATTCTACTTTGGTTTTCGTCAAAATTAACCAATCATAAAAATTCTACTTTGAAAGCCGGTAATTATTTTTTTATTGTCCAATCAATAGACGCCTTCTATTATATTTTATTCTATTATTAGTAACACTGTGTGATCGCCAGTAACTTGCAAAGAGAAACCATGTATTGTCTTTGTATTTATCGGAGATATTGGAATAAAAAAAAGGTTCAAATGAATCAAGAACAAAACTTAGAATAATACTCAAGTTAATCCTACATTTAGCAACTAATAATTTTACATTAATTGATTTTTTTACGTACATCGGCACAGTATTAGACTAGGATAATAACACAACTGTAACTCTATCAACACAAATAACAGGTAGGTCAAGTTCGGTTTTTCCGGAAGAATGATAATTGATTATTATCGATAATCGCTGACAAATTCTTGCCGATAATCGATATTGAAATTTCATATCGATTCCCAGCCTTAGTACATGGAGCATTAGACAAGTAACCTATAACTTAAGATTTCAACGCTATTCTTTGGTACCTAGAAATGGACACAAATGGGTTGCAATGCATATAATAATGTAATATGAATGTATATAAACGGATTTACATTCAATCATTTCTGTTTTTACTGTAATTTCTAATCAGTAATGTTGGGCGAAATAAGTCTGATATTTTTAGCCTTGTTCATCCAGTCACTTCATTACTTATGGCGCTTGAAAACATTCTGGCACACAATTCTTGTGCCAAGTTTAAAATTATTATTGTATCTTAAGTATTGGATACCAGTAGCCCATCTTTTCACAATAAGATAACAACATCAATGTTGATTTAAATTGACCAATAAGTCATGTTTGCAATGTTGAAGAATGTGTATGATACTGAGTTAAAGACTTGGCTACTTTAAAAAAGATAGGTTGCCAGGCAATGAAACATACGCCCACAGCAGCTAAATCGTCCGGGCAGTCAACAAGAGTTGTCGCATATTTTTACTTTTTTCGGTAATGAAACATTTATAATACACTAAAATCTGATTAAGAGCAACAACTCAGAAAACCATTAGAATTTGTTTGGTTTTTATAAAGTTCTGCCCCATGCTAACGTTTTGTATACAAAACTTCTAATACTGTCTCATGAATTTAGCTGTTCCAAGTCATAAAAATTCATTGAAAATCAATATACTTGTTCGTCTCAAGATCTTAAACTCTGTGTATCAATCTGCAGTCAATCGGATATTAACTTTGGCCTCTAGAGCATCTACAAGATTTTTCAAAGGGATTAAGGGCCATAACTTTGGCAGTAATTATCAGAAATCTTTGAAAATCAATAGGATTCTTCGCCTCGTGACAAGTCAATCAGATATTAACTTTAGCCTTTAGAGCATCCACAAGGTTTTTTGAAGTGATCAAGGGCCATAACTCTGGCAGTAATTATCGAAAATCACTGAAATTGAATAGACTTCTTCGTCTCATGACCTTAAACACTGTGTATAAATTTAAAGTCAATCGAATATTAACTTTGGCCTCTAGAGCGTCCACAAGATTTTTTGAAGTGGTCAAGGGCCATAACTCTGGCAGTAATTATCGGAAATCGCTGAAAATCAATAGGCTTCTTCGTCTCATGACCATAAACACTGTGTATAAATTTAAAGTCAATCGGATATTAACTTTCGCCTCTAGAGCGTCCACAAGATTTTTTGAAGTGATCAAGGGCCAGAACTCTGGCAGTAATTATCGGAAATCGCTGAATATCAATAGGCTTCTTCGTCTCATGACCTTAAACACTGTGTATAAATTTAAGGTCAATCGGATATTAACTTTCGCCTCTAGAGCGTCCACAAGATTTTTTGAAGTGATCAAGGGCCATAACTCTGGCAGTAATTATCGGAAACCGCTGAAAATCGATAGGCTTCTTCGTCTCATGACCTTAAACACTGTGTACAAATTTAAAGTCAATCGGATATTAACTTTGGCCTCTAGAGCGTCCTCAAGATTTTTTGAAGTGGTCAAGGGCCATAACTCTGGCAGTAATTATCGGAAATGGCTGAAAATCAATAGGCTTCTTCGTCTCATGACCTTAAATACTGTGTATAAATTTAAAGTCAATCGGATATTAACTTTGGCCTCTAGAGCGTCCACAAGATTTTTTGAAGTGATCAAGGGCCATAACTCTGGCAGTAATTATCGGAAATCGCTGAAAATCAATAGGCTTTTTCATCTCATGGCCTTAAACACTGTATATAAATTTAAAGTCAATCGGATATTAACTTTAGCCTCTAGAGCGTCCACAAGCAATTGTGGACGACAGACGGCAGGGGCGACAACAATATACGACCACATTTCAATGTGGGCGTATAAAAACAATAAAAAAATCCCACTCCTCACTTTGATTTGTATGCATTTGCCAGTTCAAGCTTTAACAAGCTCCTTACAAATGATGCCCTGGTAGTACAAAATATTAAATTAAAACTTACATATTGCTCAAAGTCGAGAAATGTTGCTAAAAGTGGAGGTATCTTTTGGGCTAAGTAATAGATAACAGTCTGTAAATAAACTTCCAGATCCGACTGTCGTTTCTTAATAAAAGCATCACTCTGATTTCCAAAAACTTTCTTTGGTGGTAGCAGAGATTTTTCTAATCTATAACTGGATACAAGCTGTAAATTTGTAAATTAAAATTTGTACAAAATATTTAGACATATAATTCAGCTGATAACCTATAACATTGATTACAAAATGTTTTAGTGATTGTATTACAATCACTAAAACATCAAGTCTAATCCAGTAAATAGTCTAAATCAGCTTTGAAATAAGGATCTGGAACACATATTGCTGGGGGTACGTTGCTCGTAGGCCTTTTTAAACGGGAGCTGACCACCTTTTTCACAAAGCCATGGGCCCTGAGCGCTTCTATTCACTGAGCCCAATAACAACTGTCATTTGCCACCCAAACATATTCTCGTTTGATAGATTAGGTGACATTACATAGCATAATTTCAAATTTTACATCTTCAAAAAAACTCTTTCATAAAGTTATGCTGAAAACATAAATAACATCAACCAACGGCTGCCAGGCAGGATACGCCCACATTTTCGAGAGATGGATAGAGAACAAGCTAACAAGAAAGTGATTTTTCCTACAGTCAAGGGCCATAATTCAGGAAATTACAATTCGATATGCGCGAATATCAAAAGGAACTGAGATCTTTGGGTTATAAACTTACATTTCAAGTTTCGACAAAATCGAATAAAAAGTGTGACCTCTATAGGGTTCACAACCTTGATATACCATATTTTTACGCTAGTTGAGAACGAACGGCAGCCATTTTGTCTGTCAATTTTGGGCCTATTCGAACTCAGTCGTCCTTAGGGAGTAATGGTGATATAATAATATGTTTTTTTTAAATCGGATAAAAATTGACTTCTATAGGGTCCACAAGCTAAAAATGCGATTTTTCGTACAATCAGGGGCCTTAATTCAGGAAGTTATTGTCCAATATGCGCGAATATCGAAAGGAACCGAGATCTTTGGGTTATAAACTTATATTTCAAGTTTCAACAAAATCGGATAAAAATTGTGACCTCTATAGGGTCCACAAGCTAAAAACGTGATTTTTCGTACAAACAGGATAAATAATCCATGAATTTTCGATTCGATACATGCCAATATCGAAAGCAGCCGAGATCTTTTGGAGATAAACCTATATTTCAAGTATCGTCAAAATCGGATAAGAATTGTGACCTGTAGAGTGTCCACAAACAATTGTGGATGGACAGACGTCCGGACGGACAGCGGCGACGACAATATACGTTCACATAAAAATGTGGGCGTATAAAAAATTATTTTAATATTATCTATACATTTATTCATGCAAAAAAGTCTAGTTATATTATTGTTTGTCACTCTTGCATGTTTATTTATTTGGTTTACATAGATTAAGCTGACCATAATGGGACCCCCTGATTTCACTGTGGTCCCACCTACAACAACAGCATTGGAGCCCGGCTGGGCCCCCATGTCTGAAGGCAGAGTTTGGAACACTACTGGGATTGGAGTGAAATGTGGGCTTCGCATATCAGCTAAATGCATTATAACATTTACCTTATCATGAAGTTCATGAAAGTCACTGTATCTGTGTTCAACAGTCCAGGTATAGGATCCAATATTAACTTCTATTATGTAAAGCTGAAATACAATAAATATTGTGAACATGCAATGTACATGTTGAACAATTTAAATACTGTAAATTGAATATTTAGAGTCAAGATTGCAACTGTTTCTTCTCTAGACAGCATCATTCTGGTATTCATACATGTATATGGGAATATATAATAATACATAGCTAAATTACAGTAGATGTAACTGTTAGTCCATCTTAATGGAGCTAGACTTCTTTGATTTAGATGAAAATAAAGTACTGAATGTGACAAGTGCTATTAGATCAAATTTTGATGAAGTGGAAGACTTCTTGGTTTAATTCTTCAATTACTGGTATTGCCATGGGTCGACAGTGGAATAAAAAATCGGTTATCTCTGGTCACTGGCTTTATCTATGGACATTAAATATTCAATAAAGACAGATTGTCATCCAACATAAATTTCATGACAGGAAAAATTACCCAATACTACAATACCAATGGGTCATTTGAGATGTTTGAATATGGGGCAGAAAGTGGCATTATTGTGGGTAAGTTTATGAGCAATGAAGCCACATTTGATGTGCTTTTGAACACAGTGGATCCTGTACATGTAGATACAAGTCGAGTTCCACTGGGAACAAAGAATAATTTATACCTTGTTTGTTGTCAACTAAATAAGTACTCTTAAAAGTTAAAGCAAGATCAGATTTCGAGATGATTGTGGGGTATTATATAGGATTCTGATGCAGGCCACAAGCAAAAAACAGTCATGTGCATTTAGAAACAGACTGATGGCCATCTCATGTAATAATACGATATTTAGAGATTTTTGATTTAATCATATATAATTATCAAAATAAATACTTGTTTTTCTTATACTGCAAAGTCCAACAAGCTGATAAATCCGTGTAGCAATCAAAAATCTATTTATATCTCGGTTATAAATGGAAACTGAGATCCGCCCCAGTCAATCTTACTGGGCAACTTTTTGCTGCTGAAGGGTCGCGTGTCAGTCCCCGTGAACTGCCTGAACAATATAAATGAACACCTTAGTGAGAATATAAGACCTTGCTTACCTCGCTGGAAGCAGTATGAGCGACACAACACGCTGTTAAAAAATATGTCTCCGTCTTTTAACCGACTTGGCAGACTTCATTGAAAGGGTAACGTACAAATTTATGAACTCGGCCATGTAAGATGAAACGAAATTTTGGTAAGCCTGGGAGAAAAAAATTGAAATCTTTGAAAAGTTGAGAATCTTCAGTCATTTATTGCTTTGCCTAGCCAAATTACAGTAATTTACAATCAAATTCTTTCATCAAATCCAATTTTTTCCCCCCTGGCTTACCTAAATTTCGTTTCATCTTACATGGCCAAGTTCATAAATTTATATTGTTCAGGCGTTCACGGGGACTGACAGGCGACCATTTAGCAGCAAAAAATTTTCCAGTAAGATTGACTGGGGCGGATCTCAGTTTCGACAAGGATTCAATAGCAGAGTTTCTGAATGTACAGGCCAAGTGTAATGAGACCTACCTTCAGAGCTGAACTACAGTTGTAAGTGATATGTAATGTACCTACACCTATACAATTGCTATGCAGCAATATTACTAAGGAAATCTTGCCACTTTTAGAAAGAAGTTCTCAAAATTGCGTTGTTCGAAGAGTGTGTAGAATTTTCAGTGCAAAGCTGGGGTTTGCCGAGTGTAATGTATCATTATATGATTATCATAAGAAAATCTAATTGGATGGTATGGTGTCAAGACACAAGTAGAAGTACTACTTAGGCCTACAGTTATTTGAGTTATAATAAGGACAATCGGGTCAATTACATTCACATGACAGTCGTTAAGAGTGCAGTCAGCAATTTTCGTAATTGAGATTATTAGGTCATTATAAATAGACATGGCAAATCCGAATAATCATAATAGGCCTATAGATAATAATAATGACAATGAATCTGCAATGAGAATGATGTCAGCTGATCTACAACAATAAAATACACGCACTGTAAAGTTATCCTTCGATACTGTTCGTGGAATCTTGATCGTTCTTTCATGGGAGGAAGTTAGACTGTCAGCATCCTTTCCAAAATGTGCCATTTTATCCTAGTAACATCGTATAAAATTTAACAACAAATTAAGTATTTAAATGTCTTCAGTTTCTGGTCCTAAAAAAAATGTCAATATTTTTATCCTCTGAAACCAGTGAACGCCCTCTAACGGCAATTAGAATTATCTACCCCGGAAAGTAGTCTTCGACCTCCAGTTACTAAAATATCGCATCGGCCAATGACGTAGACGTCATTTGGCATCCGCCACCATAGAAATATACAATTACAACAGTTAACAGACAGGCCCATATATATCCATGGCATATCTTATTAAAGTTTTGGATGTTTTTATTTAAATCCGTACGTAGATTCTATGGATGGATTGAACTTTTCTTCAGAACTTTAGGATTAGTGTACCTGCATGTGTAAATCTATCGGCAGGACGCAGGCGCGGATCCAGGGTGTGTGTGTGGGGGGGGGGGGGGGTCCAGGGGTTCCGAGAAATTTAAATCTAAAAGCCTGAATCTGACCCAAAAATTGCGAGTTTGTATACATTGAGTTGAGCCATGACTTTCATTCCATTGTGGGCAAAAACAAATAGTCACATACAGCTCTGGCAATTAGCCAAAAACGTCGACAGCATAAATTGCCGTCGGGACTAATTGACCCAACGACAAATCGCCTATAGACGACGGCAATTTTTTAATACCGTACTGAATATTGTTGTGTTTGCTTTTTAATTTTATCGACAACGTTGATAAGAAAAAGAAACCTGGTCATTTATTTTATCAAATTTAAAAAAAAAAATATGCTAGCGGAATTTATAAGATTTTTTAAAAATTTGATACAAAACATATTCACCGCTTATGTTTTATTATTATTATTTAATTATTATTATTATTATTATTATTATTATACCTGAAGAGAATGTCTTATTAGGTGAACTTGGAACATGCCCTTACCGCGAAACAGAGGAAGGTAGGCCTACTACAGCGATCGAGAGTGCAGGTAAAATACTTCCGACAGGTCGTCATTCGTAAGACTTTTTTATACGCGCATTTAAAACAATTGTTGCGTGAGACGTAACCCCACCAGTGGCGGCGCCAATTATTAATCTGGTCTGCCCTCTGTTTGTCCCCCCAATAATTTTAGAAAATAAAAAAAAATATTTGTGGTACGTTTCGGTAATCAATACCTTTTACGGTGAATAAATCCCACATCCCCACTCAGTCATAAACTTGCATGTTGTAGAGCATTTCCGACAGTCTATTTTTCAAATTTTTCTTGGCAAGGTCTCCAATGGACTCGCTACTTTGGCGCTCACAAGGGGAATTCGTTGAGGTTCGCAAGTCCGTTCGTTTGACATTTTGTTCTCTAGTCGGTTAAACTAGTGATCAGGCGACGGACGGTATCTGGTTAGATCTATTTATCTCGACGATCGGTGCCTGGGAATACTGTAAGACAGCATTTCCGGCAGTCTATTTTTCAAAATTTTCTGGGGGAAGACTCCCTACTTTGACGCTCGTGAGTGGACTTCGTCGTGATTCGCAAGTCCGTCGTTTGACACTTTACCTCATCGATCAGTGCCTGAAATACTGCCAGGCTGCATTTCCGGCAACCTGTTTTTCAAAATTTTCTGGTGGAGGCCCCCTACCCCTAGTTGAAGCTCGTGTTGCCCCCTTAACCTTGGACTTTGCCCCAGCTGTGCTCCTCCAATCACCGACGGCTGGCGCCGCCACTGAACCCCACGTGTGTTTAAAATCGGGTAATTAGAGATTAACAATAAACTAAATTCATCATCAATCGATTTATTTAATTAGCCTAATTGTCAAGAATCCTAACCGTCGAATTCCCTTCCTTTCGTTTCTCTTTTCGTTTCTCCTTTTTCTCGTACACCAAGCAACTATTGCAAGCTATATTATTTATTTTTATGCGCTGAAAGTAAAAACAGTCAACCAAGTCTAAAGACTTTTCGTCTGTGAAAGTTTGTGCTCTGGAAAACCCCGACCAACTTTCCTATACTTAAATGGACTGGTTACTCTAATAGTAAATTGATACTGCTAATAAAGCTTGTTAAGAACAACCATAATATGGTATCTGAAGATATTTTGTTCCTCACTACGGGAGCATTCCCCATCAACATTTTAAGGACATTTTATGCGATTTTATTGGTGATTTTTAGACCTGTAATTTTGGAATTTACCTTTCGGAAATGAGTCAGAATGCACCAAATTGAAACTAATTTACCAAATTTTTCTGGGGGAGGGCCCCCAACCCCCCGTTACAATGTTTAGCGTCTTCGGCGCTCACGGCAATGGGCTACGCCCACCGCAATTAGTTGAGCAATTATCCAACCTAGACCCACCCCCCCTCGCAAAAACTCCTGGATCCGCGCCAGAGACGATTTACCCAATAGGCTATATAGGCCTACTTAACTACCCAATTATAATTATAATATTAATAGGAGGTGTCTTTTCATCGCCGACAACCGCCGACGAATATTAACAAAATTCAGAAGAGGGATTATTTCATTTGCCCAAACATAAAATCTTCAATATGATCATATATTCCATATAATATAAGACCGCCGACTCCTTTCAATTGACCACCGCCGACCGCCGATTGCTATCAAAATACAAGAGTAGAGACTACTGTATTTGCACAAGAGAGAGAAATGGGGTTTAACGTCCACTCGACACAAACTAGGTCATTTCGGGACTAACATATGGTTTAATTTTATTTCAATAATTCGCTTGCGCGTAGGGTCTTTAGCAGTGGGAGGAAACCGGAGGACCCGGAGAAAACCCACGAGGTTGGACAGGCGACCCTAATCCTTGTCACGTACAACCGGGGATTCGAAACTACGCCAGTCGACTCAATGACAGACTTTATGATACAGCGCGCGCACGCTAACCATTCAGCCATCCAACCCCCCGTATTTGCACAAGCACAAAATATTCAACATTTATGATTATATTTTCCATAAGATATAAGACAGTCGGCGACCGCCGATTCTTGTTAAATAGACCGCCAAAACCACCGACATATGAACAAAATTCCGAAAAGGGACTATTTGATCTGTATACAAACATAAAATCTTAAATATTTAAGATTATAATTCCACCACAGATTTCTAATATTGTTCATATTCATAGACCTACAACATCGCATTAACAGAAATTAAAAAATAATCAGATATAGCCCATGATACTAATGACTTTTTGATACGTCAAAAATTAAGTTACATAAGAAATGACCGTCAACAAATAAATAAATTACGGCAACTTTACAAAGTCAACTTATGATTTCATAGCACAGTATAAAGCACAGTATATTACACATTTTATTTTCCATTTTCCGCAATATTAATTGGATTTAGTTGGTCGGAAATTAATAATAATTCCTATATATATAGCGTTGGCGGTGCGGTGCGGTGGGGTGGGGTGGGGGTCATATGTCTTCATTCCATCCACAAACACTTGAACAAATAATAATTCCCTCAAAATCGGTATGGGCTGAAATTATATTTATAGTTTCATAGTTTATCGCGTACATTATTCAAAAGAGCTGACAAACCAAACCAAAATTATCAGTTTAAACTTAGAAATAATTTTAGTGTGTTAATGGTATCGGCGAAGCTTATTTAGATTTAAAGGATTAAGCCAGGCTGACACTTGCACGACTTTTGGCCACGATTTTGTCGTGGCAAGTTGTGCCATTTTGGGGCACGAACTGGGAGGCTCCCGCACTGTTCACTACTAGTTCACGCATAGTTCACGACGAGTTCACGAATGCGTGCCCATCAGTGTCCACAGTGACACGAACTGGCACGACGAGTTCACGCAGAGTTTGCGCATTGTTTACGCACTTCCTGCATTAGCACGACGAGTTTGCGCAATTCGGACAGTGTCGTGCCGACTATCGCACGCCATATAAAAAGAGGGCCTCCTAACCCCTGGTCATTTTTGGATTGGCTGTGGAAGAGACAACATGCTGAATGTCAGAGACCAATCATTGCAGGGAAGAGAAGATGCCTATACCTGGCAGCTGCTCTAGCCATTGTTCAAGAGCAGCAGAAAAGGCTGGAAGAGGCAGAAGAGCAAGAAAAGGCAACCCCAAAGGAAAGTGTGGGTCAGGGAATGGTTGACCAGAAGGCAAGAGTTTGGACAGTATGACAGTTTACTGACTGACCTCCACAAAGAAGATCAAAGGGGCTACAAAAATTACCTCAGAATCACACCTGATCTGTTTCAGGAGATGGTTGAGAAGTTAACCCCTTGCCTCCAGAAGCAGTCCACCTTCATGAGGGAACCGCTTCAAGTTGGACTCATACTAGCTGTCACCCTCCGCTTCCTAGCCACTGGAAATTCCTATCCAAGTCTGCAGTACAGCTTCAGGGTTGAAGCAAGTACCATCTGCAAGTTCATACCCGAGGTGTGTAAAGCCATCATCGCGTCTTAAAAGGACGAAGTGCTGCGCTGCCCCAAAACTGAAGAGGAGTGGAAGGAAGTTACTGCCAGGTTCAGCTCCAGATGGAACTACCACAACTGTCTGGGGCTGTGGACGGCAAGCACATCGCCATGAAGAAGCCACCCAATGCTGGCTTTTACTACTACAACTACAAGGGCTTCCACGGCATTGCTCTGATGGCAGTGGCAGATGCTACCTACAAGTTCCTCTATGTGGATGTTGGGGCAGAGGGTGGTGCGTCGGATGGAGGAACATGGAGTAACTGTTCCCTGCATGATGCTGTAGAAGAGAACAGAGCTGGAGTGCCTCAACCAGAACCACTCCCTAATGATGACCAGCCAGTGCCCTATCACTTCGTAGGGGATTGCGCCTTTGCTCTCCGAACCTGGATGATGAAACCATTCTCCCATCGGTCACAGGTCCTACGAGAACGCATTTACAGCTACAGGTTGTCTCGTGACCAACGTGTCGTGGAGAATTCCTTTGGAATATCGTCTCAAAGGTTCCGTTGCTTCTTGACGACGATGCATAGGCACCCCGACACTATGTGCGCCTGTGTCCTGCACAACCTCATCCTCATCAGATACCCACACGCAATTTCAGAAGTGGAACGCGAAGATCCGGACACACATGATCTGATCCCTGGTGGATGGAGCCCTATATATACACCTGCACGGACGCGAACGCCACTGTCGCGCAGTAGTCGTGAACTAGTCGTGGCAGTTCGTGACAGTCGTTGCATGGCGCGCACTGCCACGCACTGGCACTGGCATGCATCCCCCCGCATCGTCCCGACGAGTTCACGAACAGTTTGCGCATAGTTCACGACCCGGTCGCTACATTTTGTCGCTAAATTCTCGTCCCGACATGGCACGCAGTCACGACGGGTTTACGCACACTTCACGCCAGTTTACGACTAGTTTGCGCACTGAGTCGTGCCAATGCGTGCCACGGAATCGTGCAAGTGTCAGACTTGCTTTAGACTGAAGTGTCATTGTAACCGGCAATTAATAAATGCAATATGAGGTACAGCTATATGGATATTAGAAATAAATGCATTTTGTAACACTGGATACGTGGGTAAAACCCCGAATAACTAAAATGAGAGGTCAGGAACTTTTATACCATTAAAAGCCAGATTATTCATCATACATATTTAAAAAGTCAAAAATGACTTATTAGAGAGGTTTCGCAGCTTAACAGTTACGCTTACACTTACATTTAGATAAGTGTAAGTGTAACTGTACATTATGACGTTTCGCTAAATTCACACTTACAGTTACACTTAGTAGGTGGCGACACTAAGAATAGCAGACGATAGGCACGAGAACATGGACGCTGACGAAATTTTAAGGTTAGCCTTGGAAAATGATGATGAAGAGACTTCAAACTATGTCATCCTATTTGGTATTGGCAGCCATGCCTCCAATTCAACTTACGATCCGGACTGGCCAAGATTTAACCTAAATAACCTCTCAGACGAACAGATTAGGTGTCATTTCAGATTTGATAGGAATGGAATTCACCGTCTTGCCACAAGTCTTCATATCCCGGATGAGATGTTTTGTGTAAACCGGGCACGGGTAACGGCGTTTGGTCTATCCTAATAGGCTTGTAGACCTTGAGAAATTATTTGGAAGGCCGAAATCAACCCTCTCTTTGATCATAAATACAACTCTCGACTTCATTTATAATGAATTTGGTCAATTACTAAGTTCTTTAGATCAACCATGGTTAGGGGAAGAAAAGCTACGAGAGTATGCGGTTGCCATACATGAGAAAGGGGCTCCACTTGACAATATATTTGGCTTTATTGATGGAACTGTCAGAGCTGTCTGTAGACCACGAGAGAATCAAAAAGTCTGCTACAATGGCCACAAGCGCGTCCATGCCCTCAAGTTTCAGTCGGTAGTCACTCCTAATGGACTCGTTGTAAACATGTTTGGACCTGTTGAGGGAAGGCGACATGATTGTGCACTTTTAAAACTTAGTAGATTACTAGAGCAGTTAGAAACCAAAGATTTTAAAACTTCAAATGGTCAGTCTTTGGCATTATATGGAGATCCTGCGTATCCAGTAAGGAATAATTTACTGTGTCCCTTTAAAGGTGCTAATCTTACGGCGGCTGAAAATAACTGCCAAGTGTAAGAGAATGCGTGGAATGGGAATTTGGAAAGATAATAAATTTGTTTGCCTTCCTAGACTTTAAGAAGAATTTGAAGCTCAAATACTACTTGGTTGGTGCACTGATTTCCAACTGCCACACGTGTCTTTATGGGAGTCAAACAAGCAGATTTTTCCAGTTACGGCTTCCTACTATCGAAGAATATTTAGGAAGAAACTGATGGTTTAATAAACAAACACCAAATTGTGATATAAAGCTTTATAATATATATACAAAACTAGAGTGTAATAAATAAATATATATAATTTATCACTTTTGATTCTGACTAAGTCTTATTAATAATTCCATCATCTGCTGGTCCCTTTGTAGTCTTGCCTCCCTCTCTACTTTCTCCAATTCAAATTTCTTCTTTTCTAGCTCTAGCTCATACATATTTTAAAAGTCAAAAATGACTTATAATCATTATAATGAAAAGACTGTAATTAATTAAGCACACCCGAGTGTACAAATGAGCTGGAAGATTATTCCTTTATTTGTCTAAGACGCGTGAAGATGACAATGTGAAATCAACCGAAACCTAATCAAACTTACCCATGGCCATACCTTATAAACTGTTTACGAGTGTATGAATTTGCTCAGGAATTTAATTTGATTTAATGAACAAAAAGAATGGCGATACCATTAGCTCGAACGGATGTATAAACCTTGTATAGACTGTCTTATAATTGAATGGAGGAAGTAAGATAAGAGTATAACATTGAAATAACAATTCTCCAGGAGTAGGGACTACTGTTTATGTTTATTATGGAAGACAAAATGGAACAAAATTCATGATTTGTGTTGCTACATTCCAGTTTCAACATTTTATATTAGAAAACTATATTTTAAACTGGTGATTATTGTTTTTACATATTTATGTCAACATCACTTTATGTTTCGACATTTTATCGGTAATATTAAAATTAAAAACTAATATATTAATTTTACGCGACAAAGAAATAAATTCATTGGTTTCTGAAAGTAACTAAAAAAAAGACTGAAATGAAAATACTTTCTACGTTTCAAAGAGTCTTGAAGTTGAAATCTTGAAATGAAAATGTGCAGAAAAATATAAAGAATTACCAACACTATTACACCATAGGGCGTTATTACGCCAATGAATTATTTCTTTATCGAGTAAAATAAATAAATTATTCTTTAATCTTAGCTAAGTGGGTAAGACGCTAGCTCGCTAGCCTTGAGGTCGGGTGTTCGATCCCTGCATTGGCCGAGAAAGTTCATCCAGATTTTCCGGCGTGGTTCTCCCTTGTCAGTGATGCAGGACGGAGGGGCTGACAAGGAAAGCTGTCTAGTCGTTCGGATGGGACGAAAAACCGAGGTCCCGTGTACACATTGGCGTGCACGTAAAAGATCCCTTGGCAGTTGGAATTCGATATAAGAGTAGGCCGTAGTGCCGCTGTCCGGGCAAAATTTCCCTCATAGCACACTGTATGGCGTATGCCCGTCTTCATTAGCCCAGTTCGGAGCAAAACAGTAGGACGTTAAACTCCATTTCAGTTCAGTTCAGTTCTTTAATCTTAAAGGACAATATTGGTGCCAGTCATTATCACATGTCATAGAACTGGTTAAACACGTTCAAAATATTATTGTTTCACAGAGATCATTGCTACAGATGCGTAATCAATGTTTCAACAATCGGAAGTGACGAACGCAAAGGGAAAACACGAGTTATCCCTCTATATAAATGACTGAAGTGACGGGTGATAACAGATACATGGGCGAATTTCTGCTCACTAATACTTCCTTCGAAGACCAAAAGTTGTGTGAAAAATATCTGACAATTCATAAAAAAAATTGACTGTCACTAGATAAGAGAACACGAAAGAAAAATAGAAAAAATCCGTGCATTACCATGTTTTTATAAGTATAGAATGAATAAACACACGTGAATGTACGGACTGTTTCTATTTTTCTCGTGTTATTATTACCATTATTATTGTTCGATTTATATAGCGCTTCATTGCACGTGAAGTGTTTCTAACATATACTTCAAACACACAGAAACAATCAAAATCAGGAGAACATAATTAAACACAGCTGCCTGTTAGGCGCTATTATTCAAAGGTTTATATCCAACAAATCAACCGGCTAATCTCTATATTGAACTCAGTCGAGGTATTACCTGATGAACACCTACACCAAGTAGAGTTCAAAAATAAAAACGAAGTTTAAAAGAATCAACTTCATTAACAAAAAAATTAAACAATCAAAAACTAAACAGATAAATCAAATTCAAACGAAACAAATAAAACAAAGAAAATGAAAAGAGCAGTTCATTACCATTCTACATTAACAAAATAAAGGAAATCAACTTGCGAAAAAATTTTCAAAAAATAAGAGCAAAGTAACACTAATGTTAATACTTTTTTTAACGACCCCATATAGGCCATAATGGATTCCGAAACAAGCTATGAAGTTTATAAAATAAAATAAAACGTATAATAATTTACATAAGATTAATGAGATAATCTCTGTTAATATAGTAACTGTGACATAGAAAATGGAATATAAACATAAATAACGTAGGCCTACATGAAAGCACATAATTATAGTCACGCTATCCCTATAGCCTAGATAAAACTCCTTTAAATTTAATTCAATATCAAAACCTCAGTTTCTAGTATTTTTTATTGCGTGTTCTGTTATCTAATGGTATTTAATCACCTTTTTGAATTGTCAGATATACTCTTACAGTTTCATATAACAACTTTTGGTCTTCGAAGTAATTATCACTCGTCACTTCAGTCAGTTATATAGAGGGATAACTCGTGTTTTCCTTTTGCGTTCGTCACTTCCGATTGGTGAAACATTGATTACGCATCTATCGTAGCAATGATCTCTGTGATAAAATAATATTTGGAACGCGTTTAACCAGTTCTATCACATATGTGATAATGACTGGCACCAATATTGTCCTTTAATATTAAATGATATAAATGTTACCGATAAAATGCCAAAATTGAAACATATATTTTGTTTAAAATATTGATTTTGTGCATGAAATGTCAACACGAAAGTGCAGAAAAACAATCATCAGTTTAAAATATTGCTTTCGTATTAAATTGTGGAAATTGGAATGTTGAAACATAAATCAAGAATATTGTCCCATTTCGTCTTCCATAATTTATTACTATAAATAACAATTACACACATATGTTTGCCATTGTTGCGACGAAATTAAATGCAGTGTGAGGTACAGCTATTTGGATATTAGAAATAAATACATTTTGTAACACTGGATACGTGGGGGAAAACCCCGAATAACTAAAATGAGAGGTCAGGAACTTTTATACCATTTGTCTATATTTATCTAGGCTGTGTTTATTATGTTTATTACTATAAAATATATCCACTTTGAGATATAATTCAGTGATTTATTATATTTTAAAGTGTGGGAATTCCCAGTTCTTTGTCTTTGTCCTGAAGGCCTATTAATTATAGGTAATGGTGGGCGATGTTCGACACGCAGGGTATGTGCATTGTTTCAACACCTGATACAACTTCTAATATGTGTGTTAGGGTTAGAGAACATGTTATCTTTTCGTGCTTATTTGATACTAGCAGGATATTTGTCTTAGATCGGGGCCTAAATTCGATGGACCGAAACATTCACGAGGTCATGCTGTTTAATTTGATACTACATATGTAGGGTTGGACCGCGTTGACGAAGCGTGATTCGCCCGGATCAATTCGGCTGGGGTCCAAATTTAATGGCCTAAAACATTCACGGGGTCGGGCTGGTTAATTTGATACCAAATTCGTAATGGGCGAACATACAAATATACACACATCACATTGATATTATTTATATAGACGTGCATATCTATTTATTCTAGTTTATTTATCAATGTATATTATAATACATATAACATAGTCAACGATACATTCTGGTCAGTATTGGCCTGTACGCGATTCATATTTTACAAATAGCAACACTAGAAGAGTTTTAATGGTCACGTGGCATAGAGTGTCAGACACAAATGCTAATGCAATCCTTCAATATAAAGTGTGGATCCAAATGATCCTGTTTGTTTATCAAACAAGGGTTGTTTTACCCGTGTTTATGTATAAACTGATTTAAAGAAAATACAAATAAATGTAAATAAATTTGCATATAATATATCATATTCCAAATAATTATAGAAAATCCAATTTAAGCACTTTGTTACTTTGAGTTGATGGTAATTTTCCCCGAGCTTTCGTCAAACTGCTTGCAAACCACAAGGGGAGAGGTATACTGGCATGGCCTTGTTCCACCAATAATTTTATATGCATAAACAATGTTCATTTAAAAATAAAAGAACTCACTAAAACAGTTGAACATGCTCGATCTGGCGATTAAAATAGGCTTGGTGGTCTAGAGCGTTGCGCTTTGGATCAAACTCTTTCATCCTTGCATTATCACAAGGAACACTGTCGTATGTCAATAACTTGTATTTATTGCAATAATTGAAACTTTGCTTTCTATTGTTTACCTATTCTTTCAAATTACTTTTACGAGAATCGTCGTTTTCTGTTTTTAATTTGCAGTTGGTAGTGTCTCTTACCTGCTATTGTTTTCTAATCTAATCACCATCACCATCGCAAGATGTTCACCAACTTTTGAATCGTGCCCTTGTGGTAAAACTGGCACTGACGTCGATATTAAAATCATAAGGTAAGTTCAGAAGTTGTTTGTGGTGAAAGTTAAAGCGCGTGATCACCACAAAACTTTACTTTTGTTCCGTCCGGAACACCTTGCAATACTGGATTAGCGAGTGAGACGTACACTGACTCACTCACCTGGAGGTCCGTGGTTCGATCCCGGAGATGGCCGAGACAGACCCCAGGGATTTTTACGCGTGGTTCTCTTTGTCACTGACAATCAGATTTTGGGGTAGACGTGTAAATTAAAAAGAACGAATATATTTGTTTGGAAAACAAATTTTTTTGGCTTTTAGTTGGCAAAAAAAAGTGTCTAAAATCTGATGATTTTTACGTGATAATAAAACTCCAATTTCACTCTCTAAAAAGAATATGGCGAATATGTTCTGAAATGACTATGGATTAAAACATTTTAACTTGGAGCCCATTTGCTTTATGTGACATTTTTTGGTCATCAATCATTATTTGTTAAAACATTTAAAACCTCTAGAGCCGCTCCATTCTGCACACAAAGAACTATGTACTTCGAGAATAGATCTTTAACCTGAATAGCTGCCATATCCAAAAAAAACAAAACAAAACAAACAGTATGGACGAAAAACCGAGGTCCCGTGTACACATTGGCGTGCACGTAAAAGATCCCTTGGCAGTTGGAATTCGATATAAGAGTAAGCCGTAGCGCCGCTGCCCGGGCAAAAATTCCCTCATAGCACACAGTATGGCGTATGCCCGTCTTCAATTAGCCCAGGTTAGGTGCAGAAGAGTAGGACGTTAAACACCATTTCATTTCATTTCATTTCATATCCAATGAAGTTGCAGTATTTCTTAAAATTTCGATTTTATCTTAGTCTAAGTTTTCGTGAATGAGGGCCTCGAATTACTAACATTGCGGCCCGCTTAAGAGATTGTCTAGGATGTATGTGTAGGATAAAGCATGAGACTGAGGTTATGCTGCAGGGGAAAGAAAGACTGAAGAAAATACCCCGAGAAAAAGAAAGGCCGGGGTTTTTCTGTCGAGGGTTTTGTCTGAAGATTTTCTTCTCCAGCATAACCGAAGTCGAGGACTTTATCTTGCTTATAAACCGTCTATGTTTACATGTACGCAAAATGAGAATATCCCAGAATTCCCATAAGACAAACCTTAGATCATGTTTTCTTACGGAGAAAAAAAACTACACTGGAAGAATAACCGTTACAGGTTTAAAGAAAAACTTTCAGAAGAATAACCCCAAATTCTCCTGTATATATTCAAAACCGCCCGCGACTTTCAGACCTCAAGTTACTCCGGGCATAGAATCTACCCCAAAGATCAAAGAGATTTACCGTTACAGGTTTAAAAGACTGTAGAAAGCACGTACACATATGGCTGTCGCCATACCGACACGACTAGGGTTTAGAACCCTTACAGACCGGCGCGTCGAATTACCCAATAACACCCAATAACTCCAAAATAACACCCAATAACTCCAAAATAACACACAATAACACCCAATAACTCCAAAATAACAACCAATAACTACAAAATGTTGACTTTGGAAACACAAAATAACAATTTAGTAGATTTCAAGAAGCATTGCTGCTTTGTGTCCAAATCGCGGAGTTTCACGCTCACTCGCCGGAAGGGAGATAACTCGTATATGTGATTTTTGTTGACAAGAAATTAATAACACCCAATAACTGCCCAATAACACCCAATAACTGCCCAATAACACCAAATTGTTGACTTTGGAAATACAAAATAACAATTTAGTTGAATTTAAAAGCCTCGCAACGTTGAGCCCAAATCAGAGTTTTACGCTCACTCGCCTGAAGGGAGATAACTCGTGTATGTGATTTTTGTTTACAAGAAATTAATGTATGCTTTCGTTGCAATTCGTTTTAATTATACATGGGCGTCAAATATGGAATAACTATTTCAACCCCTCCATGGGTATCGTCAGGCGGTTGCGATAACAAAATGTTATTACCATAGGCGTACGGGGAAATTTTTGACTGGGGGGGGGGGGGCGGTGGTGGTTGGTGCCCAAAAAATGTAGTTAGGTTCTTAGTATGTTACATGATAATAATAAATTTGCTGTTAAATTGGACACATTCAAGAACACAATATTATTTTATACAATTGTGTGCCCAAATTTTCCCAGTACCAGTGTGATGACCCAGAGAGAACCCACGATTCTGGACAGACGACACTGCTTCTTGTCAGGTATAACCGGGGAATCACATACACAAGTTATCTCCCTCCAGGCGAGTGAGCGTGAAACTCCGATTTGAATATCAAAACCAGCATAGTTGGATCTGCAAGACCTACATATGTAAATAGTATCTACTTTCCCACGTTGACATACTTCACAATATAAGCTTTGAATATCGCGAGTTTCTTTCAAACATGATCCGCGAGGCTTTTAAATTCAACTAAATTGTTATTTTGTATTTCCAAAGTCAACAATTTGGTGTTATTGGGCAGTTATTGGGTGTTATTGAGCAGTTATTGGGTGTTATTAATTTCTTGTCAACAAAAATCACATATACGAGTTATCTCCCTTCAGGCGAGTAGGGGGGTTGGATGGTTGAATGGTTAGCGTGCGCTCGCTGTATCATAAAGTCTGTCATTGAGTCGACTGGCGTGGTTTCGAATCCCCGGTTGTACGTGGCAAGGAGTAGGGTCGCCTGTCCAACCTCGTGGGTTTTCTCCGGGTCCTCCGGTTTCCTCCCACTGCTAAAGACCCCTACGCGCAAGCGAATTATATAAATAAAATTAAACCATGTTAGTCCCGAAATGACCTAGTTTGTGTCGAGTGGACGTTAAACCCCATTTCTCTCTCTCTCTCTCTCTCTCTCTCTCTCTCTCTCTCACTCTCTTCAGGCGAGTGAGCGTGAAACTCAGATTTGGACACAAAGCAGCGATGCTTCTTAAATTCAACTAAATTGTTATTTTGTGTTTCCAAAGTCAACATTTTGTAGTTATTGGTTGTTATTTTGGAGTTATTGGGTGTTACTGGGGCGTTATTGGGTGTTATTGGGCGGTAATTGGGTGTTATTGGGCAGTTATTGGGTGTTATTGGGTAATTCGACGCGCCCCTTACAGACAGCTAATAGAAGAGGAGGAAGGCAGGGAGCCATTTCGCCCCTGAAACTGGCTATGACCATCCGATTCCTGGCTTCAGGGAATAGTTATAAGCCACTTGAGTTTTCATTCCGCGTGGCATCGAATACCGTTTGTTTGTACCTGTGGTTTGTCGTGCTATATATACGAGGAATACAGAAATGGACTATTTAGCATTCCTGAAACTGCCCACACATGGCTCAAGATGGCAGCTAAGTTTCCCACATACTGGAACTATCACAGTTGTGCAGGAGCCATTGCTGGAAACATCCGTATAAAGAATCCCGAAAAGAGTGGACGGGGGTACTACAGTTACAAAGGATTCTTTTTGATAATACTCGGGACCTTGTAAATGGCCAATACAAGTTCCTGTGGACGAGTGTTGGTGCCAATGGGTCGGTGTCAAACTGTTGGGTCTTCAACAGATCAAGCCTTTGTTCTGCATTGGAAAATGACGTGCCCGGGTATGGCAGGGCATGCCCTAATTCTTGGTGAGAGATGATGCTTTGCCACTGCGAACTTAGATAATGAAGCCCTGCCGCCTTCCTGGGATGACAAGACCCAAACGTATTTTCAACTTCCTTTCAGGAGGAGCAGTCGATTTATTCTTTGGTCCCATGTATTAAACAAAATGAAAATATTTTTAGGTTGATATGCAGGAAGCAAAGCATTAATATGCGCTATTGGCTTGCGTTTCGCGTTAGTCAGGAGTAAATGTCACGTGCTAACCAGGTGCATAACAAGTGCGGGCCGTACTTCTGGTGCAAGAAATTGGTTAATTGTAAGTCACCTGTACTCCCCCACAAGCACCACTGACGCACCAAACACGCACGTCAGACTTAGGCATTCTACGGTATTAAGCCCGATCCCACTGCACTTACGAATGCAAAGAGAATGTAAAACGGGGAAAAAACGTGCCCTACGTTTGAAAACGCCATGCATCCGTGGTGTACTCATTGCATACGTGTTTCATACGCTCTATCCATCGAGCATCCGTTCACTTTGATTTCATCCGCGCAAAAAGTTTTGAGCTGCACAATACTTTTATAACGGATGAACTTTCTGCCGTGTACGATGTAAATGCGCGACATAACGAGCACCAAACGTTCCATGTCCGTTATCATCCGTTAAACGTCCACTGTATCCTCTCTGCACCCCCTGGGCATCCTCGCAACTCACATCTGCTCCAGCTGAAAACGGAAAGAGGGAGGAAAGATAAGGTACATGGAACGCCTATACATCGTTAGTAGCACGGAAATAGAAAGGATGTAAGCGTATGCATCTCGTATATAAAGTTTTCAAAACGGACAAAGCGTTTGTATCTGGGATGTATCTGGTATATTGAAGGATGTCTGGAGTTTGCCGGACCTGTCATCCACTTCCATCCGCTTTCATCCGCTAGTCTTCCGATGATCATCCATTTAACATCCCCACTACATACTTCCCGAGTTCGTTCTTTTCCGTTTTGTTTTCGCAAATTTTTGTCAATTTTGTCCATTTCTGGAGCGGATGAAAACGGATGGAGCCACCCCGAAAGTTTGCTCGTCCGCTGTGTCCTTTTTGCATACGTTTTGTGTCCATCGGCCACTGGGACCGAGCCTTTAGGAAGAATGTTTTCCCACGCTCTGAATAAAGCGTGTCTGTACCTTTTACAAAACTTTCACCCGGTTTCTAATATGAAATGAAATGAGGTTTAACGCCCTACTGTTCTGCTCCGAACTGGACTAATGAAGACGGGCATACGCCATACAGTGTGCTATGAGGGTAATTTTGCCCGGACAGCGACACTAAAGCCTACTCTTATATCGAATTCCAACTGCCAAGAGATCTTTTACGTGCACAGCAATGTGTACACGGGACTTCTGTTTTTCGTCCCATCCAAACGACTAGACAGCTGTCCTTCACCCGGTTTCTTTCGGCTGGCCTGCGGGCTACCAAACTCTAAGACCCGTGCGTGTCAAAACACGTACGGTGGATGGTAAGCTAGACTTGTGTGTCTGTTCTCAAGTAGAGCCTATTGTATACTGACAGCGTAAGTTTAGTATGGTGCCGCTCTTGAATAATCACTGCCTTGTGCGTCACATCTATTCGGGGATCATAATTATTTGTTTAGTCAGTTATGCGGGAAGTTAAATTTCTGGCCAGGTGTCCGGCGAATGGAACTGTCTGATCAAGTTCTCGATTTCAAAATCCCACACATCCACCCAGGGTTTCCCTGACGCACCGTTCATATTTTGCACATGCATAACAGATACTAAATAACTTACTAATCTTATATGTTTGAATATTTGTTTCAAGTACAATCTCCTATAGGATTCTACAGAATATTATAATTAACTGTGGGAAAATTGGTTTTTACAGTTCACTTGGTGCAGCTATTGTGATTCGATAATTATCTGAGAACAACTTCATACTCGTAATTCTACTATTTTCTATGATATTCTATAAAAAAACTATAGAAAACATCTTCAATATATTTTGTTGAGAAACATATAACAGGCGATCATTCTGTAGTTTTCTGTTGAATTTTAAAAAATTACCGGTTTTAAATTGGGAGGTGCACAACCCCAAACCAAAGAATTTCTGCAGAAGACTACACTAGCTGGTATATAGCATAGCGACTGTCCCTCGGTATTAATATATTTGTATATTCTAGGACTGGATGATTAAGAACTAGAATAACTACGGTTACGCTTGCAGAGAAAGTTGTGTATTTTGTCATAATTTTTTTTTTTTATCATACTGTTTTGAATTATTTCTGTTAGATGCAGTACATTTATGCGTGGTGTACCATGCAGACCGTGTACGCGGTACAGCCGTTCTCAACTTTGTTCCGGTTTTGAGAATTGTACAAACTGTGAAGATCGACAAGCCGGTGGTTGCACAGAGTGTGGTCCCAATAAATATGGGAGGTTTTGTGAAAAAGGTCAGTTGATTTGGATATTCTTTTTATGTAGTTCGGTCGTGTAATTAATTATAATGAAATCTAAGGTCCACGGCACTGTACGGTAGGCTTCTGTAATTCCATGTTTAGTCATCATTCATTTTCTTAAAATTTATGGCCGTGTAATAACTTATAATGAAATCTGACGTCCACGGCATCTGACGTCCACGACACTGCACGGTAGGCTCATGTAATTCAATGGGGAAGTTTAGTGTACAACTGGAACATTAGCATAGATCAATCGTTATCATTCATTTCCTTAAATTTACGGTTAACCATCGTTTCAATTGGCTATTAATGATTGGTGTCATCCATGGTTTACTTTTATCTGATTCAAAACATTCAACGCGTCCAGAATTCTGCTGCTCGCCTCTTAACAAAAACCAGAAAACACCAACACATATCTCCGATATTGAAGCGTCTTCATTGGCTACCAGTTAGTGAACGAATAAAATTCAAAATCCTACTCATAACCTTCAAAGCCTTAAATGACAAAGCTCCTGAATACATAAAAGACCTTCTCATTACGCATGGTCCCACTAGAAACTTACGATCAACGAAAAAAATCCATTGACGGTCCCAGCTGTCAATCTTGAGATAGGCCGCCGTTCGTTCGCATACTCGGCCCCTTTTCTATGGAATTCCTTACCCTTGTCAGTTAGGCTGGCCAAGTCTGTAGAAAGCTTTAAATCTCAGCTTAAAACTCATCTTTTCAACCAGGCTTATTCTTGTCAGTAGTGAATGACTTTGTTCAAACTTGAAAAAAAGCGCAATAGAAACTGCCATAAAGTATTTTTGCGCTATACAAATTGAGACTTATTATTATTATTATTATTAATGATTGGTGTCATCCATGGTTTACTTTTTAAATTATGTTTTATCATATTATAGCAATTCATTAAAATTGTTCTTCTGAAAAACCGATTACAATGGAAGCCATATTTTAGAAAGGGAATTGAAAAGGGGTTTAACATCCTACTTTTCTGTGTCAACCGGACTATTGAAGACTGGTTTATTTTAGGAAGGAAATGAATTATGAGAAAATTCACAAAACCCGAACCTTCGTAGATACGAACAATGGACAATCATCTTGACTCACCCACCTGAACTTACATATTTTAGATTGTGGGTGTTTAAATGGTGGGACTTGTACGAAATTAGGCAGCTGTACTTGTAAATCTGGATATGTTGGAGATCATTGTCAGGCTAAAAAAGGTGAGTAATATTTTGTTTTAAGACTTGATCTTAAAAAGCATTTCATTATAAATTATTTTAGGATTTAAACATGTCATCAGTATCTAGAGTGGGTTAATCTTATCGACACAAAAATTAAAATCATTAGAAGTTTGCTTCTGGCAGGAATATTGAAAGATCTGTTTTGGTGGGTGTCATGCTGGCGTTGTAATCTCTGAGTATCGATTGTGGGGTTCACAGATTCAAAATCCACGCAATACCTGGGTCAGACAAATCTACACACCAACCAATTTAATAATAGAAACTTATACGATCAACAGTTGGTTCTGTACGAAGTGCTAAGAAAGTTCTGGACTTTCTAGATCCTTTCAACTCTTTCTAGAACCCTCCAGAATCTTCCAGTTATTTCTAAACACTGTTTCTAGAAGTTTCCATGGTTTCTAGAAGTTTTCACATGACGATTCTAGAAAGTTTGATTGCCTAAAATAGTAATAAATGATAGATTTTGATGAATTATCATGACCTTATCAGACTGGGGACAGGTTAGGAATACTTTTCTAAAACACCAGATAGCCTACAACTTTCCATTTTCAGAGATCAATTGGCTAGTATTTTATTGTTCTAGTTCTTGCTCAGTAAATTTATTCCCTTCTTGGTATCAGAGTCTGATTGATGAGATCCACCATAAGTCACCATTAAATAAATACTTTTATTGCCAACAGTTTTGGATTGTGGACAACCTACAGAACCAATATATGGTAATATGGTAGTCACAAATACAACAGAAGGTGGAGTTGCGACGTATAGCTGTCCTGAAAATCATCTACTCTATGGTCCTAAAAAACGCACCTGTTCAGACACTGGACAATGGTCAGGATCTACACCCACATGTGGTAAAACAAAATGATTTGTGATACATATTAATATTTGAATGGTTGTGATACAACAACCAATAAGTATCATAAGAAATATTTATTAATGATTGGGCAGAAAAGTTAAACAAAAGTTAAACTTATTAAAGATACATTAGTTAAGATTTAGATAAAAAGCTGACCATTCTTACTATAATAGTTAAAGCAAAATGAAAATATTGAACATTTCATTTAAATTACTTTATTCTGACCTAAGTTGTCACTGTTTGTAGTTTTGACAAGATATGTGCATTGTGGTAACCAGGGTACTGGTATATTTTCGAGACTTAGCCACGCTTGCCCATTTTTAAATTAAATTTTTAAATGGCGAACCATTCTAATCTAGTTAAAATCTTGAGTATCCGATGCCATCGAGAGTTGATTATGATCTTCTTTTGTTAATAAATGTCTAATTAATAGTTTATGTAACATTTCATTCGTAAAGAAAGACCCGTAATAGGCAGATTTAGCTCTTGCATAACGTATGTTTAATCAAACAAAAATTAACTCTTATGAAGAATAGGTTTCTTACCAAAAGTATTATTTCCAAACTGTTCTAGGATGTTTCTTATAATTTTTCAGAAAAAAAATATTCCGAATACGTAACTGAAGATTTCTTAAAAATCAAATCTTTCTACTGTTCTGTATATTTAATGTGTAGTATTTTTTGTAGATTTTGTATGATAATAATACTGTATATTATTTAATAGAATATACTTGTCCAGTTCAACAACCATCAGACCACATGATTATGGATATTGACTATTTATCATTCAAACTGGGTGACTTCAGTAGCGGTAAGTATAATTAAATTGGAAATCAACATGACTTGTGGTGCTGGACTTCCAAATGTTTAGATCTGGTTGTGAAAAGCAGCATTCTTGTGCTTAGGGACTAGACGTCAGAATGTTCAGATCTCACTTAGAACCACAGTAAGTCCTGTAATTTGGGAAATGGGCACCCGACTCTTCAGATCTTAGTGTAGACTAAGATAACATTCCTGCTTTTTTAATATTCAGTCCTCTTTTGCTGGAGATAGATTTGAAAGGAATGGCGTGTTTGTGGTTTGAATGATACAAAAGACTTCTTCCAGCCATGGAAGTTGGAATTTGATGAGGCTGTCTGGACAAAATTGCCATCCCTCGCAGTAGACGCATATAAGCAGCGTACCTAAATAAATACATATAACTAATTGTATATTAGTGTACGAACACAGACAGCCATGATGGCTCAGTGGATAAGACACTGGCTTGCTAACCTGGGGTGGGGTGGGGTGGGGTGGGGTGGGGTGGGGGGGTCCTATGTTCGATCCCGGTGTTTGCAGAGAAAGTTCATCAGGATGTTGGGGTGTGATTCCCTCTTGTCAGTGGTGCAGGACAGAGGGCCCGACGAGGGGAAGATTTATAGTCCCATGTACACATTGGCACGTAAAAGATCCCTTGGCCGTTGGAATTCTATACAAGAGTATGTCATAGCGCCGCTGTCTGGGCAAAACTTCCTTCATAGCACACTATACGGTGTATAATATCTATCTTCATTAGCTCTGTCAGAGCAGAACAGTAGGACGTTAAACGCCTAAACCTGATTTCATTTCATTTACTTCTGATACCATAAAGAAAATGATGAATGACCCCGAATTTGTGCACTATATATAGGCCTTTGTCCATCATATATTTTTTGAATGTTTCATATACATGTATAGTATGATAAAAAAAAAAGGAGTACACTACTGAGATCAGTGAAATTAAAAAAGACCTCTGGTTTTGGTATATTTTGAATTTTCAGTCTTAAATTATACGTAATTAGTGAAACATTTTTTTCATCTAAAACTTTTTAACTTTTACAGATATAGAGATAGTACGAACTGCCAATTTCCGATGTGAAGAAGGATTCAGTTTGGTAGGACATGACACATTAAACTGTTTACCAGGGGGTATATGGAATGGAAAACAACCAAAGTGTGGTAGGTAATCATTTATGTTTATTATTACGTTGAAAATTTATTAGTCTCTGTCATCAAGTAATGAAACATAGACATATCCTTATAAAGGGTGGGCTAACATAGTAGTGAATAGGAAAACAGCAATTCTGAATGTGTTAAAGAGGCAGAGTTTGCCAATCCATCGCTGAAATAAAAGATTTACAAAGAGTTTTCAAGCAGTTCAATGGACGGCTCTGCAAAATTCTCTACTCCAAGTAGACTTCTGTTTGGAATTTGATGATTAGGGGAGTGTCATCGGGTTATTCTGGTATGTCACCAATTTTTAGGTATATTACTTAAAAAAGATGTTGCCTCTTATATTTTCAGTTCAGGGTTGTCCAAAGCCACCTAGTGTAGACCATGGTGATATGATTGGTTCTCATTTCATTCAGGGATCAAAAGTTCAATTTAAATGTCACCAAACTTATAGATTAAATGGCGCTGATATTATTATATGTGACAAAGGAATCTGGGATAATCCTTTTCCAATATGTGGTATTTATTGATTTTTGTTACTATGTCATCGCATCAAGTCGTTTTCGTTAATTATGAAATGTGTTTGGGTTTTTTTACTTGTCACAACCGGTCTTCACTTGTTATTGTGGTTTTAAAATCAAGGGCGAGATATTAAGTATATATTGATGCTGCACGAGGGCAGCTGCTTGAGTGTTTTATCAATATACAAGACCTTTAACACAATCAAAGGACTATTGTCATATCTACATTTTAAGAATAATTATGGCATCTCTATAGTCTGAACACCACAGATCACCAATGCAGTTTTTTTAGTCGAATAAATCTACAAATCCAACAATCTTTATTTATCAGATTTGATTCCCATCCATAATGAAATTTTTTTTTATTAAAATCCTTCATCCACAAAACAAGTTGGGTGTCTTATTTCAAGCATGCGGTTACTTGTATCTGTAAAACGTTTTAATCTGTTTTAAGGATTCGGTTCTCCTGTTATTGAATGATTTTCTTTTGTTACCCTAGATCCGGAACCCCGATGTCCAGAAGTAAATATTCCGTATGGTGAAGTCCATTATAAAGGGAATCGTATGATTGGTACAGAAGCCATCATTTTATGTGATTTTGATGGCATCCTCGATGAAAAGGAAGTAAGAATTTGTGAAGATAATGATGAAACTGGTATAAGAAATTGGTCAGGAGAAGACGAATTGTAAGCTATTTTGATACGCCCACATTATATGGGGACGTATGTAATCTTTGCCTTGTAGTTGTATCCCAAGGCTCATAAATTTCATGTGACCAATCTACATAGCAGTGTTATTTGTGAACTTTTTCAAATTTGCAAAGATAATTCATAGGTAACCCCTATCAAAGTTACCCACCCCCACCCCCACCCCAATGTATGTTTAGTTTTACTGTGGATGATACTAAAGAATTGTTAGCCATGTAAATATACTTACTTAAATTTGCATTAGGCAAGATTAGATAAAGAGCTGACAGTTCTCTCTCTATATATAATGAAAACAGAAAAATGCTGAAAATTTCAGCCAAATTGCTTAACTCTGAACCAAGATATTAACCATTCAATTTTCGGCTAGCCTTGATCATCATTACCAATGCTGGTTCCATAATTAACCAAGTCTCGATTGTCCATTTTTACATTAAATTATTGATCACAAAATCTATTCAAATCCACTAAAGATCGTAGGTTAACGATGGCTTCGCGAGTTGATTATGGCCTGGATCAGTTGATTAATGTCTAATTAATAATTTAGATAACATTTCAGGCTGAAAGCAAGGCCTGCAATGGGCAGATTTAGCTCTTGCATAATGCATGTTTAAAGAAAGGTAGTACAGAGTGTTTAAAATTATAGGCATTCCATCTTGCTTGGCATAACACGTGTAGGGCTAAAATGTAAATTTCAACCTAGCTCAACTCATGTGAACAAGATTTTACACCATCTGACATTTCTATATTAGCTGATTAAAAATACAATGGTTATGGCGCAAATGTTCAGCATGGTTTTATAATGATGAGATAGGGCTGGGGACCATTAAAAGTGTGTGAGAGACATTAAGAGGCTATTTAACAACCATAGTGTATTTATTGTTTACAGTTGTGTTTGGGAATACCAGGAAGATAATGATAATAAATGCTATCATAATGAACTTGAAAATGGCTTTCTGAAAACTACAGTTAATGGGTCGTTAGAAAAAAATGACAGGTACGTACAATATACCCATTTTATGTAGACCTATAGTCATTCTAATCATACGAGCCATGCCATCGTGCAAAAATAGTAGCATATGCGTATCCCATGGACAAATACATATATAGAAGCCCATCTATGGTTGAAGGGATTGTAAATTTTTACCCTTTGAAAATTGTGTAATATTTCGTGACTTACTATGATAAACCACCGAACACTTTTAGACGAGCTGTAGTAGCGACGTGTTATAGCTGTATAATAAGTGATTTGTTTAGCATAAGTTAGGCCTACGTCACACAAATCACGTGACCTTTATAAAAAAAAACTCATTTACAATATTACCATAAAATATCTGATGATGACTGTCCAAAAATGTCCTATTCCTATTTTTGGACACATTTTGAGGGGCTTTAGTCCCTCTACCCTCCCCTAGCATTATGGCTGTAGTTAGTTGAATTGCTAGTTTTGTATGGACATATGTCGTATACTCATCCCAGTCTATTTCATGCAGTCCTGTGGTTAATAATCTTCATAATGTCATAGAAACACAACAAAATTTTGACTAATACTTTGCCTTGAGTAAGCAACCTAGGCCTGCATACACTGGTATGAGAATGAAGATTTAAAATCTATATATATATTTGTGACTGTCGTTTGTCTGTCTGTCTGTTCGGGGTTGGCGGCTACACTAGGTCTGCCCTGAGTCTGAAATTTGGGGTATAGGGGTAGCTCGGACCGGGGAGTAACATAGGCTAGGTGGCGATAGTCTACCACTTCCGGTTTCGGAGTTATGACCCCCGAGCGAAGCCGGTCTGTTCGGGGTTGGCGGCTACATTAGGTCTGCCCCGTATCTGAAATTTGGGGTATAGGGGTAGCTCGGACCGGGGAGTAACATAGGCCAGGTGGCGTTAGTCTACCACTTCCGGTTTCGGAGTTATGACCCCCGAGCGAAGCCGGTCTGTTCGGGGTTGGCGGCTACACTAGGTCTGCCCCGAGTTTGAAATTTGGGGTATAGGGGTAGCTCGGACCGGGGAGTAACATAGGCCAGGTGGCGTTAGTCTACCACTTCCGGTTTCGGAGTTTAAAATCTATATATATATTTGTGACTGTCGTTTGTCTGTCTGTCTGTTCGGGGTTGACGGCTACACTAGGTCTGCCCCGAGTCTGAAATTTGGGGTATAGGGGTAGCTCGGACCGGGGAGTAACATAGGCCAGGTGGCGTTAGTCTACCACTTCCGGTTTCGGAGTTATGACCCCCGAGCGAAGCCGGTCTGTTCGGGGTTGGCGGCTACATTAGGTCTGCCCCGAATCTGAAATTTGGGGTATAGGGGTAGCTCGGACCGGGGAGTAACATAGGCCAGGTGGCGTTAGTCTACCACTTCCGGTTTCGGAGTTATGACCCCCGAGCGAAGCCGGTCTGTTCGGGGTTGGCGGCTACACTAGGTCTGCCCCGAGTTTGAAATTTGGGGTATAGGGGTAGCTCGGACCGGGGAGTAACATAGGCCAGGTGGCGTTAGTCTACCACTTCCGGTTTCGGAGTTATGACCCCCGAGCGAAGCCGGGTATCCTGCTAGTAAAAAATAAATTGGTTCAGCAATGAAACAAGCTATGTGATTGGTACAATCAATGGACATGGAATACATAAAAGTCGGTTAATGCAGCCAGTCAAGCAGGCCTGACTCGATGGGCCCCTGTGATGGCCAAATTGTACACAGGACACAGTTTTTTGTCCCATCCAAATGACTAGATTCTGAACTCTGGACATTCTTGTTAGTGAGCCTGCACTATACTTACAGGATTACCGTTGGTCATCGCCTTTTGTTGAATATAATTGGCCTGTGTCAACGGCACTCCTGATAAATGATGTGACTTAGTCCTGGATACAGGTGGAGGCACCCTTGTACTAAGTTTTCTCCCTGGATTCTATTTGCTTTGTTTTTGGACATTTTCAACAACAAAAATCAGGTCAGAGGCAATCACCGCTGCTATAATCTGCTTGTGCCGTCAAAGTATAATACCGAAAATGTTGTAATTCCTTGAATTTATTGTCTGTTTGAAAAGTAGTTCATCTTTTAAAAATGTCCAGACCTATTTGATTTGGGTATGTTTGCAGATGCATAAATGTATGAAAAATTTTCTGTTTCAGGGATAAAAATGGATTTGTTCACAGTGACAGGATACTATATGAATGTGATGATGGATATTATCTGAAGGGTGAAAGGGAAAATTTTTGTGTTGATGGGAAATTGACAAAAGAAATACCATTGTGCATAAATGGTAAACTATATGACTTTCAGATTTCTCTGAACACCATAAATGAAAGTAGCTTACATTATGCGCATTTATATATTTAGCAGTTTGGAAATGATTGCCAGATTTAATTGCTTCAAGATGCAATATGTAAGATTTTGATAAAGAGCTGACAGTTTCTGCTATAATAGTTTAAAAATAGATAAGGAAAAATGATGAATAAATTGAAAATTTCAGTCCAATTACTTCATTCTCATTGAAGTTATGACTGTTGGGAGAATAGATGTAGTATAATATTGACAATTGTCTCGATTTTCATTGCTATTGTTGATACGATAATAAACAATGTCTTGATGAAACAGTTTTAAATGACAATCGGGTTTCAATCCGTTCAAAACCACAATCATTTGTTGGCCAAGAGAGTTGATTACGGGCTTGGGCAAATTAAAAATGGCTGTCCAAGCAGGGCATGGAATATGGGCAAGTCCACATGGAAACTGACAGTTTCTATTTCAGAGAAATAGTAGCAGAGATTCAGATAGCTGTACATACAGGACTAGTAAAAAGATTTACCGTAAGAGAATTAAATGCACTCAGAAATAACCTGTTTGAATTACAGAGATATATCCAGGACTGCAGCCCTGTCTGCAAATAGTGATTTAGCAACCGGTTGGTTCAGTTGGCGAGATCTGAGACAGTGCTTATTGTCTTCATAGGCCTATAAATCTTCGTAATAAAGATTTTTAAAACACTATGCCTGTTTCAACATGAAAAGATTGTTTTAATTTCAGTTATCACTTGTCCGAACCTAGTAGCACCTAAAGGATGTAGTAGATGTTTTGGAAAACACTGGTAATATTACTTTTTTTCTGATAACATCAATATCCTGCTTACTTTTGTATGAATTTCAAGTATTATTAATCAGGGTTTCCTCTATGCCTTTGTTGAATTCAAGTACAAGTTTATTTCCGTACAGTTCGAATGGCTGCGCACAACTTCTTGTCTGCACCGAAAGCATTACCCAAGAGAAATGAGAACCCAACTTCAAGAATTCTAAATGCATTTTTATACGCCAACATTGAAATGTGGTCGTATATTGTCGTCGCCCCGTCCTGTCCGGCGGTTTAGAGGCTAGTGTTTATATCCGATTGACTTTAAATTTATACACAGTGTTTAAGGTCATGAGACGAAGAAGCCTATTGCTTTTTGACGATTTCCGATAATTACTGCCAGAGTTATGGCCCTTGATCACTTCAAAGAGTCTTGTGGACGCTCTAAATTTATACACAGTGTTTAGGGTCATGAGACGAAGAAGCCTATTGATTTTCCGCAATTTCCGACAATTACTGTCAGAGTTATGGTCCTTGATCACTTCAAAATACCTTGTGGATGCTCTAGAGGCTAAAGATAATATCCGGTTGACTTTAAATTTATACACAGTGTTTAAGGTCATGAGACGAAGAAGCCTTTTGTTTTTCAGCGATTTCCGATAATTACTGTCAGAGTTATGGCCCTTGATAACTTTGAAAAATCTTGTGGACGTTCTAGAGGCTAAAGTTAATATCCGATTGACTTTAAATTTATACACAGTGTTTAAGGTCATGAGACGAAGAAGCCTAGTTATTTTCAATGATATCCGATAATTAGGGTCAGAGTTATGGCCCTTGATCACTTTGAAATATCTTGTGACGCTCTAGAGGTTTATGTTATCACCCGATTGACTTCAGATTGATACACAGAGTTTAAGGTCTTGAGACGAACAAGTATATTGATTTTAAATGAATCAGCTAAATCCATGATATTAAATGTTTCGTATGCTAAACATTAGCATGGGGCAGAACTTTATAAAAACCAAACAAAGTCTAATGATTTTCTGACAATTACTTAATGAGTTGTTACTCTTAATCATATTTTAGTATATTATAAATGTTTCATTACTGAAAAAAAGTAAAAATATGTGACAACTCTTGTTGACTGCACGGACGATTTAGCTGCTGTGGACGTATGTTTCGTTGCCTGGCAACCTATCTTTAGGTTTACATTATTATTTTAATCCAGTATACTCCTAGTAATCATAAAATTTCTTTCTTCTTTTTTTTTTTGTTTTCTTCATTCAATTATTACTCAAAAATGTACTGAACATTTGCTGAACTTGCATTTTAGTAATAGGAAATGGGACCATAAATTTAGAAGAAAAAGGGTTTGTGGCCCAGGGCCTTTGCAATGGCAAAACTTCTTTCTATTGCAAAGATTTCTCAGTGTCCTGAATCCCTATATAGGCCCTATGCCTTTCTGCCCTCCATTGCTTCCCTACACACTTCAGGCTGTAGACCAAGGTTTAGGATTATATATTTGATCAACCAGTAAGTTAGCAGGAAAACATTTTACACTAATTTCTTGCAGATTTAGTTGTCACCTAAATTAGCTTGCTTCAAGATTTTTATAGTATGCTTTCAACAAATTTTATTTTCAAATCATAGTTCTACTTCTTTGAAACCAATTGCTGATTGTGTACCAAGGATTTCTGATGTGCATATACCAAATGATCTCTTCCCAAATGGAACTGTCATAGAATTTATTAACGATCCAGTTTTATATAGTTTATCTGGATCAAGACGTCGCACTTGTCAAAATGATGGTAAATGGTCAGGTCCCGAGACAGTCTGTGAGCAAAGTAAGTATGGCAACCCAAATTATATTTAAGGTATGAAATAACTGTAGCTATATAGAAAATGAACCAAGTGTAGATGGTCATCTTCAAAATACCTCATATGCTTCCGCTATTAACCGTTCAAGTCAGTTCAAGATATCCCCCTGAGGGTATTGGTGTGTCCCAATATTAATGACCATGTCATTTTATTTAGCTTAAAGTCTTTGTTGTGCATATAATTGATGGACAGTCTCCCACTCTTTGATTCATTCTAATGATAGATAAGTTACATTGACTTGTCTTGACTATATCCAATATATCATTCACAGTGGATGCTGAATATTGGTCTGATATCCCTATATTCAGCTTTCTCAATATTGTAGTTTGCAAGGGATTAACAAATGACATTCAAAGACTTTAACTTACCAATAAAATACTGTTTGTGGGATGAATGGTGTATTTTTTTTTTAGAGACCTGGCAGAATTAATAAAAAACTTAGTTTTGACACTTGTCAGACAGGAGACAAGACTAATGCATATACCAGTCACAATTCTATCTATAGACTGCTTATTACTGAGCGACCTTTCTACAAGGCTGGTCATTATCAAGCAATTCTCTGATAAAATATCTGTTATACTCTATAACAAGAAAGAACACCATATATAGAGGAAGACCGGGACAGAATATTTAAAAAAGCATAGTTTTGACACTGGTCAATCAGGAAACAAGCCAAAGCAAGTCTCGGATAAAATATTTGTTAGACTCTGTAACAAGAAAGAACACCATATATAGAGTTAGATAAGACCAATTTGCAGGTCTATTCTTATTAATATCTGTATTATAATATTGTATATATGTGGATAACTTGTATATAGTTAACCAGTATCAGTATCTTCTTATTCTTCCACTTAATAGAACTCAAAAAAAAGGGCAGTACAAACCCTGCATGATAATGCTCTGTGGGTGGTAGTTCTTTGGTTCACCATGGATGGCATGGATTAAAGTATATTGAAGCTAAAAACCACATGTAAGATAGGCCATGTTTTATTCAACCTCTCTAAGTACAAAAGATCCCACATATGGGAGATAACTCCCAAAGACTCCAATAAAGAACAAAGGGGAGAGAACTCTTCCATGAAAGGTGACATTACTATATGACATCCCCCTCTCTTGAAAGATGTGAACTCCCTTTGATAAATTAGAGTTAACATCATCATAATGAACGAAAAAAAACAAAAAAATAGAAATAAAATTCCTTGTGAATCACTCACAGATACAATCAAATTCAAACACACGCAATGAAATAGCAATTAACATATCAAACTTGGAAATTTGTTAAATGAAAAAGAGTCTGACATAGAAGTAATTAGTAACGATCTTCAAAAACATATATACAGCTACAGCATGTTTAAACAAGCTAAAACTTTCCCACAATATCAATAAAGATTGTAAGTATGAAATTCTCATAAGATGTTTGATTCCAATTGATTTTACAAGTATTGATCCAACCTCAATGCTTAATATCACAAATTATATGCAAGTACATACATTTCCCAACATCAAATACGTGATTAATACCGATTTGAATACAACTTATAGAGTTTTTCAATAGGAAGATAATATTGCATTAAAAAGGTTTACCTATAAAAACGATTGTTGGTTTATTAAATCACAACATCAAAACACTAAGTTTATGATAAACTTGCTTTAACAATAATATTTGTTGTATTTTCTTAAACTACCTGTGATATGGAATGTTGGATCACATAGTAAGCTTTCAACAACTGGATGCAAAAAAGGATAATTATCAACTTTAATCCAAGTAAATTCCTTATTCTTTTGATATGGAATCTCTACTAATAGTTCTAAGGAACCAAATTTAAATCTGGCTTTCTTTATTTCCATATAATCGTCATTAGTAAGATCAACTATGTGATGGAATTGTTGCTCTATCTGACCTAAATTTAACTTACTTAAGGATGCAATGTTTCTATTCTCAATAATATTAACTTTACATTGAGCTATATCTACAGGTGTAGTAAGTCTATTACATACAACATTGCTATCATCGAATGTAGACAAAACATTACCTACTTCATCCGTACATTTTAAGAAATTGTCGCAATTAACAATATGAGCATTTTCATCATCTGATTTACCTAAACTCTTTCTTAAGGCATCTATATGAGTTATTTGTTTATTAGGTTCATGAGATCGCACAAAACAAAGTTTGAGTCTGTTTATGGAAAAGACCTCTTGTAAAACCTTTCCTTCAAGGGTTGATAAAATATAATGTGTCCTATCTAATATTTGATGAACAACTAGCGGACCACACCAATCTGCTTTGATCTTCCGAGAATTAGCAGTTAATGCAGAAGACGAAGGCTTAAACACAAAAACCAATTGTCCAAGACTATAAATTGGATTTTTGCTTAGACTATGAGCAATGCTCATATTTTGACTTTCTTGTTGTCTCTTCTGTAGATTATGAATAGTTGATGAAATAGCATCAAATTTAGATTTAAGGTGTGACATATACTCATCGTAAGATTTACATATTCCGGTAAATGACCAATTTAGGGAAGTTAGATTCTTTGGTTCTTTACCAAAAACTAGCTCATATGGTGAATAGTTTCCAAGTTGTGGGGAAACGAATGAATTGTATGCGTAGCAGCATGTTGAAACATATCGTACCCAATCTGTACCAAACTGATTTAAATTGTACTTGAGAAAATTAGAAATTGACTGAATATGTCTTTCAACAAGTAAACTTCCATGATTTTCCACACTGATAAGTTTCTGGTCGATATCTAGAGCTTGACAAAGTACACTAATAAGTTTACCAGTTAACGATGCAGCACAATCTGTGATAAGAACAGAATGTGGACCAAAACTACAAACTATCTTCTGTATGATTGCTTCACATATAGTTTCAGCGTCTAGAGATTTTAAAGGAACACAAACAACGAATCTTGTTATTTCGTCGCAAACAACCATTAGATTTTTAAATCCGGTTGATGAAGATGGCATACTCTTGAAATCAAGACTTAATCTATCAAAAGTTCTATAATGTGTAGGAATTCGGTTATGAAATATGCGAACTTTGTCTGTTTTGCCTTTAAATTGTTAGCATTTGAAACATGATTTGATATAGGAAGAAATAGTGTCAAACATGTTAGGAAAGTAAAATAATTTTCTCATAGTCAGATATGTGCGAACAATACCTTGGTGATTTGAAAGTTGACTATCGTGGTAGATATTGATAAGGCTATGACACATTGATTCGGGAATGGCTAATTGCAAAGTGAATGTTTCATCTTTATGAATGATAAGCCTGAATAAAACTGAATCGCATAAAAGATATTCTTCAGATTTTAATTGAATTGTCTTTGCTGACTTCTTATTGGCTGGCAAAATATCATGACATAAATAATCGTAAATTGGCTTAAAATATGGTGAAGTTTCTTGTTCAATACGTAATTTATTTGCATCTATAGAAAGATTATAATCTCGGATGATCTTCCGTTTAATAACGTTTAGGAGTTTGTTTAAATCTTGTTGTTTTGGAAAATTCTTTTGAATAATATTCTCACAGTTATGAATAACAGGTCGTGGAGGAATACACAATTCGATAGGAACTTCAATTTCCTCATCTTCAGATACTAGAGGTTTATCAACTAGTCTAGGTTCAGAATTATTAGAATTCTGGGCATGCGTTGTCTTGGAACTAGATATACGAACTGGAATGTCGTTACTATCGTTAGTTATATGAGGAACATGAGCGGTCGACGATGAAGAAAAATTGGGCTTTATAACTGGATGTACATGTATATCAGGAACATGAATGTTCTGTTGTTTAGCCCATTGTCTTGTAACTGGTCGCTCACTTACAGGATTCATTTCTTCAGTAGAAAATGCAGTTGGGACAACAGCATCTATTTCTGAATCGTCCTCTAAAGGACTTCGAGAAAGAAAATCGGCTAAGACCAATTCGGTACCTTTCTTATATCCTATTTTTAATGCATAATGAGATAATCTAACAAATAGCTTCTTTAAACGGTTAGTACACGGTTCACGTTTAGACTGGAATAACTGGACTATTGCTGAATGGTCGACATATGCATCGAATTCAACACCTTTCAGTAGGTACTGAAAGTTGGTTATGTTGATTAATAAACCAAATAATTCTAACTCGGTTACACTATATCTTTCACAAGCCTTAGGAAGTCGCTTAGAATAATAACCTAACAACCTTTCTTGTCCATTAATCACTTGAGTTAAATATGAACCGGTTGCTGTCCTTGATGTATCACTGTATAGTGTGAACCTACCATCACCAGATGGCATGTATAGAACGGGTGGCTGAATTAAAAGTTTCTTTACTTCATTAAATGTAGATCCATGTTCATCTGTCCAATGAAACTGAACTCGTTTATTTGATATCTTATGCAACGGTTGTAATACAAGCTGTAGTTTAGGGAGAAAATTAGATACATAATTCACAGCACCAATGAATTTACGAACATCCTTAGTTGATTTTGGGCGAGCTAAGTTTTGAATAGCACGACATCTATCTGATAATGGCTGAATTGTTGCCAATCCGTTTTTACAAATTGTGAGTTGATGACCCATGTTAACAACATTACTACGAAAAAAAGAACATTTCTTTGGCGATATTTTTAGACCATTATTTATTAAGGCTTGAAATACTTGGGCTAAGTGTTGTTTATGAGAATTCTGATCTTTACTAAAGGCAATGATGTCATCGTGATGGGCAATACAATAATGATAACTATCTTTAACTGCGGATAACACTTCGTCGATCTTAGATTGGAAAACAGCAGGTGAGACACTAAGACCTTGACTTAGTCTTTTGAAATAATGTTTTCCACCATAATATGATGATATACCTGTATACTTCTGAGATTTGGGAGACAAAGGTAAAGTAAAGAATGCAGATTTTAAATCAATGCAACTGAAAACCTGGGGTTTAGAATTACCAATACGCTTGAAAGTTTCAGAA